TTCCCACTGGGGATGTGCCCGCAACCCAGGTACATGCCCTTGACCGGAATCGAACCTGGGACCTTTCAGTCCGCAGGCCGACGCTCCATCCACTGAGCCAAACCAGTCTCGGCAATATTTTTAAATGAGGCACTGAAAAGATGATTGGGAAGTCTGGGTCCGTTATCAGGGCTTATAGTTTTGTCTACTTTGTGTAGGATGATCAAAAAGAAAGATTAATATTTTTCCTCCTGTTCCCAGCCCAACTCACATTCTCTCTGAGAATACCTATACCATGTAGGCAAGAAATCAGAGGTTTCTCCCTGGAGAAAAGGAATGGCCTATAGAACAGAGCTCCAATTCCGTAATATGAGTTTAATAATAAGTCCATAGCTTTATTCATGCAACTCAAAACTGGAAACAACCCAAATGGTCCCACAACAAGATAATTGTTAAATAAATTTCACCATGTTCAGGTGATGGATACTACTCAGAAAAAAAGGAGAGAGAAAAGAAAAAGAGACAAACTACTGATTACTTAACCCAATTCAAAAAATCAAAAGGTTGTGCCAGAGTCCAACCCCAGCAGGTCCAGGGGTCCCCAAAGGTGTGGATGGAGTCGGTGAAGAAGGAATGACACAGAGACAGCGTTCAGTTGATCAGCAGCCTAGCCAGGATCTCTAGCCAGGATCTCCAGCCAAGTTCTGGTCTGGATCTCCAGCGAAGTTCTGCTGTTTATTGTCTTGTTACATCAGTATTTATCCCAGTTGATTTTAATCCTGTCAATTTCTATTACAAAGGTTAGGGCGTTTCTTATCTCCATTCCAGGGAGTAAAGATTATGTAGCTTAAGCATGATTGTTTGTAGTGATTAACTGCCCGCCTGGCACTTAGTTAAGGAGTTTCATCCCCTCCCTGACTTCAGGGAAAAATTCCTACCTGGGGAAACAACCTTTCTCGGAGAGGTGACCTTGGTTAAAACACACAGCGCTAAGGGGAGCAAACATATTAAGAACAGTATGCTATATACGCCAGGTCCCTTGAAACATATGCTGTGCAGATGTTTCTTTCCTGCAGAGACTGTGTCAAGCAGCAAGGATGGACCGGCTTCCGGCAAGGTTGGTTGTCTCAGAGGTAATAGGAATACTTGGAAGGACATAAGCAAATTTTCTAGGGTTAGGAGAACTCTGTAGCTTGAGAGGGGTATGTGGCATATGCATATCAAGGCTCACTAAAGTAGGCCTGGCCAGGGAGCTCAGTTGGTTAGAGCATCCTCCCGATATGTGAAAATTGAGGGTTCAATCTCAGGTCAGAGCACATACAAGAAGCAACCAATGAATGCATCAATAAGTAGAACAACAAATTGATGTTTCTCTCTCTATCTAAAGTCAGCAAATAAAATTTTTAAAAAAAGACATTGGTTAGTAAAATTATATAAGTTTCAGGTGTACAATTCAATAATACATAATCTGTATATTATATTGTGTATTTACCACCACAAATCAAATCTCCTTATATCACCATTTATCCCCCCTTTACCCTCTCCTCAAAGTTAAAAGGCCAAAAAAAAAAAAAAAAAAAAGGATAAAATTCTATTCTCAATCGTGATAAGCTCTCAGCAGTTTAAAGATAGAAGCTAACTTCCTTAATCTGATAAATTAAATATCTCTCTCATGGGTGGGTGAGTGGGAAGAAATCAACTAAAGAACTTGTATGCATATATATGCATAACCCATGGACACAGACAATAGTGTGGTGAAAGCCTGGGGCAGGGGTCAGGGTAGGCTAGAAGGGGTCAATGGGGACAAAAGGGGGACGAAAATCCTATAGAAAACATCACAACTTTAATGACAAAATTTAGAGACATTTTTATCAAAGGCAGCTAAAATACAGGGACATCTGCTAATACCTATATTGGTCAATATTATATTCATCATTGTGATAAGACAAAGAAATGGAGATACAGCAAAACTTTTCACTATATACCTTTTATTATTCCATGAAAAATGTGAATGTAACACCTATCCCCAAATTAAATAAAAATAACATAAAAAATAAATGTTGCTGAGTTAGTGCAGGAAAAGAAACTGAACTATAATAATCTGAAATGGACACAATCCTTTTTGATAATATTACTTATATAAAAAATCCAAGAACACCTACAGACAGGCTATTCGATCTCTTCCATTTATAAGGACACCAATTCTCTCAGATTAGGGCCCCACTCCTATGACCTCATTTAACTATAATTACCTCCCTGAGGCCCTTCCTCCAAATACAAATACACTGAGGGTTAGGGCTTCAAAATACGCTTGTTGAGAGGACACAATTCAGATTCACAAATCATTAATGTCTCAATTATCTTTTATATGACACCATCCCAAAACTTATTCTCTTAATGCAATAATAATTCAATATTTCTCATGATTTTATGTGTTGGCCAGGTGGCTCTTCCGCTTTATGTAGTGTTGGCAAAAGTTTTGCCAATTTGTTTTTAACTAGCACAAAACACGACTTACCATTCTTCCAGACTTCAATAGTAGTTCCCTCACTGCTTTTTCAGCTTCCACTGAACAGTTTCCTTGCTGCCCTTCCAGCCTCTATCCACTAGCCAGTCCCAAGGCCATGCCACATGTATTGGGTTTTTATTATGGAGAACCTCATTTTTAGGTACCATTTTCTCTTTCAACTAGTCTTTATTGGAATAAAACACCCCAAAGTTTAGTGGCTTAAATCAACAAGAATTCACCATCTCATGTAATTCTGGGTTGGCCGAGCAGGTCTCTGCTGCCCTAGGCTCATACACGCAGGTGCATCCAGCTGGCAGGTCTTTTTCCATATGCTCTTTTATCCTGGGCTTCCTTATGCTGTGGTGGTCTCGAGGCAACATTCCAAGAGAATGAAGGCGGGAACTATATCACATCAAGTGTCCCAAACTCTGGAACTTGCAAGACATCCCTTTGGCTGCCTTCTACTGGATAAAGCAAAGAGCAAAGCCAGCCCAGATGCAAGAGGTCAGAACGCAGACTCAGCCCCTTGATAGAGGAGCGGCAAAGACTCTGTGGCCGTATTTAATTTACCACAGAGAATTATGCCATGTTCCTTGATGGAAAGACCCAATGTCATAAAGATGCCAGTTCCTCCTAGTAAGTCCGCACAGATGCCAGTTCCTCCAAGTAAGTCTGCACAGTCAATGTCATACCAATCAAAATCCCAGCAGGGTATTTCAGGAGACGTGATAAGGTGTTCCTAAATTTCCCATGGAGGAGCACGGGGCTCAGAATCACCAACACTGGTCCTCACAGTTATCAAGATTTATTAGGAAACCATGGTAACAGCAATTTGAGGAACAATTCATGTGAGGTCCACACTCTATACAGCAGAAATGGGATGTATCACAAACCCAAGCAGCTTTATGGAGCAATTTACCTTTATGATTTAATAGTTAAAATAGACAAATATTTTAACTATTGTGGAAAGCAATTTCCCCCCAGTTTTATTGAGCTACAATTGACATACACAATATGTATTATATATTTTAATATATATAATTTTATATTGGAAAATGTTTACAACCGTAGCCTTAGCTAACCCCTCTATCCTGTCACATAATTACCATTTCTTTTTTGTGATGAGAACAATTAATGCCTGCTCTCTCAGTAACTCTCAAGTATATAGTACAGTGTTGTTAACTACAATCACCACACTGTACACTAGATCCCAGAACTTACTCATCTTATATCTGAATTTTGTGCTCTTCGACCAACGTCTCCCCATTTACCCCACCCCCAGTCCCTGGCAACCACCACTCTAGTGTCTGTTTCCATGAGTTTGGCTCTTTTAGTGCATCACGTAGTATTTGTCTTTCTCTGCCTGACTTATGTCACTGAGCATAATGCCAGGAAAAGAAATGTTAATGTATGCATCTCTATTGAGCTCTAGCATCAAGTACCCTAATAGTTACAGCCCTTTGCTTCTGGTGAGTTAAAAACTTCGTGTATCAACAATCAAAAATTATTAAAAACAAACAAAAAAACAATAAAACATATTGTGTGTATGATTTCTGCCTTAATTTGTTAAGAATATAGAAAAACTTTTTTCCCTTTTTTATTGAATTTAATGGAGTGAGATTGTTTAATAAAATTATATATGTTTCAGGTGTACAATTCTATAATACATGATCTGTATATTGTATTGTGTTTACCACCACAAATCAAATCTCCTTCTATCACCATTTATACCCCCTTTAACTTCTTTTTCTCTTTTTTTTTTAAAATATATATTTTATTGATTTTTTTTTTTTTTTTTTACAGAGAGGAAGGGAGAGGGATAGAAAGTTAGAAACATCAATGATACATGGAGAAACATGGATCAGCCGCCTCCTGCACACCTCCTACTGGGGATGTGCCCGCAACCAAGGCACATGCCCCTGACCGGAATCGAACCTGGGACCCTTCAGTCCGCAGGCCAACACTCTATCCACTGAGCCAAACCGGTCAGGGCTTCTTTTTCTCTTTTAAAAATATATTCTATTGATTTCAAAGAGGAAGGAAGAGGAAGAGAGAGATAGAAACGGCAATGATGAGAGAGAATCATTGATTGGCTGCCTCCTGCATGCCTCCACTGGGGATGATGTGCCCTGACTGGGAATTGAACTGGGTTCATAGGTCAACCCTCAACCACTGAGCCATGCTGGTCAGGCCCCCCTTTACTCTATTCTACCTCCAAGAATTTGTACTAGATGACAGTTTTAAACTGAGTAGATACTAATGATGTGTATTTGGAACTGAAGGTAGTTTGAAAGTCAGCATTATACAATTCCAAAACCTGCTAGGGTGAGAATGGCAAATGATTTAAACTCAAGAAGGAATGAAGTGCCAACAGGCAGTGAAACTATTTGTCTAGATCTAAAAAGAAACGTCTTACCAGCAGATTCCTGTACACACACACACACACACACGCACGCACACACACACACACAAAAGGAAAAACCACCTATTATGCTGCAAAACAAAAGCCAGCTCTAGTGTGGGAAAGTATAAATTGCAGAAAACCAGAAGTCAATAGCAGAAAAACTACTGGTTTACTTGAGAGGGAGGAGGAGGCTTCCCCCTGGGCAGTTACTTGGTGAAGGCCGCCACCACCGCCCACAGAACCTCGTTGGCGTTGGCCTTCACACATTCCACCTCAGGATCCAAGTCGAGGAGCTGCCGCACTCTCTTGGTGGCTAAATCATACTGCTCATCCAGCAGGGGAGCAAAAGCATTCTCCAGAACATCCGAGGCGTGGGCGAGGTAAATGAGGGCCAGCAGGCGCTTGTCCATGCGGTGAGGGTCATTCACCCATTTGTCAAGAACAGCTTCCTGTACCTTCTTGATGAGGCGCTGCTTAATGTTGTTGTTGGTGAGGGGATGTGTGGTCATGTCAAAAAGTAGGAAGTTCCGCCGAAACCGGTTTGGCTCAGTGGATAGAGCGTCGGCCTGCGGACTGAGAGGTCCCAGGTTCGATTCCGGTCAAGGGCATGTACCTGGGTTGCGGGCACATCCCCAGTGGGGGGGGTGCAGGAGGCAGCTGATCGATGATTCTCTCTCATCGATGTTTCTAACTCTCTATCTCTCTCCCTTCCTCTCTGTAAAAAATCAATAAAATATATTAAAAAAAAAAAAAAGTAGGAAGTTCTGTTTCTCTGTTGTCGATACGCCCTTTTCTACCAGGTTTTTAGTCATTCTTGTATGTTTCATAACTGGTACTGTGGTTCTAGGGGACTCCATGTCTCACCTAAACAAAAGCTTTGAATTTCAGCTGTTATCTTCTTTGTATTCAAAATATGAATAGAACGCAATGTGTTCGTCATAGCTGGTGTGTCTCTAGCCAAGTGGAAAACAAGAAGTGCTCTACGGTGGCCCGTGTTCCCACTAGACTGTGAACCGCTAGTGGGACAGGAGTTCTATTTTATTATTCTCTGTAGTTCTGGCACCAGGTAGTATCCTGAAACACAGTACTTGTTCAGTACATATTTGGAAAAGAGAATGAATACTCTAGTACGTAAATTGGAACAGACTGTGATAGTTTTTGTATGAGGTAGAAATGAGCCAAATTGTAAAATGATTATTTCTGGCACATTTCTATTGACATAAAGGTGTCGATAAAAAGCCAAAGGAGAAACGAGCAGGGTTTATTTATTTTTATTGTTTAATGAACGTTTTCAAAGAATAATTTTAGATTTACAGAAGAGTTGCAAAGATAGCAGAGCTCCCAGTGCACTATACTGATACATTACTACTAACGGAAGTCCACACATTATTCAGGTTTCCTTAGTGTGTTGCCTGAGGTTCTTTTTCTGTTCCCGGACCTCACCCACACCACCTTATTATCTTTATTCATCTTGTCTCTTCAGGTCCTTCCTGGCTGTGATGGTTCTCCAGGCTCTTCTCTTTTCTGATGACTTTGACAGTTTTGAGAAGTACCAGCCAGGTACCTCGTAGGTTGTTCCTCAGTTGGGATTTGTCTTATGTTTTTCTCATGATTAGGCTGAGGTTATACATGTTTGGGAGCAGACCACGAAGGGTCTACCCATGATTCATCGCTGCTGATGTTGACCTTAACCTCCTGCCTGAGGTGTGTCACTGCTAAGCTCTTCCTCCCCACACCTTCCATTCTGTACTCTGGGAAGGAAGTCACACGTTTCAAGGGTGGTGAGTTATGATGCAATTCCTTGAGAGTGAGGTATTCACATAACTTATTTGGAACTGAAAGCTTCCTTTCTTATTAAGAATGAAATCGAGATTCTCATTAAAGATGGCTGGTTGAATAAATACTCTGTTCTTGATGAAAATGCTGTGAAATTGAGAATAAAAGGATTTGTGCAGAAGCACAAATCCATAATGAGACCAGGAAAGAAAACAATGGCAGTAAAATGTTGGATGCTGCAACATAGTTGGAATAGTGGTAGATAGATTAGTGGGTCCAAGAAAGCTAATCCCAAAGTGGCAGTGGGCAGAGCAGAGTGGTAACCCACTTTACACCGCAGGACTCCAAAGGCTCAGAAATTGGCACCAGGTAGCCGTGGGAATGGGGGAGGAGGAGCAGGGGACGGTAGGGCTAAAAATAGATTGTTTGAGAGTCTATGTGAAAAGATCTTCAGATCCCTTCCTGTGCTCTGTGCAGCCACCCCAGTAGAAGAGAATGAGACAGAGGGTCTCTCATCTCAGGGACACAGGCACAGCTGACGGAGGCCAGGATCTCCCACTGGAAATGGGGAGCAAGTAAAAGTTAACGTCCTAAAAGTTGTGACATCTTAGCCTTCTCCTTCCTCTCCACCCTGGGGAAACTGGAAGCTGGGATTATCTCCGCCCCCCCCCCCCCCCCCCCCCCCCCCCCCCGGCCCGGAGAAAACACTGAAGAGTCTTCTATGGAAAATTCCACCAGCCCAAGAGACAAGGATGCACAACACCGATGTGAGGATTTCCCCGAGAATGGCAATCAAGCCCCCCCTTCACCACCTCCCACCAAATACATACAGCTTCCAAATAACTGGTTTGGCTTTGCTTTCTAAACATGAGCGGACTGCCAGAGTGCCATACATTTGGGGGAAACCTTCTAATGTGAAACACAGAGTTCAAAATAAAATATTAAAATAAAAATATCTTCCCTAGCCGGTTTTGCTCCGTGGATAGAGCGTCAACCTGGGGACTGAAGGGTCCCGGCTTCGATTCCAGTCAAGGGCACATGCCTGGATTGCGGGCTTGATCCCCAATAGGGGGCATGCAGGAGGCAGCCAATCAATGATTCTCTCATCATTGATGTTTCTATTTCTCTCTCTTCCTCTCCCTTCCTCTCTGAAATCAATAAAAATATATCTTAAAAAATAAAAATGTTTATAATTTCTCTTAAGTGTAAACAGCCTAAATGTCTAGTCAACTGTTGAATGACGAAGCAAAATAGCCACAATGAAATCCTCTTCAATAATTAAAAAAAAATTAACTCCTGACTTGTGCAATAGGATGACTTTCAAAAACATCACGGGAAGTGAAAGAAAGCAGACACAGAAGAACATATATTGTACGATCCTATTTATATGAAATGTCTAGGCCCAGCAAATGTGTAGCGATAAAAAGCAGATCAGCCCGGCCGCATGGCTCACTGGTTTTGTCAACCAGATTGGGACTAGGGTTGGGAGTGGAGATGACCTACAAATTTGCCCAAGAGATCTTTTTGGGGTGATGAAAATATTCTAAAACTGAATTGCAGGAATGGTGACATGACTCAATAAATATACTAAGCATCAGTGAATTAGACACTAAAATGTGTGAATTGTATGGCATATCAAATATGCTCCCAATAAGCTTTTTTTTTTTTTTTTTTTAAGAAACTCAAACTATGAAGGGAGAAGAAAAATAGAAAGAGTCATTGACACTTCCAAAAATACTGAATATTGAAAACTTCCTAAGCAAATATTCTCAAGGTTTTATTATTATTATTTGCATAACTAATTCACTTCATTGTACTGATGGGGTGGTTATAATAATCTGGCTGGTCATAATAATCTGGCCACTCACTGTATATTATTTAGGAATAAGAAAGTAAAATCTGAGAAAATAGCTAATAAAATTGAAATTGGTTGCTTGGTGGGTAATGGGGGTAGGAAGGTGAACAGAAGGGGCTGCTGTTTTGTAAAAATTACTTTTAGCAATATTTGATGATTTATGCTATTCAACGATAGCACTTTGATATAAATAAAAGTTGGCTAAAATAATAATTGTAGTCAGTTATTGAATGCAGAAATATATAGTTCATATGGTAAGAAATAAGAAACTTTCTAGTATTAATACTCAATTTAATATACATACCATTTCATTTAATCATATGAATTAACACCAGAAGAAGACCTTTTTGCTCTGTATGATTTGCTTTGTATAGCTGGAGTTTTAAAGTTGTGAGAAATGAATTCATGAAAGGTTGAGGATTTGATTTCTGCTTTCTGAGGTTTATTAATAGTTAAAGCCCGAGTCCATATTTGAAGTCTAAAGAGCTTTATCAAATTAAAAAGTGGCAAATTAGTCCTCTTTGAAGAAAAACATTACAATTTACATCCAAATTCCTTCCTTATCTTTTTAAAAGAAAGCAGACAGCATTGATTTTAGGCCTCATTATATTTACTCTCCTAAGAGTTTATAAAAGGAAATTATACCCAGATGACAAATGTAATCCTGATTACTTCTTGCTTCTGGGTTAAACATGTGCACACAGCCATACGTAAACATTAAGAAATCAGTTATATTATCCACCTGCCATCTGAGCCCAACAACGGGGCGCTTCCTGCCTCCAGCAGCACTTACGCTGTTCCCAGTATTGGACGGTTGTTGAGATACAAGAAAAAAGTCCCACAAAAATGAGCCCCACAATATTTTTCTACAGAATAATTAGACAAGCAAAAATAAAACAATGTGAAAAGGGAGAGAACACAGCACTACGAGAGCAGAGAAGAATCAGAATTTGCAGGTGTCTGCGGATGGAGTACACTGGAAGAACTCTCCAAAAGGGACGCTCCCTCACTTGGACTTGGAGAGTCGGACAAGCCCAGGAAGAGGGCCTAATGCCCCAGGGCGGAGGGAGCAGCCGGTGCCAAGCACCCAAGACCAGGGGCAGGTACAGAGAGATAAGCAGGTTACCTAAAACCCTGCCTCCCAAGGCCGTTCTGCCTTAGAACTGGACTCACCTGGTGGAGGGCAGGGAGGGCGTCTAGAACAAGGAATGGCTGTTTCTGTTTCTAGAACAAAGAGGAATGCATTGTAAGCACATTCAAATAAATGAGTGCTCTATGAATAGTGCTAAATTTAAAACTCTTTGGACAAAAAGATTTCCTTCAAGTTCCAGGTTATTCAGGTTAATGTTAGCAAAGACAATTTATATATGCAAATTGGACATGAGATGTTGGATCATTGAACAGTTATTGGGTGCCTGCTATGGGCAACTGTCAGTGTTGTAGGCACTGGGAACAAAAAACATTCTATACTTGTGACATTTATTTTTTAAAATATGTTTTATTGATTCTTTACAGAGAGGAAGGGAGGATAGAGAGTTAGAAACATCGATGAGAGAGAAACATTGATCAGCTGCCTCCCGCACACTCCCCACTGGGGATGTGCCGGCAACCAAGGTACATGCCCTTGACCGGAATCGAACCTGGGACCCTTCAGTCCGCGGGCACATCCCCAGTAGGGGGTGTGCAGGAGGCGGCTGATCGATGTTTCTCTCTCATTGATGTTTCTAACTCTCTATCCTCTCCCTTCCTCTCTGTAAAACATCAATAATATATATTTTAAAAAAATTCTATCATTGCCTTCAGTATCATAAAATTGAAGGGGCTTTTTTTTTTTTTTGGTCTGTGTGTGATAAATCTGATAGTCTATTGCCACCTTGTGCCCAAAATACTTAATTACATGCTTTAACAAAGATTCTGTACAAGTTTTCTACTGAGGCTGCAACAAATTACTACAAATTCAGTGACTCACAAACAACACAGATTTATTATTTTATAATCCTGGAGGTTCTAAGTTAGGAGTGGGTCTCAATAAGGTAAAATGAAGGTGTGGGCAGGGCTGTGTTCCTTCAAGGCCCGGGAGAAGAATGTTTTCTTACCTTTCACACCTTCCCCAGGCTTCTGAATTCCTGAGCGGGCGGTCTCTTCCCATCTTAGACCAGCAAAGGCCAGCGAGTGTTCTCAGACGAATCCCTCTGGTGCTGCCTCCTCGCTTGCACTTACAAGGACCCACATGATTCTATAGGGTCCACCTGGATAATCGAGGCTCCTGTCCCCGCCTCAGCCTCAGGTGACTAGCAAACTCAATTCCAGCTGTAACCTTAATTCTTGCTTGCTGTGAACCAATATAGGCACAGGTTTGGGGGATGAGGATGAGGACATCTTTGAGAAGGGGCATTCTGCCTACCATAGAGTCTATTAGTGTTTTTTTTCCCGGAGTTAAAATATGATACTTTTTAATGTTTCAATCAAATGGTAAAGACATTAAACTGTTTCTCTGACCTTATTTGTATCTTGGAATTGATGAACAGAAAACAAAAAATCTCTTTTGCTAATGTCTGTGAGATAAACTGTTTAAACATCCTCCCAGTGAATCTTTCTTGCTTTACTAATCTTAGCCTAAAAACTCCAAACTACATATAAAAATATTGTTAAAGGAATCTTAAAATGATTTAAGTTCATGAAGCCCAAATGTTGCTTAATAATATGCAAAATATACAAGCTGTGAGAAGGACTGGCCAGTTCTGCTGCAAGTCTTCCCAGGGCCCGTGTAAGGCTTTTGTCCAGCTTGAGGAAAGCTTCATCAAAACAGACAAGTGCCTCCAACACAACCTCCTTACAGAGCATTTTAATAAATAGCAATCAGTCAGTTGCAGCTGATGTCTTGGCGATAATGTGTTACAATTTTCCTCTATTCTGCTATAATTCTTCAAGGTGGATTAGCTAGCATGAGATTGGAAAGCAGGGAAATGAGGTCAGTCTGCCATGGAAACTATCTTGATTCATCTGCAACATTTCCCAGCACGTACTATTTTGTGCCAAGTAGAGCAGCGAGATGCAAGCACATTAGCAGGACTAAATGCAACAGAGTACTGAAACAGTGCCCTTTCCCTCCATGTTCTTTGACTCTCTCAGGCAGGCATGCTTATTTATCAAAAGGCTCCCCCTTTTCTCCTGTGTTTTCTAAAAGTTTTGTTCTTTTCACTTACCTCTGATTCCATTGTAATTTATTTTGTTGTAAGGAGTGGATTGGGAATCCAACTTCATTTTTTTGAGTTCTTCAGCATCATTTATTGTGTAATTCATCTCTCCCCATTAATATAAAATGCCACCTTGATTATACATTCAATTCCAGTAAGAATTTGGGTCTTGTGGGAGAAAATGCTAGGTATTTACCAAAACTGTTCCCTCTTCTTTCTAGACACACACACACACCAGGGCAATTTCCTGGCTTCTGCTGCATTAGGAGTGATGGGCGGGGCCCATAACAGCCTCTGCATGTGACCCCGCCCCCCCCCCCCCCCCCCCCTTTCCGGCCTTGTGGTAGGTGGAGTGGAGATGTCCTCCAGAAAGACTTGGGAAGACACACACTGAGGATGGCGGAGCTGAAGATGCAAGGAGCCTGACCCCAGCATCCTGGCTCCGAGAGCCTGATGAGCAGAAACATGTTTTGTTGGACTTTATGAAAATGAGGTAATCTTTCACTTTATCTAAGCCATTAGTTTTCTAGTTTTCCTTCTTAAACCAGATATCCTTACTCTAACTGACCTAGGTTCATTTCTGGACACTATTATGTTCCATTTACCTATTTGCCTGCTCTCATGCTACTCATGCACTATTTTAACTAATATAATAGTTTTATAATATATTTTGGTATATAGTATAACTAATACCTTAAGTTTTACTTGACATTTTTTTAATGTTTTCTCTTACATAGTTATTTTCCCATATGAACTTTAGAACCAGTGTCACAAGTTAAAGTGAAATCTCATTGGTATGTTTATTGAAATTGCATTATATGTAGTTTGATATAGGAAGGGTTGACATCTTTATAACAAAGAATTTTCTTATATAAACACATCCCTTTCCCCTTCATGTATATTCTTTTTTTTTTAAAGATTTTTTTAAAAATATATTTTACTGATTTTTTACAGAGAGGAAGGGAGAGGGATAGAGAGTCAGAAACATCGATGAGAAACATCGACCAGCTGCCTCCTGCCCACCCCCCACTGGGGATGTGCCTGCAACCAAGGTACATGCCCTTGACCGGAATCAAACCTGGGACCTTTCAGTCCACAGGCCGACGCTCTATCCACTGAGCCAAACCGGCTATGGCTTCATGTATATTCTTCAATAACTTGGTAATGTTTCCTTTAAAGAATAGGTGCTAATTTTTTATTTATTCACAGGTATCTTTTGGGGGCAAAGTTATGCTATTATAAGGTTTATTATACTAGTATTTTGTAACTGGTTGTTGCTTGTATAGGACGTCTACCAGGATGCTGTGTCAAATAAATGTAAACCACCAGTCTGACATCCAAGAAAGACACTTACAAGAAAAATAAGTCTTCAATGACGTTTTAACACGTCTACCTCATAGCAGAACAGACTGTATAATGAGAAGGTATGTGTAGCTTTGTCCAGGATGGTCACAGAATGTCCTCCTTCTTGACTGGAATTCCAAAGAGCTCCCATGTTTATGGAATTCCATGCGAGCACTGTCATGTTGGGTGTGAAGAAGCCCAGGGGACATCACCGTTCTCCACTAAATTCCTAAACATCCTAAAAATAGGCACAGGCATTCGGGCAGATGGAGAAAAAAATGTTATTACCGATAAAACTGGTATTAAGAGAATGTGGCTTAAGTCTGTGGCAACAACTGGCTTCTAACACTGCACCCCAGAGACAGACTCTGCCATCTGCTGGCACCGCTGGACAACTGTAAGCCTCTCCTATAGGATGCATCCTGCAGTTCTCCTCTCACTCCTCCTCGCCTAGGGAGGGGTGGATGAAAGGGAGAGCAAGGCTGGGGCTGTGATGGAAGGTGCTTCCACATGGCAGGGAAATCAGAAGTGAGAAAGTGTTGCTCTTCCAACAGTCAGCAAAGCTATAACCTAAGACTGTGGTCGGCAAACTGCGGCTTGTGAGCCACATGCAGCTCTTTGGCCCCTTGAGTGTGGCTCTTCCTAAGCCTTAGGAGCACCCTAATTAAGTTAATAACAATGTACCTACCTGTATAGTTTAAATTTAAAAAATTTGGCTCTCAAAAGAAATTTTTTTTTAAAAGGTTGCAGGTTTTTTTTTTTGTTTGTTTGTTTTAAAATATATTTTATTGATTTTTTACAGAGAGGAAGGGTGAGGGATAGAGAGTTAGAAACATCGATGAGGGAGAAACATCGATCAGCTGCCTCCTGCACACCTCCCACTGGGGATGTGCCCGCAACCAAGGTACATGCCCTTGACCGGGATCGAACCTGGGACCCTTCAGTCCACAGGCCGACGCTCTATCCACTGAGCCAAACCGGTCAGGCTCAAAAGAAATTTCAATCGTTGTACTGTTGATATTTGGCTCTGTTGACTGAGTTTGCCGACCACTGACCTAAGAGCAATATTTTTAAGGGACCAAAAGTTCATATCCGCAGTTTTTGGCAATAAGGTCAAATGTTAGATGTGACTTTTAGGCAGGAAATCAAACTACCTATGTTTTAAAGTCACGCAGACATAGGCATTGTGGAACATGGTTCTTACAGGTTTTCCCTGGAGAGAACAGATGCCAAAACGTGGAAAACGGACACGATGGCCTTTCTTTTATGACTTACTCGATGGACACAACCATTCGATTACAGGTATTACACTCTTTTGGACTCATGTACGTAACACCTAATCCTTGGTAACTGTTTGTTATTGTGTAATGCCTGTTTGTTATTTGTTCAATTTGATCTCAAAGATAGCATGCTCACGAGAGGATGTATAATGTAGGGCACATGATAAGGTTTTTTACTGCCAAGCCCCAAATGACCACTATTTCCTGTACTCATTATTTGTTCATTAAACATTTTTTGAGGCCCTATGATAGACAGAAACTGTGCCAGAGGCCAGGGCTACGAAGATGTACGATGCCCTTGTTGGGCTCATGTTCCACTGGGGAGATGTAAACATAATGGGCAATGCTGGGGCACAGTACAGACGAGGAACACAGGGCCTCGAACCACCTGAGACAAGGGACTCTGACAAGTTAGTTGCCCACCTTCACAACACTTGTAACTGGCCAAGGAAGTATTTGCGGTCTGATTTCAAAGCCACCAATACCCCCAGTGCCACTTTGTGGTGACGGGCCCACTCCTGCCTGTGCCTGCTCCAGGTGGGGTGATGCTGCAGGCGGGGGTGGTGCTGCTATACAGGCAGATCTCAGGGTAGCTCTGTCCAAAAGCCGGCATCCAAGCCTAGCTCCAAGCCTGACCTCGTCCCTGCCTCTCTCCTGGAGTGATCAGGGTCATGTCTGAAGGGCTGCTACCCTTATTAGGCCAAGCTGACAGGGACAGTCCCACTTTCTGAAATGATCCCACTTTCCCGAACCCTGAACAAGCAGGGGTCGCTCTGTGGTAAGCCCGAGGCCCAGAGGAAGGAAACGCTTGGGAGGGGTTTGGAAATCACAGTGATCTGGCTAGAGATGCCTATTCTCCCCCCACCTCCCTGCCATGCTCTGGCCGATTCACGAGGGACTTCTTTGCTCGAGGTCACCTGTAAATCAGAAATGTCAACAATGATAAGGATAACCCTAGTTCTATGAATGTGAGTTATAGGTTCTGGGGGTGGCAACTTCCAAACATTGTCCACATCAGTTTACAGCAGAAACCCTAGGTTTATCTAAAGGCAGGCAGAAGGGAAGTATAAGAGGAAAACAGATTGGGGTGGGCTTGGATTTCCCTAACTCCTGATTGCACACGAGTGCAAGTTTCAAAATGGTGAATAAATGGGCACTTACACCAATTCCAAGGCAAAAATTTTAAATTATGGCTACTCTGCTTAAAGCCCTGTTACTTCTTTCCTTATGGGCAAGGACCTGCCCTCTTTGAATAAAGCAACTGAAATTCCATTATCAACAGAAATAAATGGAAGCTAATAGGGAGTTAATAAAAATCAGTATTTAGGCGAGGCATGAGGAGAGCAGCTGAGACCTGAAATAGCCACCATAGGATATTCTAATTAGGGCTGAGTTTGGAAATGACAGCCCGTTTACTGAATGGTTCTTGTGTAAGGGCTTTATGTATGTTGTTCCTCACAATATCCTGATGAGTTACATTCTCTCATTATAATAAAAGGGAGCTGGGCATAGAGAAGGGGACACTGGGGCCAGGCGGCAGCCCCCTGAAGTGCACACTTACCACTGTGCTCTACTCTATTCAGTCATGACATGTACCTGTCTCAATCTTGGCGAGACTCATAGTAACTGAGGCACCAAGGCTTCTGAGCAGTGCTTATGGCTCACAGCTGACAGCTTCAGGGATCTGCTGGCTATGGAAGAGCGCTTTGAAGTCAGAGACATGGGAGCTGTCGCTGGTGATGGGCTGAGGACTCAACAAGGAAGGTCTTCGAAGGAAGTGAAACCGGGCAGCCTCAGGACTGCCTCCCCTCTGCAGTGGGTTCCTGCTTCTGAATCACAGGAGCCAAACTTATGACATACTGATGTGAGAAATGCCAACTCCCTAATTTGTGATGGTAAGAGGCAACCTTCCAGCGAGTGGCCAGAATAGTCACTGTCCAGGGAACTCTCTCCTAAGAATCGAGGGTCACAGAAACCTTAGTCACAACTTCATTTGTTGAACTCAGATGGGAGTAAAGAGAGAATGGCCCTGGTGTCTGGAGTCCTGGGAGCGCAGCTGGCAGCAGTGAGCCAAGAGCAGCCAGGACCTGTTAGTTCAAAAGCGCTACAAGAGCACTGCGGCCCAGGATGGCCAGGCAGGGCCCTGCAGGCCAACGATGAAGATGTCCCACAAAAAAATGAGGCAATCTTGTACTAACAAACATGCCACTGACTATAAACTGTTGGCAGTACGATGAGTATGTTGCCAGCAATCTAGGACCACAACTGCTAAAATAAAACCAGTATTCAGAGATAATCCTATATAATAAAAGGGTAACATGCAAATTGACCCTAATGGCAGAATGACCAGTCACTATGAGGCACACTGACCACCTCCTGGTCCCTTTCCTCGGCCTGCAGGCTCCAATCGCCTGATGATGAACAGGGAACTGGGGGTGGGTGGTGGCAGGGGGCAGGGCCGGCTGTGGGCAGCCGGGGAAGATGGCCCTGATCGCAGGCCAGGCCTAGGGACTGTACCTGTGCACGACTTTCGTGCGCCGGGCCTCTAGTATCATACAAAGAATTAAGGACTTTGACCATGAGCTCCTTGAGGATCTAGAACACCTTAAGATATCAAAGCTATGGCCTATGCTTACATTTAAGTCACTTTTTAAAGAAGCCACTCAAAAGCCCATGCTTCAATGATATTCGTGCCTAATCCAAACATTGTACTGTGATGTTCCTCATTGGTACTTAGAATACATATGAAGGATATCTTGATAAATTAAATATTTTCCTATTTGAAATAAGCAAAGACATAATTTGCTGAGTTGGTTTTAGTCAACAAATAGGGACTGAATTTTATTCTTCTAAAAGAATTACAGAGCATGAGAACTAAACAATCCAAGTGTCCCTAGAAGGAAATTGATACCCTCTTGTTCTGCCTGAGTTAAAACAATGATAAATCACATCAGTTCATGGGAATTATAATAAATGACTACTAGCTAACCCAGACCCATAAGATCAATGCTATGAACACAAAGAAATTATAAATAATTAATACTACAGTTTAGTTTAAAATTTCAAAACCTCAATACACGCCTGTTTATTTCTTTTAGTACACAAAATTAATTTACTCGTAAAAGTAACATCTGTTTACAGAACTCTAATAAAAATTTAAAAATAAATAGCACTATTTTACAATTCTGATCTTACAGAGAAATAAAACTTTTTGGCACATAATGTTCTACCAAAATAGAAAGTTAAATCAGTTTGCTTTGCTTTTCACAACAGAAATAAGCATTCACACTATCAGGCTTGGGAAATCAACTTGGTGACAAGAAAACCAGAATCATTGGAAAAATGGGATCTGGTGCCATCTAGTGAGTGGTAATGGTAATGTGACTGTGGCTACCAGCCATTAAGTTAGGTTAACACTATAATTTTAGTGACATGCAACTCAACAGGTACACAAGGCCTGAAAGTTACATGCAAAAATGAAGACAACTACTGTGTTAGGCTTGAGGAATAATGGTTTTTTTTCTTCTATAAATGTCATCCTACTTTTTAAAGAAAAAAAATCAAGCAGGTAAAAATGATTACTGAACATGAGGGATACTAAAGGGGAGACTTTGGCCAATTAAGTAAATGAAAAGCTGTAAGAGCGACTCAGGTAGGCTCTCTTACTCATGGGAGGCTGGTGGAAGGCAGTATTTATGGTAGGTCAGAAGTAAGGACTTAAATTTTTCCCCTATTTTTTACATAAAGAGCTGGTTTATTTATTTATTTAAAAAATATTTTATTGATTTTTTTACAGAGAGGAAGGGAGAGGGATAGAGAGTTAGAAACATCGATGAGAAAGAAACATCAATCAGCTGCCTCCTGCACGCTCCCCACTGGGGATGTGCCCACAACCAAGGTACATGCCCTTGACCAGAATCGAACCTGGGACCCTTGAGTCCGCAGGCCGACGCTCTATCCGCTGAGCCAAACTGGTTAGGGCAAGAGCTGGTTTATTTGAAAAAAGTATCTACCCAGACTGCCAATAAAGTGGCACTTAGGAACTATAATGACAATCAATGCTCACACTTACCTTCATGGAGGCCAAAACTACAGAATGGCTTTTCTGATTAGCAAACTAGAGTTAATTTTTGTTCAGTTGAGTTTACTGAAATAGACCTCCTCAACCAACAATGCTGAGAGCATTTTTAGCAAGAGCTGGGCTACAGAACAAACACTCATAGAGAGGTAGACTTCCTGTAAAATTTTCATGAACTGGCAAGTTTGTTTTATTGTTGTTGTTATTATTTTGGTAGTAGCTTTTGAGAATACTACTTTCCTATAAGGCCATGTTTGTGGCTGTCCTTCCATGATTTGTTTCTTAGCTGTCCCTCAAAAGGGCAGGGCCTTGTCTGTTCTGTTCATCACCATATACCCAGCACGGAATTATGTCTGGCACATGTCTCAATAAATGTCAGCTAGTTGAGTGAATAAATCAATGAATTAATGAATCTCATACTGCCGGGAGCCGGTGCATGCTTGCTGTTTCAAGGGACCTGGCATATATGGCATACTGTTCTTAATATGTTTGCTCACCTTCTTGGCACTATGTGTTTTAACCAAGGTCTCTGAGAAAGGTTGTTTCCCCAGGTAGGGATTTTCCCCTGAAGTTAGGGAGGGAATAAAACCTCTTAACTAAGTGCCAGGCGGGTAATTAATCACTTTAACTATGGACAATCATGCTTAAGCTACATAATCTTTACTCCCTGGAATGGAGATAAGAAACGCCCTAACCTTTGTAATAGAGATTGATAGGATTGAATCAACTGGTATAAATACAGATGTAATAAGACAGCAAGACACAGAACTCAGAACACAGAACTTAGAATACAGAGCTTAGAACACAGAACCTAGGCACAGAACCTACACAGAACGTTCTCTAGAGACAGAAGAACTTCGCTGGAGAGAACATGGCAAAAGATCCTGGACTGAACCTGACTACAGAAATTGGCAAGAGAACCTGACTAGAACCTGGTGACTGAACCTGGCTGGAGAACCTGGACAGAACCTGGCTGGAGAACCTAGCGAGGGAACATGGCTACAGAACCTGGCTGGAGAACATGGAGAACCTAGCAAGAGAACATGGACATAGAACCTGGCTGGAGATCCTAACCAGAACCTCTCTGGAGATCCAGACCAGAACTTGGCTGGAGATCCTGGCTGGAGATCCTGGCTAGGCTGCTGATCAACTGAACACTGTCTCCGTGTCCTTCCTTCTTCGCCGACTCCGTCCACACCTTTGGGGACCCCTGGACCTGCTGGGGTTGGACCCCAGCATCATACAGTCTAACTGACTTACAGGAAAAAAGGGAAAAGAGGAAAAACAAAACGCCCTCACAAAAGTGAGGACAATCACAGAAAGGAAGAAAGGTAAGCAACAGGGGTAGTCTTGATGCCAACAAAATTGCCATCATTCAACAACTGACAATACCTGAAGGATTTTAAGTCAAAGTTAATATAAAGACAAAGTGTTTTCTGGAAGACTCATTTACAAATAAGTTAATGAAAACCTGCTACTACATCGCAATGTAATAGGAGTCCAGTGTTTTGCTGTTTCAAGGTGGAGAGGACTCTGCTGAGTACACCAGGTGGAGGTCTAGAGTCCCATAGAGGGAGCGGAGCACACTGAGGACTTTTTCCTGAATGGCGTCCACTTGCTCAGAAGGACAGTAATCATCCAGACTTGACCTGGAACCAAAAAGAGAAAGAAAAAAACCTCAACCACACAAATAGGATGAGATCACTGTGCAGCGAGGAAAAGCCTGTATGTGTTGATATCAATATAAAATAGGAAGTATGCTAAATTTTGGAATAGCAGTTGAAAGCTACTAAATGTTTATTCACGTCAGGTACATGACACAACTACGTTCTTTAATCTTCTCAGCCACACCAAGAAACAGGTACGTTTACCTTCCCTTGAAAGGAACCTGAAACTGAGAAAGATTAATATGCACAGGGCCCATCTTCAAAGGCCCGGTGCTTCCTCACTGGCCTGCTGCTGCCCTGAGAGGGAGATGTTGCTGGGAACCCTGGGGCTCATTATTGTAGTGACTGGCATCCTTCCCTTCTTCGATGTGTACATTGGGGCTAGAACTCAGGAGGGAAGAGGCTTTCCAACCGATAACAGGGATCTGCTTCTAAAAACAATCTGTTAACTACACGAGTGTATAGGATCGTCCAACATGTAGTGTGGGAATGTGCTGGTGTAGGGATTGATTTCCTAGGTGGTAAGTATTGAGGAAAAGAGCCAAGTGGATGGGACAGAAATTGACATTTTGGGAGTTTTTCTGGAATCACCAAGGACAACTTGAATGGCCAGGCAGTTATGACGTCATTGACAAAGAGAGCTGGACTAAGATCTGAAATGATTTGATCAGTGTCTCCTGGTTCTGACCTGGGTGAGGAAGCCATTTTAGAAGGATGGATTGGGAAGAGCGGTGTAGAAACTTTTATAGATAGAAATGGGATTAGTTATCTAGCCTACTCCCTATCACAAGTATTTAAAACTGAACAAGTAACAGTCTTACTAAATAACCTAACTTGTGATAAACTCATTCCATTCTCTGGTGATTTTTAGGGCTTGATGTAAATATTTAACACATAATAAATGATACACAACAACGTTAAATTATTAAATACTGTCCAACATATACATATGGATAAAGACCTACTGTGACGAAGTATCATATACAAAAGATTAATTTATGACAAATAAGGGGCTGTTAAATGCTTTAAAAAAATTTCTGGCCTCTTTAACACTGTTAGATTGGTTCTTCCCCTCCCACCCCTCCCCCCATTGATTTTTAGAGAGAGAAGAAGGGAGAGAGAAAGAAACATTGATGAAAGAGATACATCGATTGGTTGCCTCCCACAATTGCCCAGACTGGGGCCAGGGAAGGAACCTGCAATCCTGGTACTGCCCTTGACCGGGATAGAAACCAGGACCCTTTGGTGCGGACACTCTAACCACTGAGCACACTGGCCAGGGCTGGAGTGGTTCTTGATGGGAGTACCAAAAGGGAGTTTTGGAATTCTGTAGGTACATTTTTGATTGTCAAATCATAATTAGGGGCCAGAGAAAGAGGACAGGGCTGCAAGAATGCTTACAATATGCAGGATAGTCCTGCAACATAAATATGAATGACCCTCTATGTCCTCAGTACTTTTCCAAGCCCCCAGAGCACTCACAGAGTGCAAAACCGGGTCCTGGTTTTCATTGTTTGAACCCAGAATGTATCATATGAATAAAGTATTTTTGAAAACAGATTCAATATGTACTAAAATTTTCAGAAATGAAACTAACTACTCTGTTAATTGAAGGAAGATTGGACCAAGAGACTGTTTTAACTAGAAAGACTGTCACTTATGGCAGCATCGTTCAAGTTATTTGGCTCATACAACATGTATCTGTCTGCGTTTGTAACTGTTACATTTTGTGACTGTTTTAATATGTATTACTTTTATCAATGACTTTCACTTCTCCTTTATGTTACAATGATATTTCTGTGTATATACATATATGAACATATATTTAAATTAGGTATATAAGTAGGTTACTGCTATAGACTAAGACTAAGTCTTTGTGAACCCCCACCCCCCCTCCATAAAATTCATTATTTGGAACCTAATTCCCAATGTGATCATATCTGGAGGTAAGCCTTTGGGAGGTGATAAGGTCATGAGGGTAGGAATCTCATAAATGAGATTAATGCCTTTACAACCATGATCCCAGAGAGCTCCTTTACCCCTTCCACCACATGAGGTTATAGGGAGAGGATGGCTTCTATGAACCAGGACCCAGGTCCTCACCACAACTCTGAACCTGCTGATGTCTTCATCTTGGACTTCCCAGCCTTAAGGCTGTGAGAAACAAATTTCTGTTGTTTATATAAGAAACAGGTCTATGATATTTTGCTACTGTAGTCTGAATGGACTAAGACAATTCTATTATCTATATATTATGTATAATATCCATATACTTTAAAATTATGCAGTTAGATTACCTATGAATTTTGTTGTAGGGCCATAAAAGATGTTATAAAATGCTTGTCATACAAAACATAAACATTATTTGAGTATTTAAAGCAGTTATTTTAGAATCTAACAGTTCTCTATAAAACCAGCCCAAATATGAACATAGAAAATAAAGTTTTTATTGTTGTAACTATTCAGCACATTAGTATGTTTAAATCTAAAACATGGCAGCACCTAAATATTCCCCTGTAGGACAAAGAAATGGGAATTCCCGTGTTTATCTGAATAATAAACACCAACTTCAAAGACAAGATAACATGTTCTTTGCTAACCATTACTAAGAGGGAAGAGAAAATACAGTATCTGAAATTTGAGCTGAGAACGTAAAAAAAAATAGATTAAAGAATTACTGTATCAGTAATCAGCAGATTCATTTAGGGAGATTTGTATTAATTCATCTAGAAAGGTTGCCACTGCTATAAGAATTTGCCACAAACATAGAGGCTTACAGCAACACAAATTTATTATAGTTTTGTTGGAGGTCAGAAGTCCTGAAATAAAGGTGCCGCGGGACTGCGTTTTTCTTCTCTTGGCTTTTCTTGCCTTCCCACCTTCTATAGCAGCGGTTCTCAACCTGTGGGTCGCGACCCCTTTGGCAGTTGAACGACCCTTTCACAGGGGTCGCCTAAGACCATCTTGCATATCAGATATTTACATTACGATTCATAACAGTGGCAACATTACAGTTATGAAGTAGCAACAAAAAACCGGTTTGGCTCAGTGGATAGAGCGTCGGCCTGCGGACTGAAAGGTCCCAGGTTCGATTCCGGTCAAGGGCATGTACCTGGGTTGCGGGCACATCCCCAGTAGGAGATGTGCAGGAGGCAGCTGATCGATGTTTCTCTCTCATCGATGTTTCTAGCTCTCTATCTCTCTCCCTTCCTCTCTGTAAAAAATCAATAAAATATATTAAAAAAAAATAATAATTTTATGGTTGGGTCACAACATGAGGAACTGTATTTAAAGGGCCAGAAAGTTGAGAACCACTGTTCTATAGGCTGCCTGCAGTCATTCCTGACCGCGTGGCCCCATCTCCATCTTCAAAGCCAACATCCTCGCACCTTCCAATCTCTCTGACTCTGAACCTATCTTCCTTGTAAGGATCCCCGTGATTACATTCCATCCACCGAGATAATCCAGGATAATCACCATATTTTAAGATCCTTGAGTTAATCAACACCTGTAAGGTCCTTTTGCCACTATAAGCCAACATTTTCACAAGTTCTTAAGATCAGGACATGAACATTTTTAATGGGCCTTTATTTAGGCTATCACACTTACCTTGCAATTGTTACAAGAGTAGGTTTTGGTAAATTTTTCAGTAAATAAAATACAGACTGAATAAGATACTCAATTTCTTGTTCTGTGCTGATATGGTGAGGAAGTTCTGAATAATCACAGGTTAGACCAGCCTGATGAACCTGAAAATAAGACAATTAAAAATTACACTGTAAGACTTTATTGTTTTTAGAAGATTCTTTATCCATTAATTGCCTTGCTGACAAATCTTTTAACATTTTTGTGAATTGGGATGATTTTTTTCCTTAATAATTTCTGTGCCACAGAAGTTACTTATTCTCTCAAGTTTGTAAGAACTGGCCTATACTCTTATTTGAGCCTGATGCCTTTTCTAGAAATAGTTCTTTAACTACTCTTTAAGTTTATTTTATGATTATGGATTCATTCAGTTTCTGTATTTACGTGAGGCTTTCTGACAATTCAGTTTCTAGCAAATTATCCATTTCACCTAGATTCTAAAAGCTGATATAAAACTATACATAATATTCTCACCTTTTCTCTCAGTGTATTATTTTCTTTTTAAATAGATGCACTTAGTACTACATTCAAAGCTTTAGGAGAATATAAGGGAGAGTCTTCCTATCTCATTTAACCTACTGTTCCTAGTTTCTTGTGTATCCTTTGTGTATAAGCACATATTACTGATATCTACACATGCATTTTAAATGTAAGCGACTGGCACCAAACTCAATATGCCTGAAAGCTGGAAGTGGCTCACAAGCTGGCATTTTGCAGCTTCTGCTTTAAAGTTCTGGAAAACTGGATCTCAAATATGTCACAGTTTTGCCTAGCGTACATGAGTGCAAAGCATGGGGAAAACACTAATCTGCTATTTTATTGGATTAACATCAAAGATTTAACTGGCAATGATCCGTCAATGTAGTAAAATGACACTCTGCATGATCTTCTCTACTAAATTGATTAAAACACTCGGTGTCCTAACCCTGCAGCTATAGGCATGCCATATTTGATTATATAATCTGTGACTGAGCCCATGACATCCCTTCTCTCAACAATGTATAAAACCCTCCCAACCATCACAAAACCCAGACGCAATGGATGGAACAGTGAAAGTAGATCTGCATGAAGTCACATGCATTAATATCACATGAGCGCAAGCATTTTTAAACCCTAAGTGTCTTCTCTTTCATTCTTTATTTTTTATTTAATCCTCACCCAAGGAGTGAGAATATTTTTCCCATGGATTTTTAGAGAGAGTGGGAGGGAGAGGAGGAGGGAAAGAAAGGGAGCGGAGGGAGAGAGAGAAACATCAATGTGATAGACACACATCAACTGGTTGCTTCCCACATGTTCCCTGTGTTCCCTGACCAGGAGCTGGGGTTGGATCTGCAACCCACGTATGTGCCCTTGACCAGAAATTGAACCTGTGACCTTTCGGTGCACAGGCCGATGCTCTAACCATTGAGCTCTGCTGGTCAGGGCTTCTCTTTCATTCTTAGTAACTGCCATTAAAAAGAAGGATGACTATGTATGGTGCTAGCTGGGTATTAGAAATACTGGGCGAACGCTTTGTAAAGTATATGGTTGTCTCACCACTATGCTGTACACCTGATTGCAATACAAAATAATACTGAATGTACAAAAAAAAGAGATGAGTCTTAGATTAGCCACAATTTAACCAAAATATTCTTTTGCTGGTATTTTTTATTCTCATAAAGTTAGCATTAAGTCAATATGTAAACTTCAGTTCAAATTAGGTGGTTCGATTGCATTCCATGATTAAATAAAATATTAAGAAGCACCAGAAATAAAAGAACACAAGGCTGGGGCTGTGTGTGTGTCTCAGCTCTGGCACAAAATCAGAGAAAAAGCACATGAACTTCAGCTGGGAAAATTTATACTTCAAAGACTGCAGAATGATATCAAAATAAAAGAGATTATCATTAAAGGTTTCTCTTTTGCCACAGAATTCAAGTCTCTGCTGGCAAACAAAGTCAGTTGTACAGCTGATTCAGTTAAGATGCCAGCACCAATTCACCAGAGCGCTTTCTGCGTCTTTGTTTGGTTTTTATAATCAGAAAATTTTACAGAGTCAGGAAACAAAGGAGGAAAGGAGTAAAAAAAAAAAAACTTGTATTCTTTCTTTTCTCTGGAAGAAGAGCTCTGACAGAAACAAAAACAAAACCCCACAGACAAAAAAATACAGCACTTTTACCTCATAGGTAAAATTGGGAAAAATATGTTATTCCTAGAAAAATTAAAAATGTCCCAGCTTCTAAAAAGCATTTATTTCTTTTTCACCACTTAAAAAATATTCATTCACACTTCCCAAGAACACGAATAAAAGTGACCTACTTTAACAAAAAACACAGTTTTCTACCCAGAAATGCCTTTGGAAAGGGCCAACTTTTTACTTCAATATAAAATCATTTACCATTTCATAGTCTGGCACATCCATCCGTTTTTTCAAACTCTGCACAAGTGGAACTAGTGATTCCATTCTGGAAAATAGCCACAGCTCAATTAAACATCACATCACCGCAACCAAAATTACAGTAGCCAGTGATACATTACCCTTAAAATTCACCACTAATAATATGGTTCTTGGGAAATGAAAGATAAAGCTGTTCAAATGTCATCTTAAAAATGTTCCCTGCTGTTTCCTTACCTAAAAAGGTTACAGATTGTGTTCAAGATTGAAAATTAGCACTTGAGAAACCGAGCTTTTCCTTTTCTTTAAAAATGCAAGTTCTACTGTGACTTTAAAAGTCACTTTGATCAGCAAGAAAAGTGCCTTTAGCACAGTGTTGAAAAAAGCCTGAACTGATGTTAAAGTGCCGGGTTACTATTTACTGATGTGATTATGCATAAGTAACACACAGCAAAGGAAGGTATCTCTGTCTCATCATTTAGCCAAATAATTCCTCTCCCCAGAGATAACTGCTTTTCTAGTTTCCTCCTTATTCTCCCAGAGACCTGCTGAATTATCTCTCTCTATAAAAGCCTAAGCGACCATTACGACTGAACGACCAGATCGACCAGTCACTATGATGCTCACTGACCACCAGGGGGCAGACGCTCAACGCTGACGCCCCCTGGTGGTCAGTGCACTCCCACAGCCTGCCTCCCGCGGCCCCTCCCCCCTGCTTGGCCAACCTCCTGGGGTCCCTCCCCGCTGCTGGCTGTCTACTCCCCACCCCATAGGCCTTGATCGCAGGCCAGGCCGAGGGACCCCACCCATGCACGAGTTTGTGCACTGGGCCTCTAGTTTTCAATAACTGTTACATAACAAATCTTAGTGGCTTGAACTACTATGATTCTAACTATATTTTGTTGCTACCTTATGACAGATTTCTCACATTTACATGTGGAGAATAGTCTGTTTGTGGGAGATCAATTTGAAAATAAGCTGGTTCTGGTCTTCTATGCTCATGGGCACACAAAGTTTGTGTCTGACAGTTTTATTTTAGTTACCTGGTCTTATGAGTTTATATAACTTAAAGAATTACTTTAGAGAATGGTAGCTATAATATTTATGTCACTTACTATTCTTTCAAACTAGTATTAATACTAAAGGCATTCTTCACTCTGCCCCCAAATAAACAGATGATCACTTTAAAAGAACTTTTGTCTCCCTATTTTCAGGTTGACACTGAGAGAATTAGCCAAATAAATGACCCAATGACAATCTCAGCTCTCAAATCTTGCTCCTTGATGCTATGGGCAGCTTGAAAACAAACTCTTCTACTCATAGTTGGGCTATCCTTAAAAAGAGGCACATTTTCACATAATTTACTAGTCTAGTAATTTTTTTTTATTTTACTTAGAACAGGGGCTGTCTTACTCATCTTTAATCTTCCATGAAACCCACCACATCTTGTATATAATAGGGGCAGCTGCTGCACAATGACTAAAAGCACACCCACTTGCTATGTGATTTGGGATGACTTAACCTCTGTGCCTTAGTTTCCTCATCTATAAAAAAGAAATGATAATAATGAAGCTGTAAGATTGTTATAAGCAATAAATAAGATAATGCAAGGAAAACCTTAGAATTATACTGGGCACACAGAAAATAATAAATGCTAACTAGTAAATTTGTGTTGAAATTTAATACTAATTTTTAAAAGCAATTTAGTAAATCTAGCCATCTATCTAGGACTGAAATATAGTAGAGTTGGAGAAAAAAATGCCTGAAGGTCTTACCCAGGGTTTGAAGCCCATTTCTGTACAGTTTCTTCATCATCACAATCACACAAATCAGCAAAAGTAGCTTCTAAATCTTCTAGTTGGTGAATTCGAGTATCAACACAATCTACCAAATCTTCCTTTAAATGCACAGAAAAGCCGAGATTATAGTTATTCTTTCAAAAACAAGTAAAGGAGGGTGGGGGAAGTAGAAGTGGGCAAAGGGGGGATAAACGGGAACAGAGACTTGATTTTAGGTGGTGAGTGTACAATGCACTATGCGGATGCTGTTTTATCGGGTTGTACACTTGAAACTTGTATGGTTTTATTAACCAATGTCACCCCAATAAACTTAATTTAAAAATAAATAATTTAAAAAATGCCCTATACTGTAAAACAAACAAAAATCGCAATTCATTTAATTAAAACATGATTTTCAAGTACAAATCATAAACTTCCCCATTAAACACACACACAAAGATTTTGGACAGTTGAGAGCCCTCTAATAAACTGTTAAGATATTATTAAATATGTGACAAATAGATAAGCCCCAAAGAAATAAATGGAGGATACCTCTGTCAGGTTGGTGCCAGGCTTTTTAAATTGGTAGAGCTCTTGTAAGATTTTGTATTCCTCCTAAAAATAACACAAAAAAATCAATATACTAGAAAAAAAATTATTTTTTTCAATGATATGCTTTAAGTGAAAAATGGCTGTGATACAAGAACATCCTACATAATCATTAAAAAATCTATCTGGGAAAATCAGGCAAAATGTACAATTCAGATTTCATTGTAAATATTATAATTTCTTCAGAGTTTACTCTATCCTTCTGGGCATGACAAGTAGAGGTCTATGATTATTTAGATAAATCACAATGGCTTCTGATATGTATACAGAATAAGGATTGTAAAGTACAGCAGCATCATTATAAATCAAAAACTGAACCTAGAAAAAAGACAGTTAATTTGAATCTCCCCAAAATAGATCTGGAACAACTTTCTGAACACGAAGGCAAACAGATACACATGCCCATAAAATGCACCCTTGAATGCTCATTTGGACCATGAACTCATCTGTTTCCCAAATACATAATTCTATTTTAGATCAGTGCATACTGGTATTGTCTGGTGATTTGCATTTAAGATCTGCTGAGATATCCTAAGGATCACAGGACTCAAAAATTAATTATAACAAGTACATGTGTAATTAGGCACCTTATTGTTTACTGAAAAATTTGTCACACAGGGTTTTATAGACATAAAATATCTTTGGGCTCGGCCAGCCTGGCTCAGTGGTTGAGCATTGACCTATGAACCAGCCTGGATGAGGGGATGATGGCTGTTTGCAGTTGGTCACACCCCCTTCAGGGTGGGGGTCCCCACTGGGGTGCCTGGCCAGTCTGGGTGAGGGGCTGAGGGCCGTTTTCAGGCTGGTGGGTGACTGAAGCTCCCAACCTCTTTTTTTTTCTTTCCTTTTTTATTCTGGGATTTATTTACCTTCTATGGCTGTCACTGGAGCTGAGAGCTGGCTTTAGCTCTGAGGCTCGGCTCCAGCTCTGAGACCTTGGCTGCTGAAAACAGGAATCTAGGGTTTGTTTGGGTTCTATAATTGTAACACTGTTGCGGTCCTGCTCGCTCCAGCTCTGACGGCTGAAAGCACGTTTCTGGGGTTTGTTTAGCTTCTATAATTGCAACATAGTTGCTTAGAGTGCAAGCTCAGAGGCCGGCAGCGGCAGGCGGGGAACCTTGGCTTCCTCCGTCACTGGAGCAAGCAAGCCTCCTGTTTGCTTCAGCTGCCTGGCTGCCAGCCGCCATCTTGGCTGGCAGTTAATTTGCATATCTCGCTGATTAGCCAATGGGAAGGGTAGCGAAGTTACAGTTAATTATCATGTTTCTCTATTATTAGATAGGCTATATATCTACATTAATACAAAAGATGCAAATTGACCATACCTTCACGATGCCTACCAGCCAATCAGGAGTGACTATGCAAATCAACCCAAAAAAGATGGCAGGTTAATTTGCATTTGCAGGTGCCGAGCGGCCGGGGGCAGGATGCAGGCATTTTGCACCGCCCCAGCCGCTCCGGGCTTCTGGGCAGTGTGGGAAGGCAGAAAGGCGGCTCCGGCAGGAGCGAAGGCGGTGCTGGTAACCATGGGAAGGAAGGCTCATTCTTGCACAAATCTTCGTGCATCGGGCCTCTAGTATATACATATATATAAATCATCTCTGGGAAGATAGCATAAAAAACTGGCCATAGTATTTGTTTCAAGCTAAGAATCTGAGGGTATGGGAATGGGTAAGAGACTGACATTCTTTAATATACACACTTTCTTCTATTATATCACTTTTGTTTTTCAACCATCCATGCACACATCACCCCAATTACTAGTAATAGATGCAAAATAATAAATACTATCTAGAGCAGGGGTCTGTTTTTGTATGGCCTTCAAGTTATGGATGGTATATATAATTACAAAGGCTCTGAAAGAGCAACAAGGAAGAATATGTGACAGAGGCCATATGATGACCCCAATACAGTCATTACTATCTGGCTGTTTGCAGAAAGTTTGCTGATCCCTGATCTACAGAAATGTCATATAATTCTCAAGATCTACATTTTAAAAATGTTTACCTGAGTGAACATTTCTTTGAAGGGATTCTTGACTGAAAAAAAATCTAAGTCAATATCTAAAACAAATGCATCCCCTTTCTTCAAAATTTCCAGAATTTCTCCAGAGCTGACTGTAGTCTGGCATTCCTGGCTCTCAGAAGAACGTGAACATGAAGGTTCCAGGCTGGTGTGGACCCTTCTCTGGGTCACTGTGTCCTTTTCCAATCCTTCTGAACAAGAGGCACAGTTAGTAGAGGCAGTGTGTTCTGTGTCTTCCCGTGCTAGCTTTGGTTTCTTAGCAGAAGACACTGCATCGTTTTCCTCTTGATTGTTACAGAGTTTATATGGCTTTACCATAATTACATCCAATTGTAAAGGTTTTTGGTTCTCTAGCTGGTCTTCAGTTACATAAAGACCATCACTTAGGAAGTAGTGATCTGTACTTGTTACCCTGGATCAGAGGAAAAAACTATTTTAAAGATGAATAGATAAATTAATTGATATTTCATATAGCATTTCCATGGCATTGCAGATCTATAAGAAAGGACATATTAGACAAAACCTGAGAGCTGTCTTTAATATTTGCACTTCCTATGCTTCTGTAGAAATAGCATTCCCCAAGTTTTTAACTGGGCACACAACTGCCCAGTCACATTTGACTAAGTTCTCGCCTTGCTCTCCCTCCCCAACTACTGGCATATGACATGGAAGTGGCAAGCCCACTTGGAATATGAGGACAAAGGCAACATTCTAGAGATAATGGGGCAAAAAGATAGAAGGAACTGGGGTTACCTAAACGACAGAACTGCCATCTGGGCCCTGGACTGAATGCAGTAAACTAATCTGAGAAAGGAAAATGATGCTATTCAAGCCGGTGCCTTGGCTTTCTCTCATACCAGTTGAAACTCTATCTCCCCCTCCTCAAAAAAGAAAATCACTTAAGAGAAAAATTACACATCTGGAAATAATTCTTATAATAGAAGCTCCCTCTGATGTATTTCAAAGCTTCGTTAAACTTGATATAATCATAATATCTACACTAAATAAAAGAGAAAGATGCAAATTGACTGCACCTTTGTGACGCCCACCAGCCAATCAGGAGTGAGTATGCAAATTAACCCAACAAAATGGAGGGCAAATTAACCCAATAAAGATGGAAGGTTAATTTGCATACACAGACACTGGGTGGCTGGGATGCTTGTGTCATTGCCATGGCGATGACACAGGCGTTCTGCACCGCCCCAGCCGCTCCAGGCCTCTGGGCAGCATGGGAAGGCGGAAAGGCGGCTCTGGGCCGGAGCGAAGGCAGTGCCGGCAGCCAGGGGAAGGAAGGCCCATTCTTGCACGAATCTTCATGCTTCGGGCCTCTAGTTTTAATATAAACAGCAACTTAAAAAAAATCTTGTACATGTGCAGCACGTATTTCACAAGTTGCAGATTTCTGATTTTAGACACATTGGCATGATCTTACCTTTCCAACTATATTATGCCTTGGTAAGTGTTATGAACAGTGAATGCAGGCTCTATCCAACTAAAATAATGGTTAATAATTACTCCCACCCATTCTACTCCAACATATACAGCCTTAAATTGAAAAAGACATAATTGTCCCAAAAAAGATTAATGATGCAATAAAGCTAATGTCCAGGCTTATTAAAAATTGTATCATCCTAAAAAAGACAAAGGCTTAACCTAAATTTGTATTCTTCTTTAATAATGGATATTTTACTTTGTTAGTATCAGTACAAACATACACATTTCAGACTGTATACCTACATGTATGGGAATTTCTTTCATAAATTTTTACTTGTAGGATTACGATCATGAGATAATCAAAATCTTCCTAATATTGTTATTACACTGAGTTTCAAATGTCTATTTCAGATTACTCAAAATTATTTGATTTTGCAGAAATCTGTTATAGGTTAAAGCAGGCCTACTCAATGAAGTATTGATAAAAACCCTACCACTCTTTCACATATGTTAGAATTATGTATAATATTTATTATATGAGGAACCCTATTTATTTAGTATTATATCCTCAATAAATACAATTTCATATATACAAAATTAAGTTATTTGTGTAATTGATAATAATATATAACAAAAGTGAGTTGTATCACGAAGGTAAGCCAGAAGTAAAAACTATCATTTTCAGTGAGAAAGATTTCATTTTCCATGTATGACCATTTAATCCCACTATCCTCCAGGTTATAGAAAGTTATAGTTCCACTACTTAAAACATTCATCTCATCACAAGAGAATTAAGAAGATACACAAAACATTGATTACATAGCTTTACAACAAAAATAGTTGCACATGTAAACTGACAGAGTATTCTGTAATTTAATTTAGATTATCTAAAACTGATCATGTTAATAAAATTAAAACACCAAATCTACTTTATAGCCATTAGATTAAAAAAAAAAAAAAAAAGTGAGCCCAGTGGTTCAGCATTGACCTATGAACCAGGAGGTCACCGTTCTATTCCTGGTAAGGGCACATGCCCAGGTTGCAGGCTCGATTCCTAGTAGGGGGCGTGCAGCCAGCAGCCGATCAATGATTCTCTCTCATCATTGATGTTTCTCTCTCTCCCTCTCCCTTCCTCTGAAATCAAAAATAAAAAAATTAAAAGATAAAATTGAGATAATTCTGCTTTTTCACTACTAATTGCTCCATTCAGCAGATCATAGTTATACTGGAAGAAAATAGTAAATGTATCATTAAATATTTAAATCTAAAAAGTACTTGAACGATTTAATGGAGTTAGTCAACAATGGAGCTAAAATTCTAGATGATGAAGATCATGTTATTCAAAAACCAACTTGGCACCCTGGCCTGGTGACTCAGTTAGAGGGAGTGTCGTCCCATACACCAAAACGTTGAAGGTTCGATCCTGGTATTCCCAGTTGGGGCCCATGAGAGGCAACTTACAGATGTTTTTCTCTTACATCAATGTCTTTCTCTCTCTCCCTTCCTATTTTTTTCTAAAAATCAACAGAAAAACAGCCACCAAACATATCCTCGGGTGAGGACTGGAAAAAAAACACAACAAAAATCTTGACCAGTAACAAAATATAGATGGTGTGTGAAGAAGGTCAAGAGACTTGAAAACCTGTTCCTGGTGTTTGAGAACTCTTTTTGGAAGAGCTGAGGCTAAATCTGACTCTATATATATGTTGAGATACTTATAAATTATTGCAGGAATCCAACATAAGATAGAAGCATTCAACCTTTCATAGTCATAAATATGAGGAAATTACCTGATTGTTGTGGTAGAAGTGTCTTTGCCTACTAAAAAGTTATGTGTACCCTCTCTGATTTGCTGAGCCCATGTGGGATGAAGCCATATTACATTGGAAAAATGGCCAGCATAAACTGCAGGCATAATCCAGTTCTCAATACTTAATTCTCTGGAAGAGAAACAGAAAGGAAGAATGAAACTATTAGTGAGTGATTTTTTTCCAAATGTAATTTCATTCACAATAATATTTTAAGACAGTAGGTCTCAAAGCATGGTCTGAGGGACCCTTGGGAGGTGCCTGAGACCTTTCTTGTGACCACTAGTTAAAAACAGTTTTCCTAAAACACTAAGGCATTCTTTCGTTTTCTTATGGTATTGACATTTGCACAGGTGGTGCAAAGCAATGGAGGGTTGATGTCCTAAGATTAATCAAGGTAACAGAACCAAACTCTACTAGTAGTCACTGTATTCTTCACTACCATGCACTAACGCTCTCCCCACCCCATCACAGTCAGTTTCAGGTAAGAATGTCCTTCATGATTATAACTTGATCTTGAGTATACATTTTAAAATGTGGCTTATATCTATTTTTATATCACAAAATGAGAAGTGCACGGAAAGCACTTCTGCTATATACTTTGAAGTAAGTGGTTGTCTCAAGGAAAAGCACTTTTGATTCAATTGCAGGCTAAATACCAAACTGATTAATAAACCATGGTTATTCAGACTTGAATCTGAATTGTTGGATTCTACAGTCTAGCTAAGCTTTAGGAAACTAACACTTATCAAATGTCTGTATAATATTAAAGAATATTCACAATGATCTGAAAAGGCTATGAAAATTATCTTCCTGAATCTTTTTCCACCAAAACAACATATGGCAACAGACTGGATGCAGAAGCAGATATGAGAATCCATCTGCTTTCTATAAAGGCAAATATAAAAGAGATTTACAAAAATTTAAACAGTATTGCTCTTCTTACTAGATTTTTTTTTTTGCTTTAGAAAATACATTTGCTTTTTTTCCATAAAATTTTTGATGCTAACGTATAAAGCAGTGATGGCGAACCTTTTGAGCTCGGCGTGTCAGCATTTTGAAAAACCCTAACTTAACTCTGGTGCTGTGTCACATGTAGAAATTTTTAGTATTTGCAACCATAGTAAAACAAAGACTTATATTTTTGATATTTATTTTATATATTTAAATGCCATTTAACAAAGAAAAATCAACCAAAAAAAACGAGTTCGCGTGTCACCTCTGTGTCACGCGTGTCACAGGTTCGCCATCACTGGTATAGAGGGCTATTGTTATTTTGAAATTAATATTTTATATACATCTCAGTTTTAATTTCAAACATGGTAAATATCAATAGATATAACCCACATTAAAGAAAAAGCTCAATGATTTTTAAGAGTATTGGAATCCTGAGACTAAAAAGTTTAACAACTATTATTCTATGACTAACTGTACAGTCTGCATCCCTGTTTCATAATTCTTTTCAATTTCTAAGACATAGAACCTCTAAATATAAAAGAGTAAGGACAATGGCAGAGCTACCATGTTTCTTTAGAAACTAGTGCTCTGAATTGGGGTTTTGGAAAAAGCGAAATATAGTAGGGTAAAATTAAATCACACAAGTATCTATCTTTTAATTTTATAAATCAGAAAAATTACTGCTATGTAACTTTTTATATTGTACAAATAGGCTACATGCTACCAAATATGCACTTAAAGAGGCAGGGACAGAATTTCAGGGAACTTTCTTACAGAAGAGAAACTAATAAGTAACTATTTAGAGATACATTAGGTATGATCCTTCATGAAGAATAGAGTTACCATTTCACTTTCATCTCAATGATTCTATATAACTGAAAATCAGCAGGATTTGTGACCTGAAAGTAACAAATTGGGAGGTTGAAAAAACTCAATACTGGAAGACAAGATATACAAATTAAATTACTGCACATTTTCTTGTGCCTCAGTTTTAAAATGGAGAGGAAGGGAGAATTGGCTCAAATAACTTACCAAGTGTCTTCTTTTTCTAAAATTCTGTATTTTATAGCAGAATCTGGCAAACACTGGCTGAGCCACCTGTCTTTGTAAATAAAGTTTTACTGGAACAAAACCACAGCCATTTGTTTACATACTGTCTAGAGCTGCTTTCACACTAGGAGGGCAGGGATAAGCAGTTGCAACAGAGACCATATGGCCAGCAAGCCTAAAATATCTACTACCTGGCTCTTTAAGAAAAAGTCTGTCAACACTAGCTCTAAATAAAATATAAAAGGCAAACAAAGCAAACTTCTAAGCTTAACAAAATCTATATCCCTTAACTGCTTATTATCTATTGCAAATGGTATTTCAAGCACATAAACAATCATTAACAAAACCATATATTACCCAAAAAGAGTTTCCTTATCAAACACGGTGTCAGCTGGCATATTCACAGGAATAAGGAGATCTGGATGTGAATCAAAATGCACAAAACTTATATTACTGTCAGGAAGATGTTTTGAGCCAATGGCGCGGTATATGAACGGCAGAACCTGTGAAAGACACATGCACACATTCAGAATTGGCACTGACATCACGAGCATACACTCATCTGCAGACTGAAAACGTTAAATGTAACTGCACGTAATCTGAAGCACACCACGTTGTTAGCAAGCAGGAAAATACATGTCGGAAAAGGTGCTCATTGTAGATTATTTAGATAACGATCTCAAGCTTTATTTTTCCCCTCAGAACTTCCAACTTGCACCTCCAAAGGCTCTAATGGGTACCTCTGCTGTCATCTTGCCACCACAACAAACTTAACAATGTGAAAAAACAAAGGATGAAGGCTCAGAAAACACCTGCTAGTTCATACATGTTCTGGCACTAAAGATGTGTTCACGCTACTCTGGGTCTCAGGGCCCTTTCCATACTTTAGGAGAGGCAGTTGGGCTAGGCCAGTGGTCGGCAAACTGCGGCTCACGAGCCACATGCGGCTCTTTGGCCCCTTGAGCGTGGCTCTTCCACAAAATACCGACTTCTGCGCATGGGCCACGAAGTTTCAATCGCACTGTACGTGCGTGCCCGCACGTGATATTTTGTGGAAGAGCCACACTCAAGAGGCCAAAGAGCCGCAGTTTGCTGACCACAGGTCTAGGCGGTCTATAGGGCTTGGTCCTGATACAGTCTGTATATTTGTAGGTTTAAGACTGAATTTGACTAAGCAAAGAAAAAACCCCTCATAGACACTGACAAAGAGAAAAGGGAATGGAAGCTAGAAGAGAGTCAAGGTGGGATAAAGGACTTAGAGTGGTGAACACACAATACAATGTACAGATGAATTAGAACTGTATACCTGAAACCTATATAATTTTATTAACCAACTGGAGGCTCAGTGCACAAAATTTGTGCAGGCAGGGCGGGTGTGTGTGTGTCCCTCAGCCCGGCCTGCACCCTCTCCAATCCGGGACCCCTTGGGGGATGTCTGATTGCCGGTTTACACCAGCAGTCAGATATCGCTCTTGCAATCTGGGTCTGCTAGCTCCTAACCACTCACCTGCCTGCCTGCCTGATTGCTCCTAACTGCTCTCCCCTGCCGGCCTGATCGCCCCTAACCACCTCTGCCTCGGTAGACACCAAAGCTTTGTCCAGAAGGATGGTGGACCTGGTCTAATTAGCATATTACCATTTTATTAGTACAGTGGGGCCTTGACTTACAAGTGTCCCGACTAATGAGTTTTTTGAGATACCAGCTGTCTCTCGGCCAATTTTTTGCATTGAGTTGACAGAGTAATTTGAGTTAACGAGCTCCTTAATGAGCTCAGTCTCGGAAGGAATTAAAATCGTAGGTTAAGGCCCCACTGTATAGATATCACTCCAATGAATTGATTAAGAAATACCCCACAATGAGTTATGAGAGAGAGAGGAAAGAAAGAAAGAAAAGAAAGAAAAGAAAGAAAGAAAGAAAGAAAGAAAGAAAGAAAGAAACAAAGAAAGAGAGAGACTGAATTTGAAGGCACCGCCTAACCCACACTTGCTCTTTCTCTCAGGTCCACACACACAGTGTGTGTCCAGGTCCTGAGAAGCCAAACTTCCTTCCTCTCCTCTTAACTTTCTCCACCCATAAATCCGGGATCACCCTTTTCCTCTTTCATATCCAGAGAATTCTCAAAGTTTATTAATGCTACTTAATGCTGGGGTCCCACCCCAGCAGGTCCAGGGGTCCCCAAAGGTGTGGACGGAGTCGGCGAAGAAGGAATGACACGGAGGCAGCGTTCAGTTGACCAGCATGGTTGGGTTCTCTCTCCTGGTTCTATCTAGGATCTCCAGTCAGGTTCTGTCGTCAGGTTCTGTCGCTAGGTTCTCCAGACTGGTTCTGTCCAGCCAGGTTCAGTCACCAGGTTCTAGCCAGGTTCTGTCTCTAGAATCTTCAGCCAGGTTCTCTCGCTAGGTTCTGTCTCTAGGTTCTGTGGCCAGTTTCTGTCCAGGATCTTTTGTCATGTTTTCTCCAGTGAAGTTCTTCTGTGTCGGTTCTGTGTCTAGGTTCTGTGTGTAGGTTCTGTGTCCTGTTGTCTTGTTACATCTGTATTTATACCAGTTGATTCCAATCCTATCAATCTCTATTCCAAAGGTTAGGGCGTTTCTTATCTCCATTCCAGGGAGTAAAGATTATGTAGCTTAAGCATGATTGTTCGTAGTTCAAGTGATTAATTACCCGCCTGGCACTTAGTTAAGGGGTTTTATTCCCTCCCTAACTTCAGGGGAAAATCCCTACCTGGGGAAACAACCTTTCTCAGAGAGGTGACCTTGGTTAAAACACATAGTGCCAAGAAGGTGAGCAAACATATTAAGAACAGTATGCCATATATGCCAGGTCCCTTGAAACAGCAAGGATGGACCAGCTCCCGGCAACTTAAAAGTTTCAGATCCATGGACCTCGTTTGTAGGCTTCCAGAAATCTGCATTCAGGCACTGTTTTAGCAACTCTTCATGTATAGAAACTATCTTTAGTGTTTAGAAACGGGGACACCGTGCTAAAAAATGTACGTGCACACTGCACACAATAACACTAACGGCTCCAAGAAGGCTACGGTGACTGTACCCGTCTCACAGATGACAGTGCGCATTCTTAACAAAAAGCCTCCCACCCACACAGCAGGACAGTGCTGGCGACCAGACAGCAGGAAGCTCGCGCTAAGGTGCAGGTAAAGGTAGGGATTCCGGGCTCTGCGGCCAGACTGCCCAAGGTTCGAATCCCGGCACTACCAGTGGTTGGCTGCGGGGTTTTGGGGCAAAGCGTGCGAGTTAAATGAGTTGCCCGTGGCCGACTAAGTGCCCCAGAAACGCCAGCGCCTACTTTTCCAAGGTCCTGGGGTTCTCCCCACCGCAAGGCAACCCGCGCCGGTACCACATTCCGGTTCTGTCCGGCCTCCCAGGCCGGGGCTCCGCCGCGCCCGCTCACCTCCTGGTGATCCTCCACCACCCACACCGGGAGCTCGGGGTAGCGCCGGACGCGAGGGCCTTCTCCCGCCGCGTCGCTCATGTTTCCGCGCTCGGCTGCGTCCCGGGAGCCCGAGGACCTGCAGAAGCCGGAGAGCCGACCCTACCGCCTCCCCGGGCGCACAGCGCGCTCACCCGGTTGCGGTTCCGGATTGGAGGACGCGAAGGGCAGAGGGCGGGCGCCCGAGGGCCCCATGAGGGCGATTGGCTTAGATGCCCAGCGCTGTCGTTGACGCGCCAATCACGGTGCGCGAGGCGCGGCGGCGAGTCCCGCTGTGTCCCGCCCGAGGTCCTGCTTTTTCTCGGGTTTGCTTTTTCATTCCCTCCGTTTCCTGTTCCGGAGGCGCTGGCGGCGCCGTGGTCTCGGCGGCTGCAGCTTAAGCCTGGCTCTACTCTGACGGTGACCTCACGGCCCGGGAGCCTTTTTGCAGGTAAAAGGACCACCTTGCGGGGGTTCGAAGAGGGAGCTTGGCGAGTGTCTGGATTTTCACGGGGCTGGAGGCCTGGGCTGCGGCCAGACGCGCCTGAAAGTTAAGCTCGGACAGCCCCTCTTCAGATCTGCAGCGCAGGGCAAGAAGGCGACCCCGAGGCCCGGGTCCCCTAGGTACAAAGGAGTGACAGATAAGAGCTTTCATTCATTGCTGGGGAGCGTGCGCTGGTCCCCGCCTGGTGTCGTCCGCGTGTCGCCGGGGAGGTGGACCGTGAGCCAGCCCATCCTGGCCGGGTTGGGGTTCACAGTCTGGCGGGAGATGCAAACAGGGAAACACGCAATTCAGCCGGAGGAAGGTGATGGGCCTGCAGATTCATCTGGGGGGAAAAGAGGACGTCTTCATAAAAGCGCAGTCACATTTGCAACTCTTTCTACATAGAACGATGTTCTGCACGTGTTAACTCTTCAAAACAGCTCTCTCACTTTCCCTGCTTCCAAACCAACCTGGAATAGGCAGACGCAGAAAATGATTGCTTTTCCACCTGTAGCAGATTCCTTGGCTTTTGAATTAAAGTTTGCATCCATAACACAGCCTGACTATACCTTTAGGAGGTCAGTTGCATAGTCAGTGTTTTCAGATGTTCTATCTGTAGGAGCATCCCGGAGGATCGCATAATGAATGTTCAGCTGTTGCACAGTGAACGAGCGTGTTAGTGATTCTGGCTGTTGCCCATTCTAGGTCCGTGAGCACGTTCCTTTGTGTTACCCCAGGGCCTAGACCCAGTGCATACCTCTTTTCTTGTGTTTATTGCATTGTGTTATTTTTATTTAAAAATGTGTTTGTATGTGGGTTCTGAGCTCCTTTAGGATTGCAGGCTGTGTCTTACTCATCTTTGTGTTCAGCACACAACCTGCGACAGTGCCCCACACGTATTGGCTCATTCAGTGTTGTATGAATCAGTGGAAAGGTTTTTGTCTGGTTTTGATAATGCATCTCTGTTGTGAATATATGTGAAAGGGAAATGCACAGTAGCAACATAGAGACATAATACTATTGGTGAGACAGTAAACCTTTATTCATCACCTACTGTGTGCAGGATGCTCTGCCAGGGGCTGTGAAGGATCCAGAAATGACTATGAATCAACCCATGTCCTCAAGGAGCTAATAATCTAGTGGAGAAGTTAGACATGTGCACACATGACTGTACTATGAGGCAGTCTCTGGTAAGTGCTATAAAAGAGGTAAGTACAGACTAAGAGGGAAGTCTACAGGGAATGAGATGATGACTTCTTAAGGGAACCAGGGAAGGCTTCACAGAAGAGGTGACATTTGACAGAGGTAGGTGGGTAGAATTCAGTCGGCAAATTCATAGGGTTGTAGATTTCAGAAGAGCAACAGCAAAGAACAATCTGGGGGATATGGTAGAATTTGGTATTTTAGGCAACGGGGAAAATCTGGAGTGATAGGTTATCTTCATGGGGAAGATAACTGAGATTAAGCCTGGAAGGAGTTGGGTTCAGATTGTGGAGGGCCTTAAATAGCAAGCATGGAGTTTGAATTTGATTCTTTTGGCAGCGAGTAGCCCGTAGTGGCAAGATCAGCTGTCTAGGCCTTAGATTTATCTTGAGGGTCTTAGTCTGAAAAATAATCATTATTCAGATGTTACTTGGTGCCTGCTATTTATGAATCCCAGTGATTGATATAGCTAAACACCTGAAACTGTTTTCATGAGCCATTTGAAAATCCACCTTAAGCTCATTGGTATTTAGTTAAAAAGACTTTAGGGAGGTGCTTCCACATTGAAACTTTTTGCATTTAATATTTATTTGAGATTTTTAAACATTTTTTTTTGAAGTTTAAGGATTTGGAAAGTCATTCACTTTCATACCATTCTTCTATGGGAAGAGTGGAGAATGAAAATCAAGGATAACTTATCTCTACAGGATTATAGTTATGTTTGAATTTGAATGCTGGTCTCATTGTGAAAGATACTAGAGTATGGAGAGGGGGAGGAGAAATAGTTATTCTCCCCAAATCTTTTAACAAATTAGAAATGGAGCCCTAACCGGTTTGGCTCAGTGGGTAGAGCGTTGGCCTGTGGACTGAAGGGTCCCAGGTTCGATTCTGGTCAAGGGCATATACCTTGGTTGCGGACACATCCCCATTAAGGGGTGTGCAGGAGACAGCTGATCAATGTTTCTCTCTCATTGATGTTTCTAACTCTCTATCCCTCTCCCTTCCTCCCTGTAAAAAATCAATAAAATATATTTAAAAAAATTAGAGATGGAATATGCCCAAATTTCCAGTCTTTTTAGCTACTGATGGTTTTGAGTCAGCAAGACAAGTATTAAAGACATCTTAAAAGTTAGTTGTAAACTTTAATTCGGTTCAGCATCCTCTTAATTTTGTTAGTTTGCTAAATGCATTGGAAAATTCAAAATTAGTGTTAAAATAATTGCAGAAACATTTTCTAGCATTATCAGTGGAGGAAACTTTTTTACGTCTCTCCTATTCTTTCTGTCCTTTAGAGCTCATAGTCTCTGTGGGAGATGTGACTCTGACCCAGACAGCACCTCATGATGCAAGGCAATACATGGTGAGTGGTGTGATGGGATTGGCAGTGGTTTTGGGAGAACAGAGAGGAGCGAGCACTGTGCTGGGTCATAGACTGGGAGAATTCAGGTATGTGACATGAGGAGGAAATGTGTTCATTTGGGCCATGTACATGGCTAGGAACTCAGCCCATAGCCATTAATGAGACAACCCAGAGCCCTGCAGTGATGGAACTCACAGTTCTCAGGTGCAGGCAGACATTAAGGATGGAATTCGGTAATTGGTTTGTGGGTTGTAATTCTTGTAGGACCTGCTAAGAAGAAGCACAGAGTGTGTGAGAGCAGGAAACCTAACAGGCCTGCAGGGTGTTGATAGTGATAGTAGAAGGTCCTGCAAGGGTGTTATTGTAGCAGCCAGGCCAGAGACAATGGTGTGAAGTGGATGGACTCAAGTATTTACAAACCAAAAATGATAGGAATTTTAAGATATTTAGTTAAAAGGGGTAAAGAAGGCAAAATCATTAGGTAATTTTCTGGTGTATGACTTTAAGACCAATATGTATCTGGTATTTTCACCATAAACCTTCATTTTTGTGGGTGACTAATTGGCTGTAAGGAAATTTTGCTGTCAAAACGATAATAACGTATGAAAGAGGGACATGATGAAACATGATAAAATGAAAAAGACTTTATTGTGAATACATTTAAAATGTGTATAGATTCATGGAAATATACAAATAACTGATTTGGTTTTGTACTTAAGCATTTGTCTTCATTCTATGGGAAATGTGGGTTCAACTCTGCCCTCAAAGAGGGTCCTCAGCCTGTCTTTCTCCTCCCATTGTAGTGTGTTTCAAAATAAGAAATGAACGCTTGGGGCAAATCATTGCCATCTGGAAGAAATGCTAGCTGTTTTAAGACTGTCACCATGAAGTGTTGTGTATTGGTTTCAAATCCTCTTGTTTATGGCCTAAGTAAAGTTGTTTTGATCTAAAGGTGACTTTGCTTATGTTGAGGACACTGTCCTGGGATGTTATTAAAATCCGTTGTCAATAAGCATTTAGCTATCGACGGGCACTGCTGGGGACTCATCGATAGGAGCATATGAAGGAGTGACTAGAGTTGAACCCATATTTCTCGTGGACTGAAGACAAGTGCTTGGTTAGGTACAACCTACACAGTTAAAATAGCTCTCGATGATCTTGAGACACTTGCTGCTGCCGTGGTCAGGTTTGTGTGACCTACTCTTGACTGGCAGTGATGTTACATTGTGCAGCGGTCCCAGGAAGAGAAGGGCCGTGAGCAAACCGTGTGTAATAGTCCCTGGAGTAATAAATAACCTCTGGAGCAGTCACCTTGCCCGCCAAACCCTGGTTCCGTCACCTGCTAGCTACATGCACCAGCAGCTAGGGCTGTAGGCCAGCCATTAATACCCAGCTCTTAGTTGGAAGGACTGACTCGCCAGAGAACCAACTTGTAGAAAGTACGCTAACTTTGGACTACATGTTATCATTTCTGTGGAAAAGTTGCCTTGAGGCCAATGAACTGTGCAGTGAAAATGTTTGTGGCAGAGATATCTATGGCAGAGATGATAAAGGTGAAAGTACCTAGAACCTGAATGGTATCTGTTGAGATAGGAAGTGCATGGGAGGAGCATGTGGTGGTGTCTTGGAGGGGAAGATCATAAATACCTTTCAGGACATGTTGCGTTGAATTTGCAGAGTCTTTGCTGAGTGGGAAAGAAGGTGAAGACAGGAAGATGCTGGTACAGATATAGAAAACGTGGGGTGTGCTGACGGGAGGGCATGGTGAGGTCAAGTATTGGGGGAACTTAAGAAAGGACGTGGTAGCACGTGGTTGAATAGTGGGATGTTGAATTCATCATTTGGAAGTGGAGTGTCTTTAGGGAGTGACATGGCCCAGGGAGTGACCCCGGCAGTGGGTTTGGTGGCTGAGACAGAGGGAGAGAAGTTTACGAGCCATGCGGAGTGTCAGATATTATGGAGAACTCAGTGTTGGTGGGTGGAATATGCCAGTGGCCTAAGGGGCCTGTCAGTTGCTCTTGAAGCTGTTCAGGCATTTGTGCAACCCTGTTTCCATAGTGAGGTGTTTTTTTTTTTTCCCCTTTTCCCCTTTTCTTTCCTCCAACAAGTCATAGAATGTCATTCCACCCAGGACGAGGGTGTCCCCGAGGGCGAGGAGGACATGGAGCCAGACCCTCAGCACCAGCCTTCAGGCCTCAGAATTTAAGGCTGCTTCACCCGCAGCAGCCTCCTGTGCAATATCAATATGAGCCGCCAAGTGCTCCTTCCACCAGCTTCTCAAACTCTCCAGCCCCCAATTTTCTGCCTCCGAGACCGGATTTTGTACCCTTCCCTCCACCCATGCCTCCATCAGCACAAGGTCCCCTTCCCCCCTGCCCCATCCGGCCCCCCTTCCCCAACCACCAGATGAGGCCCCCCTTCCCCGTACCTCCCTGTTTTCCCCCCATGCCGCCTCCGATGCCCTGTCCTAACAACCCCCCAGTCTCCGGAGCACCTCCTGGGCAGGGCACGTACCCCTACATGATGCCCCCTCCTTCCATGCCCCATCCCCCACCCCCTCCGGTCATGCCCCAGCAGGTCAATTATCAGTACCCTCCTGGGTATTCGCACCACAATTTCCCGCCTCCCAACTTTAATAGCTTCCAGAACAGCCCCAGTTCTTTCCCACCCAGTGCTAATAACAACAGCAGCCCACATTTTAGGCATCTCCCTCCATACCCACTCCCAAAGGCCCCCAGTGAGAGGAGGTCCCCGGAAAGGCTCAAGCACTATGATGATCACCGGCACCGGGATCACAGTCACGGGCGAGGGGAGAGGCATCGGTCCCTGGACCGGCGGGAGCGAGGCCGAAGTCCCGACAGGAGAAGAGCAGACAGTCGCTACAGATCCGATTATGACCGCGGCAGAACGCCATCTCGCCACCGCAGCTATGAGCGGAGCAGGTAAAACACGTGCTTTTTAATGAACTGAAGAGGCCCATACAGACGCCGTTTCTGCTTATCGGCAAACCAGACCAAAAAGATCCTGCAGTGCATTTCGATGTATGAAAGGAAATAAAGCTTGTTTTGGGCTGTTTTAAAGAGGAAGGAACAACTGACAAGTAAAGAAATTGATGTCAGAAAAAGCCACTTTTGAAAAGCATTCCAAAATTATTAATGTAGATTCCTTTCAGTGGATGTAAGCTGATTACTCTGCATAATACAGTTGACATTTTAATGATGATCCAATGAGAAACCATATATTTTTTTTGCATTATATTTAGTTATGTTCAAAAGCATCATCTCAGAATACGGTACTTGCATTCCTTCGGAATTGATGATCTGCCTATATTACCAATTAAGAATTAAACTAGTTAACGAGCAGAACTTGCTTTCTGATTTTTAGGGTAAATGGAAGTTTATTGTACCTTGCTGCCTTCTTGATCTGTTTCTTTATAAAATGAGCTTATATTATCCATTATCAAAGTTAGAGTTTTCAGAATAGCTTTAACCCACTTTTGTTGCACTAAAACAAATTCATACTGAAGAAAATTGTATTTAAAAAATACTGTTCCATTCCAGGTTACATTTCCTTTTTTCAAAAGACCAAATACCTGTATATCCAAGAGAATAAGGTTTTCAGCAGGTGTGCTGAAACGGATCCATAGATGGCGTCCTAGAAATGCTCTGAAGTTATATGTAGAATTTTATGTGTATTATTTTTTTTTTTCTGTAAGTAAATCAGTACCTTACACCAGATTCTCAAGAGGTGGTGTGAGTCTGTTATCCCAAAAGTCTGAGAACTCTTGGTTTAGGTGGAAAAATAAAAACAGACAGGTAATGATTGTATTAATGCTTACTTGTACTTTCAGTGAACTCTTTATATCGATAAAGATTTGAGGTTTCCACTTGTCAAGCTGATAACAGTGCTTCTCCCTCTGTCCCCTGTGGCGTGTTTACCTTGGTTGTCTTGTGGACCTTCTGTGCTGCACACGTTTGAGCTCAGCACACCAGTTCACTTCTCGGTATGGGATTGTAGGGAGCTGGTCTCAGCTCCTGGGCCCTCAGTGCACCTCTCGGTTTCCACATTTTTCTCATGGCTGTCGGTGTGATTCTGATTGAACATTTTGCCAGTAAGTGGTGATGTGTTGTTGCTTTTCCCTGATGCCAGTGGGAGGGTGAAGGGAATGTGTTTCCTGTGGAGATGATGGATTTGAGAGTCGGTCGTCTGTTAAGTCTTTTCAGTGTGAGTTACTATTTCTGGTCAATTTTGTTCTTAATTATTCTGTGATGGACTAGTTAGTAGAGGCCTGGGATAGTGTATTTTATAGGTTGTTTTTTAAAAATTCTTTATTGTTTAAAGTATTGCATATGTTTCCTTTTTCCGCCATTGATCTCTCCCTGGCCACTCCCACCCCTCAGTGCATGCCCTCACCCCCTCTACTGTCTGTGTCCATTTGTTATGCTTATATGCATGCATACTGTCCTTTAGTTGATGTCTTACACCCTCCTCTCTCCCTTGCCTTCCCTTCGAGGTTTTATGGTCTGTTTGATGCTTCTCTGTCTCTGGATCTATTTGTTCATCAGTTTATGTTGTTGATTATATTTCATAAATGAGTGAGATCATGTGATATTTATCTTTCTTTGACTGGCTTATTTTGTGTAGCATAATGTTCTCCATGTCCATCCATTGAGAATGTCTATCTGTTGAGAATGGTAAGAGTTCTTTCTTTTTTACGGCAGGGTAGTATTCTATTGTGTAGATGTACCACAGTTTTTTAATCCACTCATCTGCTGATGGGCACTTAGGCTGTTTTCAAATCTTAGCTATTGTAAATTGTGCTTCTATGAACATAGGGGTGCATATATCCTTTCTAATTAGTGTTTCTAGTTTCTTGGGATATATTCCTAGAAGTGGGTTCACTGGGTCAAATGGGAGTTCCATTTTTAACTTTTTAAGGAAACTCATACTGTTCTCCACAGTGGCTGCACCAGTCTGCATTCCCACCAGCAGTACACGAGGGTTCCTTTTTCTCTGCATCCTCACCAGCACTTTTCATTTGTTGATTTGTTGATGATAGCCATTGTAACAGGTGTGAGATGGTACCGCATTGTCTTTTTGATTTGCATCTCTCGGATGATTCGTGACTTTGAGCATGTTTTCATATGTCTCTTGGCCTTCTGTATGTCCCTTTTCCAAAAGTGTCTATTTAGGTCCTTTGCCCATACTTTATCTATACTAATAAAAGGGTAATATGCTAATTAGATTGGGAGACCTTCCAGGAGACCTTCCGGATGTTCTTCTGGACAAAGCCATGTGGAGGGGCTGAGGTAGAGGCAATTAGAGGCCAAGAGGGGAGGGCAAGAGGGCAGTTGTGGGTGATCAGGCTGGTAGGGGGTAGGGCCGTTGGGGGTAAGCAGACCAGCAGGGGGGCCAGTTGGGGGTAAGCAGGCCATCAGTGGGGGTCAATTGGAGGTGATCAGGACAGCAGGAGGGGGCAGTTTGGAGTGAGCAGGCCAGCAGGGGGGCAGTTGGGGGTGAGCAGTCCAGTGGGGAGAGAGGGTGGGGGCAAGCAGGCCAGCAGGGGGGCCAGTTGGGGGTGAGCAGGCTGGCACGGTGGGCAATTGGGGGTGATCAAGCTGGCGGGGGGGCATTTGGGGGCAAGAAGGCTGGCGGCGGGGGGCAGTTGGGGGCGAGCAGGCCAGCAGGCAGAGTGGTTAGGGGCAATCAGGCAGGCAGGCAGGTGAGCGGTTAGGAGCCAGCAGTCCCGGATTGTGAGAGGGATGTCCGACTGCTGGTTTAGGCCCGATCCCTGTAAACTGGCAGTAGGACATCCTTCGAGGGGTCCCAGATTGGAGAGGGTGCAGGCCAGGCTGAGGAACACACCCCTCCTCCGTGCACGAATTTTGTGCACCGGGCCACTAGTAGTTTTATGATACAAATCTAAACTGGAGAGAGTTTGCTTCAGAGTTCAGTATGATTGTTAATAATCCTGTTGCTGTGGAGGCATTTTCCTGCAAACTTCAATATTCTAGGTTGCATTTGTTTTTCTGTTTTGGACTTAAGTTAGATCTGAGTTTTTAGGGCTCTGATGTAAAATCCTAAAATTTTCCATCCAGGCTTAAATTGGAGTCATGTGTTTGAAGAAACTCAGATGTCTTATAAACTGAGGGGTCTATCAATAAGTGAAATGAAGTGCCAAAAGCATACTGTTATTCTACATTATCCTAAACCATAACTCCTTTGCTATGAAGGACTGTTTAGGCGGTTAGCTCATCTTTCTAAATGGCTTTATTTGTATTGGAGTTGTTTTATATGATGTTGTACTTGAGATGTTTGCCCTGGAGCCACCTTGGCGTCACAGTCACATTATAACCGGCTCCCTTTGGGGCTTTCGGCAGGGGATCAGTCATCTGTCTCATATGGGATGCTTCTGTGAAATACACATGGGGCACGTGAAGTCCCAGGGTAACTTCTGGTAGTATACTGGAGAAAACCAAAGCTTCACACATTGATGCATTAGCTTGTGCTCAGTTTATGCAAATTCTATAGCCTGTCCTCTGACCACCTCTCCCCTTACTTCTTGGGGTAAGTGAATCTGTCCCTTTTCAAATTCCACTTTCCTTCTTTTTCTCCTCCGAAATGTGGTTGAACAGTAATTACAAGGTTGTTTTAGGCAAACTATTGCTAGAGAAGGTTTGTGAGGAAGTGAATATATGTACTTGTTGGGAAAGGTCAGGGTGGCTGTGGGGAATGGGAAGAGAAACAGCTGCTGACACGGCACACTGACCTTGCTGGGTGCAGCGTGGTGAGGATGGTGTGTGGCTTCCCATCGTGCGTGGTGCTACAGAGCGGTAACCCCATAGCTGTCCTGTTGCGTGCCGCCGGTGGAGAGTTAGTGTTCTGCACCTAAGGGATACCTTCGTGCTCTCAAACAAGGACGAGTCTTGAGAACAGTAACCTTAACATTGTTTTTCTTGCTTTAAAGGTGTTCATCATATTGTGTTTTCTAAGGTGATTTATATCCAAATCGGTCTTTTCAATTTATACCCACACAGGTAGCAGTCATCAGCAGTGCTGTTCTTGAGTGCAAAATTCTGTTGCCTAGATGTTAAAAAACCAAAAAAAAAAAAAAAAAATTAGGAATATCTTCTAAATAGAGTTTTTATTTGGAAATATAGGTAATTTAAATTATTCTTTTTAGCAGCCATACCACTACAGATTATATCTTTGTCATGTGGTACTGCTCACATGTTGGATTAATTGCCTAAAAATAAACTGGACTTTTAGAAGGGTATCTGATAAAGTATGTAGATTCCCAAGCTCTGGCTACTTTATTTTGGATAGCTGGTGTATACCTGAGTCTTATGTATGCGTCAGAGTACATTATTCAAAGGAGGCTTCCTTGTGGAGGGGGTGATTTAAAAAATATTTTTATTCATTTCAGAGAGAGAGAGAGAGAGAAACATTAGTGATGAGAGAGAATCATTGATTGGCTGCCTCCTGCACGTCTCACACTAGGGATCAAGCCCGCCACTTGGGCATCAAGCCCGCAACCTGGGCATGTGCCCTGATTGGGAATTGAACCGTGATCTCCTGGTTCATAGGTCAACACTCAATCACTGAGCCACACTGGCCAGGCAAGGAGGGGGTGATCTGTAAGTAAAAACACAATTTTAGTTTTTTATATCTAAGTAGTGACCGATCTTTATCAGTTTTATGAGTCTCAGTTTCAAAGTATTTGCACTTCTATTGGCTATTGGGGGATATTTTTTAGTTCAGACATTTTTATAGTCATTTGCTGTATTCAGGCTAACACAGCATTTTTTAAATTATTTATTCTGAGATCATGTGATTAGTTTCCTTCGATTTAGTTCTGATTCAAACACACTAGAGTTCCGATTTTTGTTCCAGATCATTGTACTTATTAAATAGACTCAGAAGTTATTATTATTATTATTAAATTTGTCTAGTTTTACATTGGAAGGTTTTAAAATCCCTCCTATTTTTATATTAAACTCATGGTCTCCATCGAGAGTTTTTTGCTGATGAAAATTGCATTTAAAGGTACAGTGACGTACAGACTCATGGCATTAGTGATCGCTACAAGTACAACTCAGGCTGATAACCTGTAAGGGTTCAGAGCTCTTTCGTCATAGAACCGAGTTCTAATGCTTACTACCAAAGCTTTGATTTACATTTACTTGATGGCTGAAATTGAGAGTTTCCTAGAAATCAATGGGCAGTAGAATTCTTTTAAGTTTTCCCTGTAGGTTAATAACTAAGGATTGGCTGGTTGGAAGGTCTCTAGAGAAGATTATGATGAAATTCCCTTTCTTGCTTTGCGTCAGGGTTGACTTCTTTCTGTAAAGAAAACAGCAAAAAAATGTCCAAGTCAGTTAACTTCTGTAAAGTGAACAGCTCCTTTGTTCTCTAATAAATGAAGGATGAATAAAAATGTCCCATAGAGAATAATGCCTGAAAAATTCTTAGGTAAGGGCCATTGATTTAGAAGATGAATTCAGTGAAAAGAGGTGGTGTTTTTTAGTCTTTCTGTTGAAAACAGCTCTGTGTATTAATTCCTTTAAGAGAGCGGGAACGGGAGAGACCCAGGCACCGGGACAGCCGAAGATCACCATCTCTGGAAAGGTCCTACAAAAAAGAGTATAAGAGACCTGGAAGGTAAGCAAGGAGTTCACGCTGAAAGAAGTCATAGGAGTATCTCCTTGAATTCAGATTTTGTGCTTATGCAAGGTATCAGCCACGTCTCCAAAATAGCCCAAGAGTCTTCCAGAATGCCCTGTGGAAAGCTAACGCAGCCACTGACTTAAAAACTTTACTTTCAAGATGTATTGATTATGCACAAGGGTAATCTTGATAAATTAGTAATTATATGGACCACTTTTTCTGACGTCAATTGCTATAAAACTGTGCATTAATAATGCAGTTTTTTTTAAAAAAACTACACCTTGGAAATTCATAATTATGTTTTAAAATTTACTTGTTACAGAAAAAAGCAAAACTCCACTCACACTTTATTTAGAAAAATGGGATTGAGATGTTATAAACTAAAACTTGCAGAATGTAATTAATTCTATACAGAGAAGTAAAATGCATGGTCTTATATAATGGTAATTAAGAATAACACTGGGGTCCGGCAGATTTGGGGTCAATTATTACTTCTCCCAGCTATGTTAGTGAATTGATTTATCTTTTTAAGCTTCAGTATCTATCTGAAGTAAGGATACTTATAAATGCCTTGAGTGGTGGGGGTCTTTGAGATAATACATGTAAACACTAGAACTGGACCCAAAATTAATGCCAAGTAAATGGTAACTGCGTATTTATATAATTATTGCCTGATCATTTGGCTCTAAAAATTGGTAGAGTACAAGAAAAGTAGAAAAAAAGGATCTATATATACAAAAGCCCAGAGACCAGAACAGCGGAACGACCAGAACGACCAGTGGTTATGATGCGCACTGTGGCAGCCAACCAGCCTGATCTGGGCCCCACCCGCGGCCCCTCCTCCCAGCCTGCCCTGCCCCCTATTGACCCTCCCCACCTCGATTAAATTTGTGCACCAGGCCTCTAGTTTAAAGATAAAAGAGATTATTGAAATAGAAAACAGAACTGTAGCACTATAACTATTTGTAAACAGATGCAAGACTTTGAAAGGTCATACAATTTAAAAAGTGGCAAATCAAGAAAAGAAATACATTGCATTAGGTAAGAGAGAATATATCATGATAGGAATAAAGGAGATTTAAAATTTACAACACATTGACATAAGTTAGAAACTTTATTTGAAAACTTTAGAAACATGGATGTGATGGGTTGATTTCTATGAAAACAAAAATTACAAACTTCACACAAGAAGCAGAAAATTTTAATAGACCAATAACTATGAAAAACATTGAAAGAATGGAATTTGTACCACCTACTAATAAGTTTTAAACTGTTCTAGAACTCGGAAGAATATGGAAAGAAAGCTCAATTCAGGCTGTGATATCAGGAAAACCCAGATGGCAAAACTTAACCAATGAAAAGAAAACTAAAACACAGTCTCACCTATGAATATGGACATGAAAATCTGAGTAGTAGATTAGCAAATTGTTTCCAGTAGTGTGTTAAAATAACTGAGAATGTATTCTGAGATTGCATGGATAGATGGGTTAGTATTAGGAAATCTGTAACTAAATTTTTGTGTCCTAATCAATAGATTTTTTTCAGTACCTGCCTATTAGATATTTCAAATAAAATGAGCATCGATTATGAGTATAAACTTCAGTAAACTAGGAATATAAGCAGACTTATTTAATATGATAGAGGACGTTATTTCATGATGAACATTGTCATCACCATCTCAAAATAACCTTACAGGCTTATTGAAACCTTACAGGCTTTCCCATACAAGTTAGAAAAAAGGCAAGGCTCCAGTGCCTATTGCTGTTGCCTAACATTGTATAACTTAATCCACAAGCAAATGAAATACTTACATTACTGTGTCTCCCGGGTATTGTACTGGTGCAAGTGATATAGTTAACAACAGATCCCACTTTACAGGAATCAGAAGATTAAGTGCTGTGAGAAGTGCTTTTTATAGATCAAGTACATGTTGCTCTGGGAATGCTGTGGTGAAAAACTCAGTCTAGAGTAGTCATAGAGAGATGGACATTTTACTGATACCTAAAGCATGCGTAGGGATGTACTATGAAAGGGGGAAGAGAAAAGAGCATGTGTGAAGGTCACAGTGTCGAGAAATGCTCTCTGAAGATCAAGCCTGGAATGAATGACTTTAGAAGGTGTTTGTAGTAATTCAGAAAGAAATAATTGTGCCTAGACCTGGGCAATGACAGTAGTAATGGGGAGCGGTAGAGGTATTTTTGAGATAGAGTCAGTAGGACTTGGTAACTGATCCTGGGGGAAGAAGACTCAGTGAGATCTGATGTTCCCCATTGAGGGTGGGGAATACTAAGAAAGGCAAGAGGATGAGTTCAGTCCTGGATATATGTAGTTAAGAATTTGTGAGACAACCAAATGGAATTGTGTGGTAGTAAATTGGATACATAGGTGTAAAATTCAGAAAAGAGATCCCAGATGGAAAAACTACTTGCCATGGATTAAATGAGATTAACCAGGAAGAGTTTGTTTGGTGAGAAAGGACCTGCAGAACAGATGAGGGAAGAGGTAAGGGTAGAAAAAAGCCAAGATACTGTGTTGGTGGAAACCATTGGGGACCCATTTGAGGTTGATGATTTTTAGTGTCGAGTATGGAAATCTCTTCAGTCTAGTGGTTTCTTCTCCAGTGCCCAGAAACTTGTGGAGACAACAGACATGGATTCTCTTAGTTCTCACCAATGCAGTAGGTGAGAAAAAAAACTAGAGATGTAAATACTGTAAAGGAGGAAAAGTTACCATAGTTTATAATATAATATATTGTTAAGAAACAGTTTCAAATTTGGATTTTGAAATTTGGAATGCCTGAGACACCTAAAAAAGATGTCCTATTAAAAAAAAAAAAAGAAAGAAAAACGAGTCCTAATTGATGTTTATAGTAGTCAACCCTGACCATCCATCATCCAGTATACCTGCCTAAAGGGGAGGGGATGAGGCTGCCTTTTACCTGTGTTTCCTGATCATAGTAAACATTTGGCAGGATTTTTAATACATGTCAAAATGTCTGTGCCAAGCAACCATGTTAGCATTTACTACTTACTAGCTTTGTGATATTGGACAAGTGACATAATTCCTAATTCTGTTTCCTCTGGAGGGATGTGCATATCTGCCTCATAGCTTTCTTGTAAGGATTAAATGTGAGTGTCAGTAAAGTGCTTAGCAGAGTGTCAGGCTCACAGGAAGCACCTAAAACAAACAGAACCACACGACCGGGAGTTACATTGCCATTATTAGCTATTGGTGTATCAGGAAAATTCAAGTGGATCAGTGAAGAAACAATGAGGATTAACGCACTTAGGTTGACAGTTATTTATAAAAAAAAATACTGAAATTAATAGCCTTCCTACATAAACCAGGAAAACCTACTTAGAAAGTAATGAAAAAAATGTAGATTCACTATAGAAACTTTATACTAATTAAAATTAAATATCTTAATAAAACTTTAAAAATTATATAGAACAATGGGAAGGAAACATAAGTAGCTGATGACAAAGAAGTAATATAAAAGAGGGGAGGATATGCCATATTTCCATAGTGGAGGTGGAAGAATACCAGTTTTCTTCAAAATCTATAATTTTAATGTAACCAGTTGAAGTATGGGTTTTAGAACTTTATGAGTCACTAGAGGCCCAATGCACGAAATTCGTGCAAGAGTAGGCCTTCCTTCCCCGGCTGACGGCACTGGCTTCCCTCTGGCACCCGGGACCCGGGCTTCCCTCGCAGCCCTTACTTCATCCGGAAGGACGTCCGGTCAAATTAGCATATTATGCTTTTATTATTATAGATTATTTGGAATAGAAATGAGAATAAGGAAAAAAATGAGAATGTAGCTTTAGTAGTATTAAATGTCCTATAAACACAAAAGCGTAAAAGCAATTTGATGTGGATGTAAATAGATCAATGAAACTAATACTGAGCAACAGTTAAATATATATAAACATTTACATCTATCATAAAATTGTTTTTTCAAATCAGAGGAAAAACTGATGTGGGGACAATTGGCAAGCCATTTGGAGGGAAAAACTGAAATTTATGCCATATATCATAAAAGGATGAAGTTAAAAAATTAAGTGTTATAAGTAACTGAAGAAAATATAAAATATTTACTTAACCTTGAGATGGGAAAGGATTGTAAGCATAACACTAAGGAGGAAGCATAAGTTTAAAAGTCTCTAGATTTGGCCAAATGAAAGTTATAGGTAGCAATAGGCAGTTGGAATTTAAAAGGAAAACAAAAAACTGAGAAAGGTTAATTACATAAGACAGAAGAATGGTGATAATCTTAATAAAAAAGTCAATAAATAAAAGGACTACAATCCTAATTTTAAAAATATTGTCAAAGCATATGACTGGGAGGTTCATGAAAGAAGTGAACAAGTAATGTGTAATTTTAGTAGTGATAAAAATTAGCAAGTTAGGTTTAATGAGATACTTTTGTCATCAGAATGGCAAGATTAAAAACAATCATGTTGACAGGGTGTGTGGAAATGGGAACTCAATACGGTGTTGATGGTGGTCTAACCTGGTACTATCTACCTGTAGAGAAGCCTTGAGAAGAGTGCACACACACTCTTAGTGTGAAGCAATCTGACAAGTGTGCAGAGAACACAAGTGTGTTCATGGTAGCATTGTTTACAATGGCAAAAAAATGGTGACAACCTAAATGATTGTACTCAGATTTGTTAAATTATGGTATATGCATATGAAATAATAATATGCATTTATTAAGTGGTTCAGATGTAGATGTATTGAAATAGAAAGGCTTTGATTTACCAATGAGTGAGAAGGACAGGCTGTAGAGTAGCAGTCGCCCACTGGTGGTCCGCGGACCACTGGTGGTCGGTGGTCTGAAAAGTTGGCGACTGCTGCTATATATAGAGGTCTTTTTTGGTTGAAGCTTGTGTATATTTATATATATTCTTATATCTATACGTTTTAACACAATTGTGAAATATGGTGGTTATCTCTGTGTGGTAGTATGGGTGATTTTAATTTTGTTAATGCTTAATTTTTTTCTTACAGTGAACAAATATACATTTTCCTTTGCAGTTACTTTTTTCTTCTGGTAACAAATGATGTGCATTATAATATTTAGAAGTTATATTAGTAAGTTCAGTATATATTATCTTTCTAATCACCCACCTCTTCCCCCGATGAATACACACCTACATGCTCACACTTTCCCTGTCATAAAATTAGAAGTTAGTGGTAGGGTTGATGGAAGAGTTCATTAGTGGCTTTGATCCAGATGTACACATTCTTGGGTAATAGTGACTTTGTTAGTGGAGCTGCAGAGGCTGCCAGCATAACGCTCACAGAACAGGTCCCACCTAAATTTCTGGGGCTTAAATTAAAATCTATCCTGTAGGTTCTCCCTTCAAGCACATCCGTAAGTTGGGTCTTTGCAAAATTTAAACCCCAGAAATTCAAAGAGATAGAGTTGTTTTTATCCTTTTAACTGAGTTAATATTAGTATTTGTGGGGATCAGAATTAGAGAAAGTGGTGATTCATGAAGTAGTAATACCCACGTGTGGGATTCCGGAGAGACGGTTAGGGATGATGTAACTGGTTCACTTTTAGATTATGGTCCTCAGGCTAACATTATTCCAAGTTCAGACCATGTTTTGCGAAACCTTTTTTCCCTCAGCAGAGCAGGATGTGGAGGACTCAGAACTAGCGTTCTCATGTGGAACTGCCTGTATGTAGACATTTCCAGATATTCCCCAAGTATCTTTCTCTTCTAGGAGTTACGGTTTGCCAGTTGCTCCTGAACCTGCTGGATGCACACCAGAATTACCTGGGGAGATTATTAAAAATACAGATTCTTGGGCCCCACCCCCGGAGACTGTGAATCAGTAAGTAGATCTGGGGTAGGGCCTGGGGATTTGTATTTTTAAACAAGTCACTTCAGGTGATTCTGATGCCACCAGACTGGTGTTTGGGGTTCGCTGGCTTAACGAGAAGTAAATGTGGTGGTTTGGCATGGCATTTTTATTTTATGTGAAAAGTGAACAAAGTGAAGTAGAATAGTTTTACAGCAGAAGAACCTCTTTAATAATTAGCCTCCTTCACCCCCTTTTGAAGTCGCTCCCCCAGTAGGGAGAAGAAGAGAGCTCGTTGGGAGGAAGAAAAAGACAGATGGAGTGACAGCCAGAGCTCTGGCAAAGAAAAGAATTATACCTCCATCAAGGAAAAGGAGCTGGAGGAGGCGCCGCCCGACAAGAACGAGGAGGAGGAGGAGGAGCTCCTTAAGCCTGTGTGGATTCGGTGTACCCACTCGGAAAACTACTACTCCAGTGACCCCATGGATCAGGTGGTAGGTCTGAGGCAGCAGAGAAGCTACAGACCGGCATCTAAACCCCGGCACTATGGGCATTTTGTGCTGGATAGTTCTTTTTGGTGGGGCCTGCCCTGTGCATTGTAGGATGTTGAGCAGCATCTTTGGGCTCCGCACTAGATGCCAGTAGAACCCCTCCCCAGTTGTGCTAACCAAAGCTGTCTTTAGACATTGCCCATCTCATCTGTAACCTTTTCACACCTGCAAAGTCCTTTCTGCCATGTAAGGTAACATATTCAGTTTCCGGGGATTAAAACGGGGACATCTTTGGGGGTGGGGGTATTGTGGCTCAGCCCACCTACCCTGAGATGAGGAGGTCTCTGCCCCAAATCTGAAGGAAATCATGGTTTTATTAGCAAGGAAGAAGGGGACAGTGGCTGCCATAGGGGTTATTCTTAAAGGAAAACAACCAAGTTGTAGGCACTGAGGTTCAGAGAGTTTAAACAGGCAGAACTTTTATTTTTTCTTACATTTTTTAAGGGTGTGTTAAAACTCCAGCATAGAACGATGGCTGGTGGACCAGGAGCCCAGCATTTGCCTTTGCATCTTGTCAGCTGGTGCAGTGAGGTATTGAGAATGCCAGTGTGGTCCCAGCATCACCAATGTCATAATGAGGAAAAGCAATTACCCCCTTTTGGGTATACTGCAGATTGTAGGATTTGTTTTAATTTTCTTTTTACGTCTGAAAGGTCTGGTTCTTACATTTTGAAAATTATGTCCAATAGTATGGACCTTTAAGATGATTTTCAGCCTGGGAAGAGAGTAGGGAAAAGTGGGAAACTTCCTCTAGGATTGTAGTACAGGACCCTGTGTTTGTGGTTTGTGGAGTGTGTGTGTGTGTGTGTGTGTGTGTGTGTGTGTGTGTGTGTGTCTCGGAGTATGTGTGGGATATATAGGATATTTCTCTTTGATCATCGGATTAATGTGGAAGACAGACTTTCAGGTATTATGAAATCAGGGGGTCATGATTTTCTTTGTCATTTCAAAAAGGCAAAGACAAAGAGCCCTCATGTTTGTGAATGTTGGCAGACTGCCCCCTCATGTGACAGCATGGATGTGTGTTTGATTCACAATTCCCAGCATTGGGAATTTTGTTTTTACCTATTTGTTAAATTGAGGGTTGAAAATGGCACGTTGCTGTTACAAATCTTTGATTATTTGTGAGGTCTTACATTTCTTTGGAAAGACTATTTTTTAATATAGATTCTAATATTGATTTTTTAAAATATAGATTCTAAAACTGATCCTTTATTTTTCAAAGGGGGATTCTACTGTAGTTGGAACAAGCAGGCTCCGCGACTTATATGACAAATTTGAGGAAGAGCTGGGGAACCGGCAAGAAAAGGCCAAAGCCGCTAGGCCCCCGTGGGAGCCTCCCAAGACAAAGCTGGATGAAGATTTAGGTGAGTCAGCAGCTACCAGACCAGACCCTGTGCTGTTATTACTGCTTCATCCGGGACTTTTGGGATGTGTCCTTGGGCATCCTACATTAAATTCCTCCCTCTCATTTTATTTTATTGATTTATTTTTATTTTTATTTTTTAAAATACATTTTTATTGATTTCAGAGAGGAGAGAGAAGGAGAGAGAGAGAAAAAAACATCAGTGATGAGAGAGAATCATTGATCTGCTGCCTCCTGCATGCCCCGCACTGGGGATTGAGGCCCGCAACCCGGGCACGTGTCCTTGACCAGAATCAAACCTGGCACCCTTCAGTCCGCAGGCCGATGCTCTATCCACTGAGCCAAACAAGCTAGGGCTCATTTTATTTTCCTTAAATATAGTCAGCAAAATACATACCAATGGAATTTTCTTCTTTTTGTAGTTTTTCCCAGTCACATGCAGCAGAATACATAAGAGATCTCATTTGCAAGTTACACTAATAATTGTGTCCCTTGTAGAACTGTCTAGTATTAGAATCAGAGGGACTGTATAGTCCAGCCTCCTGCCAATCGCGGGGGCCTGTTCTCAGTTCGTGGTGCCTCTGACAGGCATGCCTCCCCTCGGGGCCCTGCCCACTGTCAGCTGCTCCTGAGTTGATGAGCAAGTGCAGCTGCAGCCCAGCTCCGCTGGAAGGCATCTCTCTACTCGCAGAGACACTTTCCATAGCTTTCTCATATGGTGGTCTATTTTATCAAGTGTCTGAGGTTCCAAGTAGATGCTAAGATCTTTGAGGATAGAAATGCTTTTTGCCACTTGGTGTCCTTGGCCCCTAACAGAATGCCATGCTCAGCTGAGATATTCCTTATGCGTTTTCCTTTGTTCTCTGGCTCTCTGTGCCACCTTCACCGTGTCTCCCAGGCTGAGACGCAGTGTCCATGGTGGGTAAAAGCACTCACTGACCCGGCTGGCCTGGGTTCGAGTCCCTTCTCCTCCATCTGACATGCGACCTTCTGCAAGTGATTTAATTCTCTCTGCCTCCCTTTTGTCATCTGTAAAAGAGGGATGACATTGGTCTCATGGTGTACACTTGAAAATACAGCTGTGTAGGGGTTGGGTTATGTTTTTAAAAAATATTTTTATTGATTTCAGAGAGAGGAAGGGAGAGGGAGAGAGAGATAGAAACATCAATGATGGGAGAGAATCATTGGCCAGCTGCCTCCTTCACGCCCCCCAACCAGGGATCAAGCCTGCAACCCGGGCATGTGCCCTGACTAGGAATCTTAACGGTGACCCCCTGCTTCATAGGTTGACGCTCAACTATTGAGCCACACTGCCTGGGTGGGGTTGGGTTTTATTACTGTGCATTAATCTTTTGTAGGATTAATCTAAATTCTAGATCTGTTTTTTATTTTTTTTTTTTATTTTTTTTTTTTTATTTTTTTTAAATATATTTTATTGATTTTTTACAGAGAGGAAGGGAGAGAGATAGAGAGTTAGAAACATCGATGAGAGAGAAACATCGATCAGCTGCCTCCTGCACATCCCCCACTGGGGATATGCCCGCAACCCAGGTACATGCCCTTGACCGGAATCGAACCTGGGACCCTTCAGTCCGCAGGCCGACGCTCTATCCACTGAGCCAAACCGGTTTTGGCTAGATCTGTTTTTTAATTGTGCTAAAATACACATAGCACAAAATCATTTTTAAGTACAGTTCAGTAGTGTTAAGTACATTTCACATATCTCTAGACTCCTTTTATCCTGCTAATCTGAACCTATTCCCATTAAACAGCAACTCCCATCTCCCTCCACCAGCCCCTGGCACTGACCATTCTACTTTCTCTCTATGAATCTGACTACTCTAGGCACCTCCTATAAGAAAAATCACACAGTGTTTGTCTTTTTGGACTGGCGCACTAAGCATAATCCTGGGTCTGTTTTTATCCAGTCACTTTTAAAGTCTAAAATCTTTTATTGCTACTATTGAGAGAAACATTTAAACTTGAGTCTGGCATTCAGAGCCATCAGTCTGGCAGTTATGACCCTTCAACCCTCACCCCCAGGATGTTTCTGCGAGGCCTTTGCTGCAGCCTGTGTCCCTGTGCTCTCGCCTCCATGCTTTTGCGTGCAGTGTTCCCTCTGTTCCTTTCCTCTTGCTGCCTCCTCCTCAGCCACCCACCCCACCTCCGTGCCTGGGTGGTGTGCACCCGTTCTAGAAAACCGCCGGTGACCTTTCCAGATCAGGGACTTGCTCTTGTCTGAATTGCTGCACCTTTTAAAATACATAATCCCATGCTACTGTGGCTTGCATATTCTCTGGCACCAAGCCTTTCTCTGTAAAAATCTTTTGTTTGCTTTCCCAGCTAGATCGTGCCTTAGCATTATGGGCTGTATGACTTTTCATGGTATTGCTGAGCAGAGTGCTTGGCACTCAAATATTTGCTGAAAGGATAAACAACTGTCCTTGCATTGAGAGGTTTGGGTCATTGGGAAGTCTCCGAGTGTAACCATCTTGTGAATTTCTTCAGCCTCTCTCCGTGTTTGCCCCTCACCTCTGTTAGAAAGTTCCAGTGAATCCGAATGTGAGTCTGATGAGGACAGCACCTGTTCTAGCAGCTCCGACTCTGAAGTTTTTGACGTCATAGCAGAAATTAAACGCAAAAAGGCCCATCCCGACCGGCTTCACGATGAACTCTGGTACAATGACCCAGGCCAGGTGCGCATGTGTTTTATGTTCTTGCTGGGAAGGGTGCAAACCACTCGTCACATTTATGACTCCAGGTCCAGAAGATGCATGTCGGCTCGTATCGAAACTGAATTTTCCTCTGGGCGCTGTGAGCCATTCTCCAGAGCTCATTTCCTCCAGCCTCAGAGTTCGGCTCCAAAGCATAAGCACCAGAGCAACTGTGCCTTGAATCATTTTTGACGACGTTGGTAAATCCTGGGTTAGGGAACCGGATAATGGCGCTGCCTCATTAAACTTGCAGTAAACGGAAGGAGACAAATGGTAGAGTGAGGGCGAGAGGACTTGTAGGTCTTTTTAAAAGTAGTTCGTCTGGAAGGCATCTTACAGCAATATAATAAACAATGTCTTCAGTCCTATAAAACTTCATATTTCTTAGTTAGTAATAGTCACAGTTCCATGGAAGCTCCCTTCCTCGTTAAGTATGTTTGAGCTAATGATGTCATTGCTGGACATATTTTTATTTCTACTTAGGGTTTTCTTATGAAGTACTACATAATACAAAATAGTATCTTTATAAGAGATTGGTATTTCACAAATATACAACGCAAGAAAAATAGCATCTAATGCATATAAAGTTATTAAGCATAATAAAACACATACCTATAAGAAGATAATTTACAATTGAAATAAATTCATACCATTCTATATTGAATGTTCTTTTGGCTCTTATTAGAGGATGGCTAACTAAACTGTCTTTCTCAGTAGAATTCATATAGTTAGAATGCCCGCCAGAAATGCACTTTGTGGTGCCTTTTGCTCTCTTGGAATTGAGCAGAAGTGTTTGCAGTTGTCCATGCATTTTGAAACTTACTTTGATATATTAATCATGCATATGATCTCTTAAATAGCTTCAATGAGTTTTAATTCACATACTGTATAGATTATACACTTAAAGTGCACAATTCAATGTTTTTTAGGATATTCACAGGACTGTACAGCCATCATCACAATCCAATTTTAGTGCATTTTCATCTCCCCTGGAAGAAATCCTATGCCCATCAGTAGTCACTTCTCTGCCCCCCAGTGTGTGTGTGTTTTTTTTAACGGCCTATTCTCCTGTCCAGAGCCTGCCCCTTGGTTTCTGAGGGTTCTTAGTCCATCAGAGCACCCTGTGCAGCCTCACCATTCTGTTCACTAGATCTGGTGTTGTGTCCTCGGTACAGCCGAGCCTTAAAAGGGCTGATCTGCGTCAGGGCCCAGCCCCTGGTAGAGGCAGGAATGCGGGGTGTCTGTCTGCTCCCTTGAAAATCAGTGAGCACGAGGTGATCTTCCACATTTTCCCTCATGAGTTGTGACCATCACTGGGCGTGTGCTGTGACTCTTGAGGGCACCCCATCACATCTCTGTTTGCCAGCTGTTACTTGGGATAATTACCCAGTCTTTTTTAAGGTAACAATGTTATTTCTCTGATGTACCACCTGGAGCTTTAGATTTTCCAAAAAGATAAAGAAAGTTATAGTTTTTCACTTTAATATTTTTTTCAAAGTTGTATTGAGATATTGTCATTGGACACAATGAGTCACAAATTTCTAGAACTTTAAAGAAATATGTTTATGTGTTTGTGTAAATATATATGTTATAATGTGTTATATATGTGTGTGTGTGTGTGTGTGTGTGTGTGTGTGTGTGTGTGTGTGTGTATTTATTAATACAAAGAGAGTGAGAAATGGAATTCAGCTTCCTTATTCTCCACACTGATGCTCTGGTCTCCTTTTGATTCCGTGTTGCCGTTTATGTTAAATAAAGTCATGAGATGACTGTTAAGACCCTTTAAGATTTGAACCTCAGTTCTGCTTGTTTGGTCTTCTTGCTCACATAAATGACCCATTCCATCGAGGTGGCTGTCATGTCCCGGGAACATCACCTTGGGTTTCTTCCTTCGCTTTGTTCCTCATGCTGGTGCCTCATGTAGCATAACCGTCTGCTTTTCCTGTCCTGTTCGGCTGTTCAGATAGTTTGTCTCTTTGAAGCCAGTGGTATCTCCATCTGCACTGACAATTTTTCCGTTTTCTTTAAAATTACTAAGCATATTATATGTATGCTATTTCTTACCTAGAATAAATATTCCTTGAGTACATGGACCCTGAGCTGTTTATCACTCTCTCCTCCCCAATGCTTAGCAGTCATCTTTCCACCCAAAAGTCACTCAGGCATTATTCCCTTATTGAATCCTGTGGGTAGAGTCCAGGGCAGTGAAATGAATTCAGGTGAAAAACCAGACATTGGCTTACCTGCTTAGTGTTGAACGTTTTCCTGGTTCTAGCAGGCATTTTCTTCTCTATGCTTCAGATACCTTTATGTTTCTCTTTTGAAAACATTTAATCTGGTTACCTTCAAAGCATTTTATGTGCTTCAAAGTATATAAAATATGCTTTTCTTTTGTGAAGAGCCTTTTTTCCCTGAAATAAGAAATAGAAGGAACATACTAAAAAGTGGTCGGAGAAGATGGGGGCGAGCAATGCGCAGATGCTGATATTTTCTGCTTGGCTGCACAAATCACTTGGGGATCAAGCGTTGCCTTACAGTTTCCTTTTACCAGACAGTGTGGACAGTGTGCAGCTTTATTGGTTTTGGATCATCCGTGTAATTTTCTAACTGTGACAGCCTCTTCAGAGCTTTAGGACTCCTGATGTTAAAACCCACATAATTCCATGGAACGTCAGCTTGCATGGTGGGGACTTGCCCCCAATAAAACTAATTCCTTTCTGTCTCTGACAGATGAATGATGGTCCACTCTGCAAATGCAGCGCAAAAGCCAGACGCACAGGAATTAGACACAGCATCTATCCCGGAGAAGAGGTAACGGCTTTGGGTTGTTACATTTGTATGCACCGAGAAGCCAGCAGTAGACAGTGCCGTTGCTATTCTTTCCCCTGTAAATGAAACAAGACCATTGAAAAGCCTTTTCATATTCCCCAATAGTCTCTGGTACTGATAATTGGAGAAGAAAAGTACTTGGGTTTGGATTTGGAGTGGGGAATATCATCAAGGAAACCATCAAATAGGCCAAGTGTCTTTGAGTTGGTTTTTATTCTTTTAAAACTGGTGTAATATTTTTTCTATGTTCTTATCACAATTGGCTCTGAAGTACCCTGGAGAAACGATCTCTTTAAAGTGTATAAGGTGCATGTCTGCTTTCCTTGGGGGACGTGGGAATGCTGTTGTATTTGTTCATCTGTGTTCCCACTACACTGAGTAGCACATGGACTGTTCTAGCTCTGTGCCCCAGCCCTGGTCCATCAGGGACACTCCAAATATGCTTGACTGATTAAGTTGAATACTTTTAGGCAGTTTCATCAATTCCAGATACATTTGGGGACCAGGGCAATGACCACTGGGTGGATTTTTAAACAGAGTGGACCTATTGTAAGCCGGACCTCAATGAAGATTTTGTTTGCTACCTTGGCCTCATGTCCCCCACTCTACTGGGGAATGAGGACAGTCATTCAGTGTCTGAGAATTAGTGTTGATTCAGATGCTGCGACAGCATCTGAACTGTCAGGATTTCCCCTTTCCCTAGTGTACTGTTACTTGGGTAAATGGCCATAGGTTCTTTGGGGAAGGACAGTGTTGTCATGAACATTTTTGTTTGTAATGGTGTTGCAAGGCTTCCTGGGAACTGGCCACCTCTTTAGTCAATGGATATCAGTTCAAAAACTTGATCAGGTCTGGAACTGGGCAAAGGAACATGACTTATTGGAGCAACCTCCCTTTAGCCACTTGGTTATCACTCTTGATTTCTTCTGTTGGTACAAACTAAGTTGGTATTCTTGTCAGCTACCCATCTGTTTTGTGCCCAAGGACACCATGTTCTGTTGACTCTTGCATGACTGTGTGTCAGATTCCCTGGGCTGCCTCTTCGATCTTGCTGGTCCTGATGATAATTGTGTGACCCTAGCTTGTAACAGCCCCGTCGTCTGTCTGGCCTCCCTTGTTTCAGAGTCCTTTCATATGGTTGCTGTCAGCAAGCTGTGCTCTGTGATAACCTCTCTAGTCAGACCTGGAGAAGGCCCAGACACTCTCAGACACTGAATGACTGCCTGAATGACAGAAGGCCACCCCTGAACCAGCACATTCCTTTTGATCCTGGTAGCTGTCCTGTCCTCTGTACTTCCCATAGAATATGATTATCTGGTATATTTTTTCAGTCAGAGGTATTATGTCCATTCCAAAGTGCCCACTTCTTTGAATCTTTGGATTCATTCCTCCTCTGTCCATCATGGCAGTTTTGGTATTTTGACTTTACTCTGTGTGGGCCATCACTTTTTCATGCTTTTAGGAGACACCCTAGAAAGGAGTTGCCAGCATCTCCTGGCATCCTGGAATCCTGAATGCTCCCACGTCAGTAAAGTCTTCCTTAACCAGTTGTGTGTTCTGGCCCTTTTGGTCGGGCACTGTCAGCCTCCGGTCCTGTGCAGACTCCTGCTGGCACACGCTGGCTAGTGCTTACAGGCCCTCTAGGCATAAACTCCTCCCAGCACCTCTCCAGCTGGGCTGTGCCGGGGAAATGACCCTAATTATAGGTCTGTCAGCCAGGAGGGGAGACTGATTCAGTACTGGGGTGGGGATGTTTTCAGGTCCCTGACTTTGGCATAGCAGACCTATCTTGGTTGGCTGTTAATTGTCTTTTAGGTCCACCCACTCTGACTTTGATAAGCCCTGGGCTCGGTCCTGATTTGCTCTGACCTCTCACTGCAGGTGAGAGCTTCTTTGTGTGTCCCAACACACCCTCTAGTTTTCCCATCTGGCTTTCAGTTTCCTTTCTCCTCTGCTGTTCACTTCTATAGAGCAGGGGTGGGGGACGTCCAGCCTGTGGATCTTATGATGACTATGAAATCATTTGGTCTGGCCCTGCCAAGGCATTAGGGGTGAGTTAATGAAATGTTTGACCAAGTATAGCAGGCTAATGTTTAAGTTGATAATCTTGTATGGCCCGAGAATGATGTTATAAGTATCTAAATGGCCCTTGGCAGAAAGTAGGTTCCCATCCCTGCTGTAGATTAATTCATATACCTGGGAACTTGTTAGAAATGTAGATTCTCAGCTGCTTCAGCTTCTGAGTCAGACTCTGGAGATGGGGAGCAAGCAGTCTGAGATTTAGCAAGCCCTTCAGGTGATTTAACTAAAGTTTGAGGAATATGGTGGAGTAGCCATCTATCCCTTGCCATTAGAGCTACTATCTCTCATAGTCTTAAACACCGGCTTCCATTGGTACAGCCTCCCATTCCATCGTCTTTGAAAGTTTCAGTAGGTGTGCCATCCGGTGCCAGGGGCTGTGTGCTCCGCCTACCCCCATGATGGGGCCTTTATTGCCAGTTGCATGGTAAGTGATTTCTCTCCCAAACCCCATCTTATCTCTCCTGCTTTTTGGGGTCACTCTTGGTACCAACTGTCCCGCACTGGATTTTCCAGAAGCAGATGCTAAAGTGGAGTTTGGGGCGCATGATGTTTCTTTGAAAGGAAGAAGGTATAAGCAGGATTGGACAGAGGGATTAATCAAACTATGAGTCAACCCCAACAAAGCCCCATCAGCCGAGGAATGAGTATTGTCCATTGACTTGAGCTTTGCTGGCTGGGCCTTCATGCTTCTCTCCTTAGTGGGCAGCGGTCCTGCCGTGCATGGTCTGGGGCACGCATCTCTGTGTCCGTCACAGCACACCCACGGTTCAGTCCACTGATGCTGCTTTTGCTTGCTGTCAGTTTTCCTTTTCCTGACTTAAGCTCCATGATATCCTGTCCCACCACCTCTCACCCGTCTTCATTTCTGGTCCCTTCTGTTTTCACCAGCATGTTTAATCTTTTCACTATCTCCCCCACCCCCATTAAAACCTACTGCTAGTCCCCCGGAGGTGATTTTTCCTGCCCTTTTTTTTTCCAGTTTATTGGGAGTTTAGCCAAAGTTCAATTATTGTGTTATTTTACCCCCCAAAAAAGATAAATTTAGATCTATAAAGATCTTTATGTTGTCTCAAACTGTCCTATTGCACATGAAGAAATGAATTGAATACTGGGGACCAGCCAGCCCTTTTTTATTCGTCTAATTAACGGTAAAGTGAATACTATTTTTTCCTGCTAGCCGGTAAAGGAACCTCTTTAGTTAGACATGCAGCTAGAAAATACAGTCTAATTTAAGTAAAAATACTTTGCTTATTTACTTTCAATATCACTTATGTTCCTTCCCTCAGGCCATCAAGCCCTGTCGTCCTATGACCAACAATGCTGGCAGACTTTTCCACTATCGAATTACAGTCTCCCCTCCTACAAACTTCTTAGTAAGTTCCTTACAAAATCAGATTTCCTTTATTTTAAAATGTAAATAGGTTGAATGTGTGCAACTAGGTTAAAATGTGAATAGACTAAATATTGATTCAGTTCTTAAATGTTCTTTCTTTTAAAATATCCTATTTTTATGTTGATAAAATTGGCCTTTATCATAATGACATTTATTTTTACTTTTTTACCAGATTATTTTTGGTACCTTTTTTCATTTATATTGTTGGTACCACATAATAGTCAAAAAATTGTGGCACTGTGGAGTTGGAAGAATGCATAGAACAATTTCACATCTCTTAAAAATCAGCAAATAGATTATATGTTATCTAGTGACCCAAATAAGAACATCTATTGTATCTACCAGTATTTCAGTAATAATAATACTTAATACTTGTTGACTATGGTATTGGGCACCATTCTGAGTATTTGACATGTATTAACTTATCTCTCACAACAAACTGATGAAGCAGACACTGTTATCTCCATTTTATAGGTGGAGCAGTAGAACATACTTTACAGATGAGGTTAAGTAGCTTGCTCAAGATTACTAGTATTCAGGTAGGAAGTGGCAGAGTGCAGATTTGAGCCTATGCAGTCTGACACCATCGTGTATGGCTGTATGCTATTCCACTATGTTATACTGCCTTTCATAGTATAAAATTTTATTAGTTCTGGTTACTTGTATCATCAAGAGATTTCAATTTCAAAGTTAGATATTAATAATTACATATTTTAACAACTTTATTGAGCTATAATTCATATACCTTAAAATGTACCCATTTAAAGTGTATATTTTATATTTCATCTTTTCACTGAATTGTGAAACCATCATCACAGTCTAATTTTAGAACATTTTCATCATTTCGAAAAGAAAGCCTGTACTCAGCAGCAGTCAACTCTTTCCCACCCCCAGCCTTCAGCAACCAATAAGATGCTTTCTATTATTTGCCTGTTCTAGATAGTTAATATGAGTGGGACAATACAATATATCATCTTTTTGGCTTCTGATTTCACTTAGCATAGGGTTTTCAAGATTCACCCATGTTGTAACATGCAACTTCATTCCTTCTTATGACCAAATAATATTCCATTCTATGGATATACTATATTTTATTTATCCATTCATCAGTTGATGAACATTTGGGTGGTCTCCACTTTTTGGCTATTATGAAAAATGCTTCTGTGAATGTTTGTGGACAAGTTTTTGTGTGGATGTATGTTTTCATTTGTCTTGGACATAAACCCAGGACTGGGGTGCTGGATTGTTTGGTAACTCTATCTTTAATATTTGAAGAACTACCAAACTGTTTTTCAGAGTGTTGTACCATGATTATTTCATTAGAAGTTCTTTTCATTATATTTAATTTAGACCAACTTTGTTGAATTATTCAAATAGAAAGTAACAGTAATATTGACAAAACAAATAACGTACATTTGGATATTCTTTAGTTCTCTCCCTGTCAAGTTCTTTGTGTGTGATGTGTGTGTGTGTGTATGAAATGTTCAGTACCTATGTAAAAAACATATCTTTTAGGTTATTAGTCTTGATAATTCCATATTTAGCATTTAGGATTAAAAATGGTGGGTTATAAGAATGGCATAAGGCCGAAACCGGTTTGGCTCAGTGGATAGAGCGTCGGCCTGCGGACTGAAGGGTCCCAGGTTCGATTCTGGTCAAGGGCATGTACCTGGGTTGCGGGCACATCCCCAGTGGGGGGTGTGCAGGAGGCAGCTGATCGATGTTTCTCTCTCATCGATGTTTCTAACTCTCTATCTCTCTCCCTTCCTCTCTGTAAATAATCAATAAAATATATTTAAAAAAAAAAAAAAAAGAATGGCATAAGGAAGAGAGTCTCATGCATAGAGCAACATTTGTATGTTTTAATTACAGATTCAGTTTTCAGTAATTAAGATCTTGGGCATCATGCAGGAATTGATTTGTTGCACATTTGGTGGGTTGCTTCTCCTTGGAAGGCCTGGGAATGGAACTGTGAGGGCTGAGATCTGGCACCTGGCCCTTTCAGAGCCTTCCAGGTGGTTAGTCTTGACCATCATGATGCTGAGTCTTTTTTTCACTTCGAGCTTTGAGTCAGCTGCGTTATTATCTTATTCTTGTTAGGACTTCTGTTAGTTCAGAAATATAGATCAATAAGAACAGGACTGGTAGTATTGTGGGTTAAATAAAGCAAGTTCCTAGAAAATGAAGTCAGATAGCCTTTCCCCCCCTTTCTGGCATCTGTAACAAAATGTCTTGATTGTCTCAGTATATAAATATTACTGAAGCCAGAGAATTCCACCAAGCCAGACAATTTCTCCTAAAATTAAACTTTTAAGTTCTCCCTAGTGTTTGGACAAACATTAAGAAAGTTTGTGGAGTCCTGATATTTTTCCTGGTGGTTGCTTTGTGTCCTGATGAATATCTGCACATGCAAATCATGCTGTTATTTAATTCAAGCGTGTGTTTCTGTTTGCTTTCAGACTGACAGGCCTACTGTTATAGAATATGATGACCATGAGTATATCTTTGAAGGATTTTCTATGTTTGCACACGCCCCTCTAACTAATGTAAGTATGTGCTCATTGACTGGCTTTCCCTGTCCCTGCACCCCCACCTTTCCTGTCCTCCCTTCATTCTTCTAAAAATCAAAATAGATTTCCTTTCTCCTGACTTCTAAGTAACATTTACTTTGTGTCCTCCCTCTGCCTGAGCTGCAGGAAGTCTATGGCAGTCTGTGTCAGGTGGGAGTGTGACATCTGTGCTAATGAGTCACAGGTTTGTTTCCCATGAAATGGTGTAAGTAAACGTGTCAGGATAACATTTTGAGAGTGTGAAAGATTGAAAAAGAAGGATTAACTGTGGAGTAACGTGTCAGAGCTATTTGGGGGTGGGTGTCCTTCAAAGGAAAGTTGGAAAGTTTTAAGAAGAACTTGCTGTTTAGTCTCTGAGCAATAGAAAAAGAAATAGAGCTGGTTTAGGACATCTGGAATCTGAATTAATTTCATACAGTTTTCTGCCTTTGAATACCAGGAATATGTCTTCTTTAAGGGACTTTGCCTGACACACAGATCTATGATGTTTTTATACAGGTATTAAGGCTGCTCTGTTAGTAAGCGGTTCAAATGGAAGTTCTGTATCTATGAGTCAAAAGCTTTGTCTCAGAGCTGGCAGTCTTGGGAATTGTCATGGAGTGAATTTGCTGGCGGCTCAGGGAGAGTGCAGCAGTATACTTCATCCAGCCTAGAGGTCGTTATAGAACTTACTGAGTTATAGCTACGGTGTAGCTACCTTGAAATAGAATGTTCTCTAACCTTTCTGGTTTGCCGGGGTCCAACCCCAGCGGGTCCAGGGGTCCCCAAAGGTGTGGACGGAGTCGGCGAAGAAGGAAGGACATGGAGACAGTGTTCAGTTGATCAGCAGCCTAGCCAGGATCTCCAGCCAGGATCTCCAGCCAAGTTCTGGTCTGGATCTCCAGAGAGGTTCTGCTTCAGATCTCCAGCCAGGTTCTGTGTCCATGTTCTCTTGCTAGGTTCTCCAGCCAGGTTCAGTCCAGGTTCTCCAGCCAGGTTCAGTCACCAGGTTCTAGTCAGGTTCTCTTGCCCATTTCTGTAGTCAGGTTCAGTCCAGGATCTTTTGCCATGTTCTCTCCAGTGAAGTTCTTCTGTCTGTAGATTCTGTGTAGGTTCTGTCTCTTTAGTTCTGTGTTCTAAGCTCTGTATTCTAAGTTCTGTCTCTTGCTGTCTTGTTGCATCTGTATTTATACCAGTTGATTCAATCCTATCAATCTCTATTACAAAGGTTAGGGCGTTTCTTATCTTCATTCCAGGGAGTAAAGATTATGTAGCTTAAGCACGATTGTTCGTAGTTAAAGTGATTAATTACCCGCCTGGCACTTAGTTAAGAGGTTTTATTCCCTCCCTAACTTCAGGGGAAAATCCCTACCTGGGGAAACAACCTTTCTCAGAGAGGAGACCTTGGTTAAAACACATAGTGCCAAGGTGAGCAAACATATTAAGAACAGTATGCCATATATGCCAGGTCCTTTGAAACAGCAAGGATGGACTGGCTCCCGGCACTGGTTTGGTTACAAGAAATTATACAGTTTGAAAAGTTATTTTAGTATTGTTTACTTAAAACTTGAAATTCTGTTCCTCTGGAGAGTAAAGAAAGATTCACATCTTTGCCAAACCTTGTTTCTTTCTATCCTTTCTTTTTTTCTTTATAAGTGGACATGATTCCATAGTAGTGATACTAATTTAAAACAAATTGTCTTTTTATTGTTTTTATTCCACAGTATATTTTATCCTAGACAATTTTCTTTGAGAAGATGAGTACATTGTAAATGTAAAAATAAAATCATTTGATAATACATACCATGTTTACCTCCGGGATGGACCATAGTATACAAAAGAGTATAATATTGGACCATTCTTTCTTTTTTTTAATTAGGTATAATTAATATATAACATTGTATTAGTTTAGGTGTACAACATAATGGTTCAGTATTTGTATATATTGTGAAATGATTACCACAATGAGTCTAGTTAACATTTGTTACCTTACATAGTGACATTATTTTATATTGGACTATTCTTAAACAATCTGAAACAATATGACTATTGGACTATTCTTAAACAATATGAAAAGGCATTAGGAGGTTTTTGAATTTTGATGGTTTTGTTGTCTTTGTAAATATATTTTTTTAAATTATTTTTTTTTTGAAGAGAGAGAGAGAAAGAGAGAGAGAAACAGTGATGTGAGAGGGAAACATTGATCGGTTGCCTCCCGTAAGTACCCCGTCCGGGGACAGAAGCACAGCCTGGGCATGTGCCCTGACCGGGAATGAAACCAGCAACCTTTCTGTGCATGGGACAGTGTTCTAGCAACTGAGCCACACTGGTCAGGGCTGTTGTCTTTTTTTAAATGTCTCAATGAGGCACTCAGACCTTTGTGACATCAAATCTCCTAGTCTTAGAGTGGGAAAGGCTTTTAGAAGTCCTCTAGTCCAACTTCCCCTCCCTATTGCACTTCTCTCTTTTTTGCCCTTCAAAGGATTTGCAAAACAAATAATTTAGTTACCATGAAAATATTTCAAAATATCTATCTTATTTTTTAATTCCCTAGAATAGTGTAGATCTTACTTTAACTTTTAGGATCACCTTCATTAAAGAAGGAAAGCAGTTTGGCTTCAGAGAGACCAAAGTTTTAAACATTGAATTCCTCTTACTATCTGTATGATTTGACATTTCAGTCTTTATAAGCCTTTCTTATCTTAAAATAGAGGTATTAGTTTTAGCAACAGGCTTTTGTAAAAAAAAATGAGATGAAACATGAAAAGTGTTTATCATACAGTGGGTTGGCATCCAACAAATATTGAACTTCTTATTTTGGGAAATATGTCAGAAAGACCTGGGTTTGCATCTTCTAATTCTTTTTTGTTTTTAAAAACTAATTCTTAACATCTGTGTGACTTTGGACAAGTGATTCTATGAGCTTTATTAAAATTCCTCAGGCACTGATAGGCTGTTAATGCTAAATTAATTGCAGTTGTTACTGTTATCATAAAATAAAATGTAGGACTGAAAAATTCCTGGCTTCTGCATATATTTTATATAAAAATATTCAAGTTCTCAAAATTTGAGAACTTAACTCTCTAATGAGAAGATAAGCCCCATCATTTATGTTAGAGATGTTGATAAAATAAATCGAGTATTAAGCCAAGTGTTGTACAGTTCATAGGAATTAGATCCATCAAAGGCCTCTTGAATTTGAAGTAACCTCCCAAGAAAGGGAATTATTAAATCACTGTGCTGATCTGATTCATGTTCTTGCTGGAGAGAGCACATCAGGAAGAATGGCATGCAAATGATCGTAACGTGAGAATCTCAGCCAAATCTAGTTCTGACAGGTTCTCTTCAGAACTTGCAGTGGACGGAAAGCCTTGTTGGCTTAGTGTGGAGCATTCCGGGAGAAATTAATTCTTTTATGTAGTACAGTTACTAGTACTTATAATACCTGATGCTACTAAAGGCTTTGACAATATAACCAAAATTATAAAGATAAACATATTAGGTGCATAATGCTTTATCCTGACCACAAAAGCCCCATGAAGCCCATGACCATTTCCTCCTGCCTTCATGGGCTTCCCATTTCCAGCAGCCGCACTGGGCTGGATTTGGGCATTTAGTGTCTGGAAGTAGTAGAGTTGAGGAAGTTTTCTTTTTTTTTTTTTTTAAACTTATCTTTATTTTTGAAAGGGGTGTTTTCTTTAGGAGTGGTGTTTTTTTTTTTGTTTTTTTTTTGCTTGTTTTTGGTATGGTGAAATAGGAGTTAGTGTTAGCCAGTGTCCAAAGATGTTTTAAGAAATGATGGTAGGTATTTATATTATTTGATTGGCCAGTTAAGCTTCCAATCAGTCGAGATTCCGATTATGTTGGCAAATGACAGTTCTCTCTGTGTCTTAGAGAAGAGGAACGTTTGACTAGCAGAGGAGATCCTGCCTTCCCAGTGGTGTGTCTGAGAAGGGCTCAGGCTGACACTGTGCTCTCTCTCTGCGTGGCTCCCTACTGCTCCCACGGCCTGTGGTCCTTTCTCTTCCGGATACCCTCTCCCTGAGTAAGGGAGGCTCACCCACGGTTTTTCCTCCTATGCGTATCTTGATCCTCGCCAAATTGTTATTTATAGCTGTGACATAGGGCTCCATGCTTCACACGGCAACTTCAGACTGCCTGTTGGGCACACCCACCTGACTGTCCCCTCAGGTACCTCATCCTCACCCTGTGTGAAACCGAACTCGTCATCTTTCCCACAGACTGAGTCTGAGTACGCGGGGAGTACCCCATGAATTTCTTCGTATTAATGCCATTGTGATGTGTACGGTCACGTAGGCCAGAAACCCAGAAATTATTCCCTATTCTTCTTTCTTGCCTCCACATCAGAACGGTCACTGTGTATTTCAGTAACATCTCTTATGTTTAAAAATATTCCCCTTCTTTCCAGTCTTCTCTTCATTTGGCTCCTGGACTGTTTCATTAGACTCTGGTCTTCTAGTTTCCTGCCTCGCTCCCTTCCAGACCATCCCCACACCGTTTACATAGCCACTCATCCGAAGTGTGAACTGTGATGTTCTCTCACTTAAACTGCTTGAATGACTTCTCATTGACAGGATAAGCCCTGAATCCTTTACATTGTTTGTAAAATTTGCATAATACAGTTCAGTGGTCGCCAACCTTTCGGACCTCACGGACCACTGGTTGGCGACCACTGATACAGTTCATACTTTCCTGTCTAGAAATACCTTGCTTCTCTCTCTCCACCCGCTTTATTCCTGAACAGCTAAATCATTTGTAATTCCCCCGGCTCCTTTCGCTCTGTCTTGCTAGAAACTAAATACCTGCTTTTCCCCAGGTTAGTTTTTCTGGATGACCTGGAAAATCCCTGCCCCTCTTTGAAGACTTAACTCAAATGTTACCTCCTTTGGTCCTTTGGAACTTTATACTCTCTGTTTGCATATTTGTTTTTAATTGGACTTACAAGTTACAGTGTACCATGTTCTTCTTTTAGATCCTTGTCTTTTAAAATGGTAGGGGCTGTGACTTCTTCTAGGGTAACTGAACCTAACATCATTGTTAGCAAAGAATAGGTATTTACAAAATATGAATGATGCCCAAATTTGTAGCTCTCACATCATTTTTAAATATAGGACTAAAAAGACCTTAAAATGTTAGTGGCTTTAGCCTGCTGCTTCAGTTGTTTTAGAACTCATTTATTATCACAAGAAGGTTGCATATGGATCTCTTATTAAAATGTGAATTTTACTCAAATTAGCCGTTATCCTTTTAAAAAAATGAAAAAGCACCTAAGAACTAAATTTCATTTCTGAGAAAAAGTTTCCAGTAGATGGCATTATAAGACTATTCTTGTTTTTCTTACCATTCCTTTGGTAGAATTAAAATGTGTTTCTTTCTGATTGCTATGGTTTGTAAAAACGGTTACATTTATATAAAATTGTCTTCTGGACAGACAGATTGAGTGCCTAGAAAAACCAACTTAACACATCTCTGGGGCTTCTGAGTATTATTTTCCTCAGGTAATCAGCCAGACCACTGCGGTAACTCCACACCCTCCCTTTCTCATTCCTCCCTCATTCAAAAGTATACTCAAGGAAAACTGACTATGTCTAGGCACTAGGCTAGTAGTGTCTGATGACACATTGGTAAAACAAGACAGGTGTGGGTTTATTTAACATGAGCCTGCCTTCATTTTCACATGAACCCTGAGTATTACAACAGGTGATGAGAGGTAATATACTCTAGTGGCTTAGAGCTGGCTAGAGCCTAGAGCAACATTTCTGAACTCAACAGCTACCGGTGTACCTTAGGCAAGGTACCTGATGACTCTGCCTCAGTTTCCTCCTCTGTACAAGGGGGATAATAAATTGTGCCTATCTCATAGGGGTGGCTACATGGGTGACCATATGTGAACCATTAGAGCAGCGCCTGGCTCAGGAAATGCTATCTGTTGTTATTCATATCATACTTTATTATGATTATTACCACGGTTGGTTTTGCTCCGGAGCCAGATAGACAGCTGGACTTGTGTGCGTGTAGTGACTTAGGAATCTGTAACCGATGAGCTGTCAGCCTGCTATCCCTGATCTGCCTGAAAAGCCAAAGTTCTGAAAGATTAAAAAAAAAAAAACACATGAGAAAAATAAGTATTTAAGTGGTTTTATTAATTCTCTAGAGGCAATTTGGTTGGATTTAATGGGTTCTTGTCACGTTTGTGTTGTTGCTCGTACAGTTAATTAAGCACCAGCATTATGCAGGTTTCCTGTAGAGGCAGGGCCAGCTGGGCGCCTGCCATGAAAACCCAGCCGTTGTGGTCAAGCTCGCCTGCAGCATTGTGAGCAGCTTAGATGAAGTGGAACTTTCTCGTCTGGGTCATGGCCTTCTGGGTCAGGTTGCCAACACATGCTCATTGTGAGCCTCCGGGATGGTGTTGCAGACTGAACCTCCTCTTATTCTTGCAGATTCCGCTGTGTAAAGTGATCAGATTCAACATAGACTACACGATCCATTTCATCGAAGAGATGATGCCTGAGGTAAGGCAGAAGATGGCTTAGCAGCTTTGTCTTCTGTTTATTCCACACTTACATCTTGAAAGCATTGGACATGGCCAGCTCTGGCTTTGGCCTCAGAAATACCCCTAAAGTTTTGTGGTCACTGTTGCAAGGGTCAGTGAGATGGAGCTCTAGGAACAAGGTTAAAATTCAGGCCATTTTTCAACTTCTGAATCCATTTCTCCTTGTTTTGCATCTACTGATAGTAACTTTACATTCGTTTTTGGTTTGTTTTGGGTAGGGGACAGATTTTGATTACTGGTTGTTATCAGAGGAAATTAGGGTATTGAAACCGAATCTGATAGCTGTTGGAATAATCTTATTCATTATCTCCAATGACAAGATTGCTGCCTGGTTCATTTTTCTTCCCATATATTTACATATTTTTCCTAATTGTTTTTCATTGCCGCTGCTCAGCAGCAGATTTATCTAAATATATGCAAGAGGTTTAAAATTCCAAAGCAAGATTAATGTGAATCTCAGAATGATTCATTGCCTGATCTTGAATTTAGTGATGTCAACAAGTCACACGAAGAAATAACAACTAGACAGCAAACAAGCCTGTGCACTTAACCTTGTGCTGGAGTTGGGGTCGATTTCCTGAGCCCCCGGCTCTCCTTGCAAACCTTGTTTAACAGCGCAGCTCTGTCATGGGCAGCCGGGCACCAGCGGGAATTGATAAGCATGACATACATGCTTAGTTTGCACCTACTTCATTCAAAGCAAGTCCCGGTAATTCTACCTGTCTTTCAAAAAGAATTAAAGAGAAAGGGCCACCCCCCTTATTCTCTAGCTTAAAAGGGCTTTTTGCTTCCTTTCGATTTTTAAGGTCATAAGCCTTCATTTGCTATTGTAAAGGTTTATGTGTCTGGAGTTATCTCACGCAGGGTGATTTATGAACCCTGAGCAAAACAAATAGGAAGGAAGAATTATGAGACATGTCTTAGTTGCAAATATATCATCTGTTAAGCTTGTTTACGGGAGAAATTTTCGTCCAAAGTTTTGTAGTTTTTCGTAGCCCTTTATTTGCCTTCATTAAGAATTTTAACTTTTTGGCATGAAAGACCTCTGTTTATGGTCACTCTAACAGTGATTCTGGGTGTGTTTGGGGGATGGCAGGGAACAGGGGTGGGGTGAGTGGGACAAACCTATCAGAGCCTGCTGGCGTGTGTGTGTGTGTGTGTGTGTGTGTGTGTGTGTGTGTGTGAGAGAGAGAGAGAGAGAGAGAGATTTGAATTAACAAAAAGTCCCCAGGAGAGCCTGATATTATAATTGGGTTAGAAAAATATGACATAAAGACGACTTCATTTTTATTTTATTTTTTAATAATAATTCTTTATTGTTGAAAGTATTACATATGTCCCGCTTTTCCCCCCATTGACCCGCTCCAGTCTGCCTCCCGACCCCAGGCCCTCAACACCCTGTATATGCATGGCTTTATCTGCGTCCATGGGCCATGAATATAAGGTCCTTGGTTGATTACCTCCCACCCACCGTCCCTCTGAGATTCCGTACTCAGTTCCATGCTTCCATGTCTCTGGTTCCGCTCCCTTCATAAGATGACTTAGTGTTTTAATTTCACATCATTTTACTCGTACATTGGGAAGGACTGTGCTCACATTTTCTTGGGAAACCTAAAGCCACGCTTGCCTACTTTGGTCAAACTTTTTAGGAAAGTACATGGTTTTAGGATAGTTTCAACAGACACTTTAAGGCACTTGACTAGAACAAGTTGAACCTTCAGTTAATATATTTTTGCAGTATTATAGTAATTTGATTTTGGTTTATTTTTCAGAATTTTTGTGTGAAGGGACTTGAACTCTTTTCATTATTCCTATTCAGAGATATTTTGGAATTGTATGACTGGAATCTTAAAGGTAAATAATAGGATTTAAAGAAAAATGTAATGCTGAAAGAACATTGTGGTGTATGGTGGGGAGAACATAATTGAAATTTCTCTTATTTTTTGAAATACCCAGGGAAAAGTGTGATTCATAGGAATGCTTGCTATCATCTGACACGAATAAGTTTTCATGGATCTTTTTTTAATACAATTTGACAGTGTCTATTGCCTAAGATTACCATTATCAGTTACCTATCTGATATGTAAGAAGATGGTATCAGTTATTATAAGTAATTACATTGATTTAGGTGCATTGGGGAAAGTCTCATTAGTTAATATTTTAAATCTAGTGAACTTTACTGTAATATGAACTTCCAAGATAACAGTTTATCAAAACAGAAATTTGCTTTGCCTTCAAAACACAATTCAAAACCTGTGAGCTACATCGAACCGGCACCTGGTCCTTGGATCTTGGATAATAGTTACTCTTAGGAGGTGTCTGCATTCCAGCAGACAGTTACTTATTTATTTGCTAAACCGTGTATTGATGAATGGCTTTTCAAACCAAGTTTTTAGTAGTATTTCTCTCTATTTTTCTCCAGTCCTGTTGATTAAAATGGAAAGGAATTAAAACACAAGCATATTATATCATGCAGTAGTTCAGTTATAACAAAAATCTTTTTATGTTTTGACTTTCTAAAAATAGATTTCCCTTATCCTCCTATATAATAAAAGGCTAATATGCAAGTTGTCCCTCCGACCAGTAGTTCAACCGCTTGTGGCCCCTCCCCCCAGTGGCCTCTCCCTCAGTTGCCCCTCCTCACGCCCATCGGGAGTGGGACTTGCCGACTACCTGCCCATGGCCTCTCCCCCTGGCTGGCCCAGCCCTGGTTGGAGTGGGCTGGCTCCAACCCCACCCATGAACGAATTCGTGCACCAGGCCTCTAGTGTACCATGAAGCACATGTCCTTGGGCTTTCATTCTCCTCTTACATTGGTAGTCTCCTCACTTCAGTGTTTCTGGGATGTTTGTGGTGGTTACCACAGGACTGATGTACAAGAAGAAGACCTTTTTCATTTTTATGCCCCTACTTGTAGGGATGTTTGTCATTATAATGAATCGTAGGAATTAAGTTGCAGTATTTGTTTTCTAAGCCTGTTTTTATTAATTTTTTTTCTTGTATTTCCACTTGTTTGCTTTAGGTCCTCTGTTTGAAGACAGCCCACCCTGCTGCCCAAGATTTCATTTCATGCCACGTTTTGTAAGATTTCTTCCAGGTAAGTCTTTTGGCTTGTCTGTGACCCGTGGAAATAGTGTGTCTGAAAATAAGCCTGCCATTCTCCTTCCAGTCTTTCGGACAACTTTCCCACCACAGACACTGGTAATTTTCTACTCTAAGTCAGGCATAAAATGTAAAATTACACATGCTGCTGTGTACCCTTACGTAAGTATGGTAGCCCCAAACTAGATGAGCAGTGGGAGAATTGATTGATAAAATTTGAAATTTCACTTGATAAAATATCACATAAGTGTTAAAACTAATATGGAAATATGCATGTGGCTTAAAAATGCAAAGAGTTAATGAGAAAACAATAATTACAACATTTTATATACAATCTGACTATATGCTAAAAAATACTGCAATAGTAGTTGTATGAAGGCATTACAGTTGCTTTTTTCTATTTTTTTTGGCATAGACTTCTTATTTTACAGTGAAAAAACTATTTTCTCACTCAATTAAAATAAGTAACTATATGACATGTTTTTTAAGCAACATTTTAACTGGTTTTGAAAATTTTTTTGAGAGTTTAGCTATGAGATATGGCATTATACTTGTTGTTTTTAAAAATGGTTGGGTTTGTAATGAAATCTTTGGGTGCCTTTTTGTTTGCAGAGGCTTCACCACCCTAAAGGAATCATCCCAGGTCTCATTCTGGTTTCTCCTTCACTGGTATTTCCAGTGATATGCTCTTACTTCCAGCCCTTATTTTCTTTGCTTCCACTTGGATCTTCCTTTTGCTCTCTGCATGGTCACCTTCCTTTGCTTCCTCGATTAAGTCCTGTGCTCTGACTTCTGTCCCTCGGCTCTAGGGGCCTCGGTGCCTTATGCTAACCACCACCTTCCATGGAAATGTCAACTCCACCATTTGCCTTTTTCCCCCCTATATGTGTGCTGCTCAGTGATACTGGCGAAAAGGTTTGGCAGCTGCAATAAATCTGTGATCTATAATTTCAGCTGTTTAGCTTTTCAGCATGTAAGCTTTCAGCCCAGGCTACATATCCACAGTTTCAAAAGTTTAGCCTTAGGCTCATGCGCTTCTCCTTATGCCTGCTGTCCTTCTGGGGCAGGAAGCCTTCCTCTCCAGGCCTTGGCACTTACCCTAGAGCCTGTTAGACCCTGGTCCAGCCACACCTGCCTTTGCTATGGCACCTCGCCCCCTTAACCCCATCCCCACCCTGCCACTGCTGCTGCTGTCAGAACCAGCCTCCCAGCCCAGCCAGTGTAGTTCAGTGGTTGAGCGTCAGCCCGTTCACCAAGAGGTCACTGGTTCAATTCCTGGTCAGGGTACATGCCTCGGTTATGGGCTCGATCCCCAGCAGGACGTGTTGTTTCTATCGCTCTCTCCCTCTCACTTCCTCTCTCTAAAATCAATAAAAACATATTTAAAGAAAAAAAGCCAGCCTCCCAAAGACCAAATCCAGGGGACACGCTTGTTTTAGTCTCTTCCCGAAGGTGGTGCCTGGGCCCTTCACCTTGTCTCTCTGCTGAGCTGCCCTTAACTTTCCTCTGAGCTCCGATGTGTCCCTTTGCGGCTTTTGTTTCTTGTCCATTTATTCTAGCTTAGATTGTCCTCAGGATTTTGTCCTTTCCTCGGTCCAGACATTCAGTCACAATGACATTTTTATTTTAGAATAGTGTTGCTCATGTTTTCAGTGTTATCATTAATTTTTTTTGTTGTTTGGAAATGTATTCAAAAGCTTTCCCCCTTTGTGCATCTGGTTTTGTTTTATTGAGGAGTCCTTTTTTTTTTTTTCTCTCAAGTGAGTGTATCTTTGATTTTATAATGGCACCTTAGCAGTGAACTTATTGTAAAATGGTGTTGCAGTGAGTTCGTTGAAAAGTCTTTTCTTTCAGTAACTGTCTGCCAGCTAGGCATTTTATGACCAAGCAAATCTCTAAGACGAAGTAGACAGTTTTAAAAGCATCTTAAAGAAAAATCTTACGTTAGATATTTACTTTGTGGGATTTTAACTCTCACAAAATGTTTTCCATAACTATTTAGGGGTAAAATTTATGTTGTCACTAAAAGAGATCTTTTGATTTATTTTTCAAATAAGATATACTTTTTCGGTAGACTTCCCTTTGAAAATATACTAGAGAAACTTGCAGATTTCAGTATGGAAATCCAATTGATCCAGCATCATTTATTGAAAAGACTGTTGAAGTGTTTTCTCTGCCCTCAATTGGGTTGACTTGGGGTGTGTGTGTGTGGGCACATATGTGTGACAAACAGTACAAATGTGTATACTGTAAAAATGAGCACCCCTCTAGACATGTAAAAATGAGTTGGTGCTATGAGTGGTTTGATTTGTATTTGTTTTTAACCTGTGTAGGGAGAATTAATGCTTTTTTTGTTTCAGTGAGCTAACAACATGTTATGCAACTTGCCTTTATACTCACCTACTTCAGATATCCTCCATGTAAATACATCGCCTCATTCTGTAAAACTTACATAGAATTCCACAGTATGAACTGACATTAATTTTTTTCGACAGTTCTTCTAGTGAAGAATATTTTGGAGATGGCTATTTTCTCCCCATTGCATAAATACTTCAGGAATTGTCTTTTGCATCTAGCCTTTTGCATTTAGGTCAATGTTTCTATAAGGTAGACTCCTAGAAGTGAAATGATTTGTTACAACAATATGCACATTTTAAATTTGGAAAGATACTGGCCAAGTTCTCGCTAAAAAGCACATAATTTGTAGTTGTCACCAACATTTTTAATAGTACCTATTTTCTGTACATCTGCCAACACTGAATAATACTCGTCTTCTATAGTTTGTCTAATAGGCAAAAGGTCATCTGATTGTTATCATTTGCATTTTACTTGCACTACTCTGAGAATGAGCAGCTTGCATATATTTCAGGGATTTCACGGTCCTCTCGTTCTCTTTGCTTTTCATTTATTTCAGTTTATTATCTCTAATAGAAAGTTTTTTAGGCATCATATTTTTTCTTCAGTTTTCCAGTTTACCTGTTTTAAACACAGCTATTTCAGTTGCTTTCTACAGATTTGTTCAAAATTAAACTTATAGTTTAAATCAAGGATTATTCCATGAAGGTCAGTTTTCCAGAGGTTAAACCATAGAACAACCAGTTGATTGAAATTAAAATTTTTTTTTCAAATTTTTGTGTTGTTGTTTTGTTTTGTTTTTCTATCCCTACCTCTACTTGTAGCAGTCAGACAGTTAAAATGAACTCCCCTAGAGCCTGTTTAAGGTTTTATTTGACTATAGCTGGGGCTGGGGCTTGTTGTAATTCAAGATAGGAAGGCTGCATGTACAGGAAAGCCTGTTCATTGCTTGTATCATTGTTGTAGTAAAACTTTGGAAATCCTGAATCAGTTTTGCAAATTGATTATCTAGCAGATTGATTGTTGGAAATTGCCCCACCCTGGAGAAGTAGTTCTCAGTTGTGGCTGACAGAGGCCAGCAGGTGGGAGTGTATCTCAATATTCCCAGGGAGACAAGCGTGGTTTGAAAAAAAATCAAGAGAGAAACCAAGATGGTGGCATAGGTAAACACCGGAAATTGCTGCCTCGCACAACCACTTCAAAAATACAACTAAAAGACAAAATGGACACCATCCAGAACCACAGGAAGGCTGGCTGAGTGGAAATTCTACAACTAGAAGGAAAGAGAAAAGCACACTGGGACTCAGAGGAGGGGCGGAAGTAAAGTGCAGAGGTATGGAGGCTCACACGGAAAGGGCTGGCAACTGAGAACGCGGTTGTCTTTTTCAATAGGGAAGGAGTCTAAAGCTCCCGACTGCTCTGAACTCCAGTTCCGGGCGAGTCTCTGGGGACCCAGACTCATACGGGGTGAAACTGGACTGTCTGGCGTCAGGTGGAACTCGAGGGTGGCTTTCTCTCAGAAGTACTTGCAGCGATTACCACAGGACCCTGGGACCCGGGACCTCTTAGGGCACGGCTGAGGAGCAGCCATAGCTCCACCCTGTTGATATCCCGAGACCCCACTCCACCCAAGCTGTTTTTCCATATGAATGACCTGGCTTTTTGCAATCTAAAATTACCTAACAAACTGCAGCTGAGTCAGAGAGACCCAGAACATCCAAAAGAAGGCCCAAGGCCCCATAGCAGCTTGCATTGCTTCACAGCTGGGCCTCATCTGGGCACCTCCAAACCCCAAACAAGGAAGGGGAATTTGCAGATCTCTTTGTAGCTCCTGCTGGGTAGCCTCAGGCAGAGGCTAAATTAGCATCTCCTTAGAGATCCAAGAGCCAGTGTACCCAGTGGTCAGAGTGGGACCATCCAGATTACAACTCCTCAGATCCATAAGGGACACACTCAGGGGGCAGACTCAGTGAGCACCAAAGCCCCACTGAAGCAAGTCTTGCCCCATAAGGGTGTCTCCAGCACAGAAGTTCTCCCACTGTAGACACAGCTGATTCTCACAGCCAACTGGCCTGGAGGTCAGTTCTTCCCAGTGATACCTACAACAATCAAGGCTTAACTACAACAAGACTGTGCACAAAGCCCACAAAGGGGTGCACCAAGAGTGTCCACCTCAGGTAATTGGGGAGACTGAGCCACTGGGCCCTATAGGACACCTAGCACAGAAAACCACTCTATCAACATGGGGACGCAGCCAAAATGAGGAGACAGAAAAACAGGTCACAAATGAAATAAATGGAGGAAAGCAAACTACTGGATTTAGAGTTAAAAACCACGGTTATAAGGTTACTCAAGAATCTTCTAGAAACCACCGATAAATTTAGTGAGACCCTCCATAAATCTAGTGAGACCCTCGAAGATATGAAAAAGGACCAACTAGAAATTAAGCATACACTGATTGAAATAAAGAATATTACACAGAGATCCAACAGCAGACTAGAGGATCACAAGTATCAAGTCCAAGATTTGAAATACAGAGAAGCAAAAAACACCCAACCGGAAAAACAAAAAGAAAAAATAATCCAAAAATAATGAAGATAGTGTAAGGAGCCTCTGGGACAACTTCAAGCGTACCAACAACCGAATTATGGGGGTGTCAGAAGAAGAGAGAGAGCAAGATATTGAAATCCTATTTGAAGAAATAATGACAGAAAACTTCCCCTACCTGGTTTAAGAAATAGACTTACAAGTTCAGGAAGCGCAGAGAACCCCAAACAAGAGGAATCCAAAGAGGACCACACCAAGACACATCATAATTAAAATGCCAAGAGCAAAAAGACAAAGAGAGAATCTTAAAAGCAGCAAGAGAAAAACAGTTAGTTACCTACAAGGTTGTACCCGTAAGATTGTCAGCTGATTTCTCAACAGAAACTTTGCAGGCCAGAAGGGAGTGGCAAGAAATATTCAAAGTGATGAATGCCAAGAACCTACAACCTAGATTACTTTACCCAGCAAAGCTATCATTCAGAATTGAAGGTCAGATAAAGAGCTTCACAGATAAGAAAAAGCTAAAGGAATTCATCATCACCAAACCAGTATTATATGAAATGCTGAAATGTATTAAGAAGAGGAAGAAGAAGAAAAAGGTAAAGATACAAATTATGAACAACAAATACACATCTATCAACAAGTGAATCTAAAAATCAAGTGAATAAATAATTTGATGAACAGAATACACTGGTGAATATAATAGAACCAGGGGCATAGAAAGGGAGTGGACTGACAATTCTCGGGGGGAAAGGATTTTGGGGGGTGCGGGAAGAGACTGGACAAAAATCGTATACCTATGGATGAGGACAGTGTGTGTGGGGGGGTAAGGGCAGAGGGTGGGGTGGGAACCGGGTGGAGCGGAGCTATGGGGGGAAAAAAGAGGAACAACTGTAATAATCTGAACAGTAAAGATTTAATTAAAAAAAAAACATCAATTGAGATAATATCATACTACTAGAGGCCCGGTGCACGAATTCATGCACGGGTGGGGTCCGGCCGGCCCACCCCAATTGGGCTGGGCCACCTGGGGGGAGGGTCCTTGGGCAGTTGACTGGCTGGCCCGCCCCCAGTTGGGGTGGGAGGGGCCAATCGGGGATGGTGGTGGCCAGTGGAGGGTCCGCAAGCAGTTGGCCGGCTGGCCGCTCCCCCTGTCCCAACTCCCAATCGAACTCCTGGTCAAGGGGACAATTTGCATATTAGCCTTTTATTATATGGGATAACTTTGTATTTGGAAAGCTTAGAGAATACCTGTTAATACAGATTTTTAGACAAGATTATTTAAAGGCATCTTAGCAGGAATACACAGGGGACATAGTAATGCAGCTGTATAGTTATTCCTAGTGTAGGGAAGGAGGAAGGCATGTTTGTGTTTGTTAAAATTGAGTGTTAAACTGTTGAGAAGCACTTGTGTAACCAGCCATATTCTTAACACAAATTCCCTAACAAATTGCCCTCCCCCGCAAATAACGTTATAAATAATCAGACAACATAAATGCAGAGTATTGGGTCTCTAAGAAACAGTTATAAAGTCTGTCAGTTCATTAATGACTGTCCAGATTCATTCCCTGAAACACAAACTCCAGTTCTTTTCGAATAATGACCCGTTGTCACGGCTCCAGTCCCAGTGCTGGCACAGCGCCTGCTAACCTTAGCGTACCCACTCTCACTTCTCATTTGTATCGTGTCCTATTTATCTCAGCCAGGGAGATAAAAATGGCTTCTTAGCCCTCAGTGACACCGTTCCATAAATCCCCAACATAAACATGTAGCAAAGCAGACAAACCAAAAGAGCCAATTCATTAACATTAGTAAATTCATGGCAGTCTGTGAGCAAGTGGCCATGTTATTTATCTGCTTCAGAAAGTCACTTTTCAAATATTTATGAGGGTCTTTTTTGCTGGGCTGGGTATGAGAATACAGCCCTTGCACGGGCTCTGGCAGGATTCTCTTGTCTACCTTCTCTTGTATTTCCATAAGGACTGCACCTCACTGCCCCAGAGCAGTGCCTCAGTCCCCCTCCTTAGGTTATCTGCTCTGGGGTTCTGCATTTTTTCACAGTGGTAAATCTCTGTCTTTTTAGGTTTTAGGTGCTGTTTTAAATATTTAGCAGATTTCAACATGGATTTACACTTTCACCTTCAGCATGACCGACTTTGCACCTGATGTGTGTATTTTTTTTAAGAAAAGTATTTCTAGTTTCTATGCTGCTGTAAAACTCTCCTGCCTCGTTGGCTGCTGTGTGTGTGTGTGTGTGTGTGTGTGTGTGTGTGTGTATGTGTGTTAATCCTCACCCAAGAATATTTTTCCATTGACTTTTAGAGACAGTGGAAGGGATGGGAAGAGACACACAGAGAGAAACATGGATGAGATACATGAATTGGTTGCCTCCCACACGTACCCCGACCAGGGCCGGGGATCCAGCTTGCAATCGAAGTACATGCCCTTGATCAAAATGGAACTCAGGACCTTTCAGTCTGTGGGCCGACACTATCCACTGAGCCAAACCGGCTAGGGCTTGTTGGCAGCTTTGCGCCCAGGCTAGGTAGAAGCATTCTGGTGAGCACGAGGTGACCTTCTTTCTTTATCTTGTGAATATTCTCCTAAATTGGGAAATACCCTTGGCGTGTCAAATAAAAGTGACATAGAGACTCTGTTTCCAGTGTCTAGAAGAGTGCCTGTTTCATAGTAGGTGCTCAGTAACGATTTGTTGGATGAATGGACAAATACTTAGGTTAATGAATGAATGCAGGATGCCTATATATAGTAGCGCTGTAGCAGCAATGTCATCTAGTTTCAGAGTAGCATCTGGGGTTAAAAAACCTCATACACACCAGAGAGAAATCTTGATATTTATTTTCTTCTTTCTCAGATGTGTAGGCCTGTCCAGGCTTTAGCCCATAGCAACGTGTATGAAAATCTTTTATCCTTTTGCATTTTCTGGTAGCCCCAGTTTTGGGTATCTCACTCCTCTAGCACAAATAGGACACTCTCATTTGTGCCCACCTATCCCCACCATCTTGGTTTCCTCATTCTCCATGAAGTGTTGGCCTCATACTGCGGCTCCTAGAGTATTTTTCGACCTGGGGAGGGTACTCATTGTCCTCTAAATGCTCATTGTCCTTTCTTTGGGTAGGCCTAAGTCAAGAAAAGGGGTATAAGGTAGTTACACATTCTGGTCAAGGAGCTAAGTCCAAAGAGAAGCCAGAAACCTGAGCACTGGAAATTAATGCTCACATTAAATGAATCTCTGGTTCATCAAGTACCAGATTAATTGGCTTTTTCCAGAGTACTTTAATTATGTCCTTTGTTGTTTTTACCTTCTGTACTTAGTAATATGTGCTCCATAAGCCTCAGAATACTTGCTATTTTTCCACGTACTAGCTCCATAATGATCTTCATGATATTAGTACAGGCTCTTTAGGACTATTCATCACGGCAGGTGTGGCACATTAGCACCAAAAATTAGACCATCACACAATAAGCTGAAAACATCCATAAATATCTCAAAAGCTTAGAATTTCCTTAAGATAATAACATCCCTGCTAAAGAGCTTTCATCTGTTACCGAGAAAGAATGATAAAATATTTAAGTTCTGTAGATTGTAAGCTGTGGTTCTTCATGCGCGATGGTTTTAAATTTATTTAGATAGACACCTTTTTCTATATTCACACTGTACAAATGGAGCCTTTTATCAGTTAGAATGTTGCTCTTACCATTTTAGTAAATGAGATGGTTTATGAGCACTGTTTATCAATGAAACAAATGGCTTTCGGATTATTTGGCACCTGGTTAAACAATGTAAATTCTAAATTACCTTTTTATGAACGCTCTTTTGTCTCTGTTGTCTTGTTTTTCCTTATTTGGCTGATGACTGGCTGTGCATTGAGTAGCCTCATTCTCCCCTTTCTCTCTGCTCCCACCCCAGATGGAGGGAAGGAAGTGCTGTCCATGCACCAGATTCTCCTTTACTTGTTACGGTGCAGCAAAGCGCTGGTCCCGGAGGAGGAGATCGCCAACATGCTGCAGTGGGAAGAGCTCGAGTGGCAGAAATATGCGGAGGAGTGCAAGGGCATGATTGTCACCAACCCCGGCACGGTAGGCTCTGGTGCTCACACACTCAGACCCAGCCACCTTCCTTCCGGGTGGGAATGTTTCAGAAAAACAGTGACAACATTTTCAAAGCTTTATGTATTCATTCCCTCTCATCCTTGAGTAATTTTTAACTATTGAGTAGATACGAAAAATATTGTAATATAAGTGCGTTTGGTAGTAAGTTCATCTTATTGGTAAATTTATTCTGCTCCTTATGGAGACTTTTAAAGTTCTTAGGTATGTTCAGTTCTGATTTTTTTTTTTTTTTTAGGCATAAAAGTAATATATCTTCACTATAGAAAAATTAGGAAAATCAAAAAGCAGCCCAAAGAAGGCAATAAAAATTACCCATGTTTCCATTCTACAGAGATGATAGTATTCAGTTTTCTGGTCTCTAGGATGTATTTCATATTGTTTTGAAACAAAATTGGCATCATTCTATTAAATAGTATTATTAAATATTTAGACCTCCTTATCCTCCAGAAACAACCACAAAATATCATTTTTTCATAGTCATAAATTTCTTAAGGAGTGTTAAAAAAAAAAGACCCCTAAGTTATAAAATTAACTCCTTATTGTTGGGTACCCAGGTTGCTTCCAGACTTTTGCTAAAGCAAATAATGCTATATTGAATTTGTATATGTGTGTACATATATATGTATATGTATGTGTCTTTGAATATTTATCCATTTAACTCCTTAGGAAGAAGCAGTCTGGCTGTATACACATTTTAAGTCTTTTGATACATAGGACAGATACCTTCCAGAAGGGTTGTAAAATGTGTGCTCTGACTAGGAAGATATGAGGGTACCCATTTCTTCATATTGGTTATACTGTTTAAAAATTAAAAATCTTCATTGTTAAAAGTATTATACTATGTTAACAAACTAACTTTGTCAGTTAATAGGGAAAAATATTATTTAGTTCAGTTTTGTGTTTATTTTAGTTTCTAACAAAAATCGATATTTTAAATGTTTATTGGCCTTTTGATAATGGCCTATCAATATCCTTTGTCAAATTTTCTGTTGTGGTATTTGTCCTTTTTTATTGATCCTTTTATTGCTCTTTTGCCATAATTATTACAAATATTTCCCACTTTTGTTTCTTATTATTTTGTTTTAAAATTAGCTTCTAATGTTAGTTGTTGAAATAAACATGTGAAATTTAAAAGAGAGAATTAAAAGATAACTAGATTTATCTTATAAAGAAAATGTTGTTTTATATATTACATCAATTAAAATTATGTTTTCTTCAAAATATGTTATTTCATAAAATAGTTATATATTGGCATCTTATCAGAATAAGTTTTCCAGAAAGGGAGAATTACAATATTTCCATGTAAAGAAACAAAGTAATCTATTTAAACAAAGCTGTTGTTTTAAAAAGGCTGCCAAATTTGTTCAATAGTCATGATTCATAAAAATAAAAACTCTGGATCAACTTTCTGTAGCATGACAGCAACATCTGCACAAACAAAATGTGGCTATTTGCAAACCAAACACTCCAGCTAATGCCAGTTATTTTAAACAGATCTCGAAAATGAAAGTGTTTAATAAAAATGTTTTTCAACATAAAATTTACTTAACATTAAAAAGTCATACAGTTTTTACTGTTATATTGTTAAGCCACATAAATCATTGTTAAAGTAACTTGAAAAGAAATATACAAGTCATAGCACTATGAGAGTGTGATTGTGAATTTGATTTTTCTCCTTTAAACAGCTGCAGAAATTTACATTTCTTCTGTCGGGTTTATAGCAGGGTCAGAAGTTGGGTTCAGGTGATGGTGGTGGCAGAATGATCTTTTCATCTTGGTGGGTCCACTCCAAGCATCCCATGATTTACAGTGGACACTTTGGGAACACTTTCTCCCTGGAGCTTCCTTCCATGTCCTGGCTAACATTTCCTGATGTCCTAGAATCAGTTGGAGAACTTTTGAAAATATAAGAATGCCATCATTGACCCTATATACTCCAGGCACTCCAGGATCTGTAGTTTAAAAAAAATCCCAGGGACTTCAGATTGTTACTTAGCTGATGGCATGGAGGACATTTAAGTCCATGACCAGGGTCGTCATTCAACTTACTGTTGAGGGACAACCATGTGAGCCAGATGCTAGTGAAGCATATAGATGTGTATGACGCTTGTCCAGGTGCCGTCTCACAGCATATCCACTAAAAGGAGTCTGTGATGAACCCTTGAATCAATGGGCCAGTCAGTAGAAAAGCCAGCCAGGAAAGCCTGTAGTTTTAGGTGAGATCACTCGGCGGGGCTGCCGGGATACTTGATAAACACCACAGGAAGGTCTTTAAGGAATTGGGAAATTGTATAAATTATTGGCATGTTTAAATGCACATACTTGGCATGGTATTTGGCCAGTTTGAAGATAATGAAGAAACCAGGATGAAAGGTTTATGTTGGAAAGTAGGTGGAAATAAGAAAAGGTAAATTTGGATGCCAGGCTTTGGGACATGTTGAAGTTAATTCTTTTTTAGTATTTACCTAAAAATATGTTTAAAGGAGGAACATATTCTGGAAACTCAGTATGATTCAAACATCTTCCATTATATTTTTTTGAGAATAGGGTCGTGTGTACATTTCATACTTGCTTTGAAAGATCACCCAATGGTAAGAATATTGGGGAATTTACTTAATTTTCAAGACATTATGGTCACATTAAGTACTTTATTGTTGCAGAATTTAAAAGAATTAATCTCCCTCTTTGGGCACTTTGCTTCTGCCAGAGAATACTTTGGTCATTAGTGAGAATGTTTTTTTCTTCTGTTTCTACAAAGATGGTAGGATAGCTGTTGTAGAGTGTGGCCAAATTCTAAGACCGATTTCCTTCACCTCCCCACACGTATAAATTTAGAGATACTATAGATATTTTAAGTCAGTATCTCCTTGTGGATTCCATAGCATGGTGTTTAAAATCCTGGGAACACGAATAACTCACTAGCACCTTTCAGTTGTGCAGTTTTCCTGGTGCTTTGATGCACAAAATATTGGAACCAATTCTTAGGCCTAAATAATATGTTGCAACATCTGTAATACTTTCAACAATAAAGATAAATTTTAAAAAAAATATGTTGCTACTGTTGATAAGCACTTACATAATTTTATACTAGGTTACCTGTGACCAACATCTTCTCTAGTTATTAATTTTGAGAGCAGAGGCTAACTTTTTAAGATACTAGTGAAATTTTGATTGTTAAATCACATTTAAATATTCCTTAAAAACCTAAGTGTAAGTTGTTTTTAAACTAATGTGGATGGATTTACACAAACCTATTCCCATTGTCCCCTACTTGGATTTGTCAGATGGCTGCCTGGGGCTACAGCTGTGGGTAGGATAACCGGCTTGTCCCAGTTGTTGGGGGCTGTCCCGCTTTTAGCGTTGAAACCCCTCAGCCCTGGACAGTTCAGACCACCAACCAGACTCTAGTTGTTGGTCATTGCTGGGCGACAGGATGAAGCTCATTGGCCTCCATGTGGGTCAGTTCTGTAGCCTTTGGTTTAAAGCAGCTGAGCCAAAGACTCCACAATCCCCTAGTAAGAGTTTAGTTTGTAATGATAGAGGCCTGCCAGAGAATTGGGCATAAGCAAGAGGGTTGCTAAAACATTCTCTCCATGATTTTACCTTCTTTTCACAAACTTAAGCTTTCAGGATGAAAGGTATTTTATAAATGGTTCCTCATATTTTAGTAACTCAAGAAGGAATTAGCTGTTCACTTTATTTTTATTAGACTTGCATAAAAAATATGAAGCTCTCTATTAAAATTAAAAATGGCCTACATGGACATAATAAGAGGAACTTAACCATTTGGCTTTTGTACTACCATACCTTCTAATTTAAAGATGTGGAATTAAAGGAATACAATAAGGTACAGAGAGAACTAATGGGGAAAATGTATATAGAGGCATCTGTCTGTGCATTCTGAGTAGAAGTAAGCTATTCATTTGAAATGTGAACTTAAAACAGAATAAGCCAGCACATCTCTTCCTCGTGATGTGGAATACTTCCCCGGTGCCTTCGGAGAGGTTAAGGAAAAGTTATATCTGACTAGGTGTCCTTTTAAAAGTTTAATTTTTAAAGGTTTCCATGTGGACTGCAAAAAAGGACAAGATCATTGTTCATTATACCAAATGGCACGGACTCATTTACAGGGGTGACATTATAGTTTTTATATAGTATAGCTGCTATGACTAAAGGGTTCAAGTGACATTTTCCCTTTGGGGATGAGGCTTTCCTAGAAAAAAAATTCGATTAATTTCTTTCCTACTTAGGTTAAAGTCAATACTTACAGACTTCTTATGGGAATAAATGGCTTTGATTTTTCTCTGTAGAAACCAAGCTCTGTCCGCATCGATCAACTGGATCGTGAACAGTTCAACCCCGATGTGATTACTTTTCCAATAATCGTTCACTTTGGGATACGCCCTGCACAGTTGAGTTACGCAGGAGACCCACAGTAAGATATTTCTCGGTGTTTGTCTTAGCCAATTTCACCTTCTACTCACAGCTTCATTAGCAGAGGAATACCTTTTAGCGGATGTTTTTCTTTTTAAAAATTAAGAACTAAAATGAGCCATGTTTCCAAATTTAGGTCACCAAATGAAACAAATTTTTGTAGCTTACAGGAAATTATTATTCAATCTATTATCCTTGGCAATCTTGGTCAACAAGAGTCCTGTATGTATTTAACCTTTAAGGAAGTTTTCATTTATTCATCCTTATAATACTTATTGTTACTATTTTTTCAGTGCCCTCTAGAGGAAAATAGCATCATATTGGTCCCTAGCACTGCTGAATTCAAACAGATTCTATTTTTTTGGAGCACCTTAATAAGAGCTCAAGACCCCATGCAAAGCTAAGGGTTATGTTAGAAGGAGAAGCTGTGGCTTCTGACTTTCAGAATTGATGTTATTTTCCACATTTGGGTTTTTCTAACTGGCATGTTAGTGTTTTTCTGGGAGAAGATGAACATGTGTGGGATTGGAAATATTACCATTATTTTCTTCAGGAATGTTTGAATTTCCTTCCTTGTTAAACAAACGAATAGTTTCCTGAGTTAAATTTTTTTTTAAAGGATTCATAATGAGAGAAAGGGGCATTTGGGCTTTTCAATTCATAAATACAATTCTGACTAATATCTTAGAAGAGGCTAAAGGGTTTTGTTCTTTTTTCCCCCCATTTGGATAAAAGTATGAAGCAGTGAACCAGGCACTGTGTAAGTACTTCTTTCTTTCCTCCATTCTCTAAGAAACTGTTATCAAAAAGAGACCCAGCTGAGGCCGAGAAAGGAGCAGTTTCAATGACAGAACCAGCTTCAAGATGACAGAAAACCCTTTGAAAGTCCCTTCTTGTCAGAAAAATGTTAGTAGAATGTGATTAGGCTCTCGTGGACTCAGGTGGCAGGAGTGTGAATTGATAAAAAAAACTCCCCTTCATTCCCAGGGCACTTTAACAGCATCCTTCAGGCCCATCTAGGTTACCACATATTTGGCTACAAACGTGCTTATTCTTGTCCTGGTATATACAGATGAGTGTACACCATTCATCTTTCCCCCTCCCCACTGGAGAAATGGATACAGCTATGTAGCGAGGGTATTGGCACCGATGTGGCTTTCTTTCTAATACTCTCCAAATTTTACTTTCAATCTAGGCCGTTCAGAGACTGATAGTATCCTTATTGAGGGGTCTTTCTCTTAGCAAACATCAAAAAGTACATGTTTAAATAAAATTTGTCACTTTCAAAGAGGTAACAGTGAGAAACAGCATATGTTTCTATTGGTTTTGTATATCTCCTTTGGAATTCTTTCCAGATAGATTCACCCATGTAGTGACACCTCATTTTTCAACCAAAATAAGCAATAATCAGCTTAATAACTAGGTTCCAGATAGCTCTTGGTCATCCTGACCTTCAACCCCCCCAAACCATATCCTTCCTTAGAATGAAGGTTTGCTGCCATTATGGTATAAAAAAAGAACGCTGTTTATAATTGAACAGGGCTATTGATTGAGACAGCTGGCTTTATCGTGCTTCAGATTGGCCTGCTCTTTGTTTAAGATGTCTGTCTGTCCTTTTCCTTAGGTACCAGAAACTGTGGAAGAGTTATGTGAAACTTCGCCACCTCCTAGCAAATAGTCCCAAAGTCAAACAAACGGACAAACAGAAGCTGGCCCAGAGGGAGGTGGGTATTGAGCTCTCTTCTTCTGTGATTGATGATGTGCTTCAGGTTGATTTCAAGGTTGTCGCATGGCACTACACTTTTGAATAAGATGGGAAAAGACTTTAAAAAAGTCATAGTTTACTCCCTTCCTCACATTAGTAGGCTGATTGATTTTTTTTTCATCTCATTAGTATCTAAGGAACCATTTTTCCTCCTAAAAAGGATACTTTTTTCTTTTTTTATAAAGGAGGATAGTTTCTTAACTAAAGGATTGCTACCATTGGGAATAAACGTATCTTTTATAGAAACTAAAATTTAAAACTGGCTGGATCAGCTTTTTATCGTAATTAGACTGCACATCATATAACTTTGGATCTTATGCAAATTTCTTGCTGTTAAGGTTGTAAAAGATTGTCTTCCATATGCCTGTCAGTTTAGTGGGTGAACTTATTTTGTAAGGTTTTATGCTCTACATTCCACATGTCTTTACTAATGGGTCATACTATCTTTATATTCCAGGAACACTTAATGTTTTAGTTATAATTTTAAGAGTAAATGAATTTGGTATCAAAATAGATTTTGTCTCAGTGAGGTTTATTCTGCTTGGTGGTGTAAGAGCAAGGCTCTGAGGCTGGGAAAGGTGTTTGAATTCTGGCTTCGTCACTTACTGTGACTTGAGCCAGTCAGCTTCGGTAAAGGGGAGGGAAGCAGGGCTGAGAGAGGCTTCTGAGCTGTCCCGCTGTTGGTGCCCCAGGGAAGAAGGTGGTTGTGTGGACTTCTGAAATAGTCCACTGAGCTTTCCTCTCATCAGGGGTGGAGGTGGTGGTGGTGGTGGTGGTGGTGGTTCCTTTGTATTATGAATTCCTATGAGGTTGTTACTGAGTAAGTATACAAATATAAAATTATTTTTATGATTAATTATTTGAAGTGCAGTTAAAGGAAAGAGTTCCTGACTATGTCTTGCAGAAGTTTTAGATTATTGTATTTTTTAAAATAAAATGTATCCTCCCAATAAGAGTTGTTATAATGGGTTGGCAAATTTGAAAGCGACTTTTAGAATTACGTGGGTTGCAGGTTAATTTATTGATTGTATTTCTTAGATGTAAAGGCTTGACATAGGCTTGCTATAATTATAATTTTTACATGCTGATTTCAAAACCCAAACACTACTTTTTAAAAAATCAGTAAAGGTCATTTTTAATTTGAACTTGCCAGAATGGTAGATTTGGCTTAGATCTTTTTCTTATCTAGTTACCCAAGGCTTTGAGCATTCTGGCCATCATTTCAAGTAAATTACTGTAATTTGGCATGAAGAGGTTTGACTGCCTGAATGTAAGGGTGATATTGAATGAATCTAGCTTATTTTCTAATGCTTGATGTTTGGCTTAAAATTGCTCTACAACCATCAGGTGACTCATCATAATGAGTTCTCTTCTAGGAAGCGCTCCAAAAAATACGACAGAAGAATACAATGAGGCGAGAAGTAACAGTGGAGCTCAGTAGCCAAGGATTCTGGAAAACTGGCATCCGTTCTGATGTCTGTCAGGTAACGATGCTTCTGGGAATACAGTCATTCTGTATGCCTCTTCCTTTAAAAATCATTGGTGCTGAAGTTTTCCTAATTCTGAGAAGTTTCTGCGAAACATATTACCTTGTAGCTAAATGGGACACCCATAAATTGTTTTGTGTCCTTTGGGTTTTGTTTTTGTTGTCAGTTTTGCTGTTATCTTGATTAACTGTGTGTGTGTGTGTGTGTGTGTGTGTGTGTGTGTGTGCGCACATACACGCACAGGCACAGTGGTAGGGTGGGGGGGGGGCACTTAGTAACGCTAGACTCTGTCTCTGCATATTGAGTGAAGGCCAGTCCATTCTTCAGATGCACCTGTCTGTTTGCAGCCATGTGCAGGTGCTTGTCCAAAAAGATACACAGCAGCAGCTCTACAGGCAGACTCCCGGAGGCCATGTGTACACACTATGACCCGTGACTCAAGCTTATGCTGCAGAGAACTGAAGGCATTGATGAACGGAATCAGTATAAATTTCATATTTGACCCAAATGATAGTATTTTTTCATTTGATGAACTCAATAGAGGAATATGTCAGATATGTATGCTGACTCACTAATAAGTATTTTTGTTTTCCCTGTGGGAGGAATTTATACCAGATCAGAGAGCCCCAAAACTCACTTGATTTTTTTTTGTTATGATTGATACTGGTTGCGCTGCAGGGAAATTACAGTAAAGGAAAATGACTACCCAGGCTGGGGTCAGGTAATGTAATTAGCTGTGTTCAGCCTTTTGGAAGAATTCTTTCCAGGCTTCCACTTATCTGTTTTGATGGTAGCATATATTGTAATAAGTTCCGATACTCTCAGGTATTCATTTCATCATAATCAGTGTGTTTTTTTTTAAATCAATGTTGGCATTTAATTATTATATTGAACAGTGGGATTTAATCCAATAATTAAAGGTATTACTGTGCAATTCATTTCCCATGTGATGTCCGAAGCTAAATAGTTTTGTTTTAAGATGAACTGCTATTGATGCAGTACTGCTAAATAGTTTGAAAATAATCATCTACAGTGGTAGCCAGCATCCTCCAGGTCCTCAATTATTTTGCCAATTGACCACATTTTTTTTCTCTCTAAGTACTTTCAAAAGTGAATATCTTACTCTGTTGATTCTGAGAGCCACTTGAAGTCATATCACCTAATTGCCCGCTTGCTAGTGTTTCTCCAAATCCATAACATCATCCTAAGGTAGACACCATAAAAACAATGAGTGGAATGTTGAACAGTGAGTGGAGTCTGCCTCAAACCTGGTGATCTCAGTGACAAGTCGGAGTTGATTGTTTGAGAGATCCTAAAATTGTGGAGCATTGAGAACTGGAAAGGACCTTAGAGATCTTCTAGTTTAGTGATTTTTAAACTTGAGTTTTTGGTTAACTCTGAAGTTGTTTTGTTTTTTGACAAAACCCTGTGAGGCCCTAATTTATAAAAAGATAAAGCAATAACTGTCTGATTGTTGGGTGTGGAGGGATTATCCTATTTTACTTGCTTTTCTTACCACCCCAGGTTTCAGTCCCTAAGGCAGTTTTGTTCCACTGAATGCAGTTTTTTAAAAAGTATCGAGTCCTTTCCCCCCTTTCTCTTAGTGAAACAAATAGGGGCGCTCAATAACCTGCTCCACTGCAGTGTGCGTTCTCTGTGTATCACAGATCCTTACTCTGGCTCCTCAGCTAGATTAGACATAGCTTGAGGACTAGGTTATTTTCTCTATATACATATTATATTTTTCATTCTGCTTTGAGGTTGGTAGGCGCACTCAGTGACTTTCTTTGACTGACTGGTCAGAGAAAATGGATCCTGATTAAACTGTATACAAAGGTGAATATTTTTTGATCTGGTCATAGTTCCTTCGTCCGTAGGATTCCCATTCTTCCAAGACAACTGGTAACTGTTTAGAAGCTATGCTTACTGTCAATTGATGGCATTCGCACCAATTCAGTGACAACTGGAGTCCCCATTTTGGGGTGTGGAGAAGAAGGAAACTTTACAGCTCAATTGTGAAACAGCTAGGCTGTGAAAACTGCACAGATGTATAATAGCGGCTCAATTGTGTTACCACAGGGCTGTGAGGCAGTCCTGGGACCAGGCCCCTCTTTTGTTCTGCTCTACTCCTCCACAGTCTGCTCTGCTCCTTGCCAGTCTGCTCTGGCCTGCCCTGGTCTGCTCCCCTTTGCTTCCGCAAGACATCTTTGGTGTTTCAGCTCAGTCAGTTGAAACAGTCTTTGATGGAAAGTGCACTCCAGAGCCAGAGGAGAGCTGGCTTGTATGGACAGAAGTTCCTGCCAATGGTCCCTGATTGGTCTGTTCTCATGCAAATGAGGACTTCAAATCTTTGCAGTTTGATTGGTCCAAAAGGCACTGGCCTGATTGATTGGTCAGAATAGAGCCGCTCTGATTGGATGTGGGGAAAGCCTCAGTCCTATTGGTTGAAATAGGATTCTAGGAACTCCTTTGTAAGGGCTGGCTCAGATGGCAGGAACACAGTGCAGGCAGGCAGTTCATTGCAGAGGCAGGTAATTCAGTGCAGGCTTCTCCCTGAAGAGCATTGTGTGTGAGAGGCCCCTGTGTAGAAATGACTGCTAGGCTCTATTTTTCAGAAATTTGAGCTTAGTTAGCCATCAGGAAGCCTTCTTAGTAGGTGTTTTTTTTTCCTCAGGGTTAACATTACATTCTCCTGTCCTCCTAATGAGGTCTTATTTAATCTTAGTAAAATTATGCTCGCATTTAAATGACTTGATAAAGACGGTAAATTGCTGACTTTGAGTTCATATACTGAATACAGGAATTGCTGTATGGTTTGTAAAAAGGAAAAAATGTCTACATATAAATGAATGAAAGTGTGAGCCAGCCAGCTACCTGAGAAGTTGATAGAAGCAGAAGAGAAAGAAATCTGGGTACAAGAGCAATGATGGGGGAGTGGGGGGAGGGGGTTTGGACTCTTAAAAACAGTGATAAAACCATAAATTCCATGTTTTGGTGAAATAGTTCCTTCTGTACCAAAATCAAATCATCTTGGAGGCATTTTGTAGCTGTCACCCTTAGGTGGAGAGGTGAAGTCTCTATTTATTTACCTTGACATAATAAATATTACTCCACCATCAATGAATTTTCTTGGAGTTGTGAAAGTAAACTGTTACCTGCACTGAGCTTAAAACATCACCATATAGGAATGCCACCTTGAAAGAATTTGGAGGTGTTACTCATCAACTCATTCATTATACAGGAGCAACCCAGTTCAAATTTAAATGCAAATACCTAAAGTAAAGTAAAAATGATTTAGGGGAAAATGACCAAGGTAAATTAACTTAATTGATTTTTGGCTCAAAATGAGTATTTTTGCAATGAATATTTTTATGTTTATTTATACTCTTCCTTGTTCCAGAATGGTCTTTAAAATGTTAATTCTTAAATATAGGAGTAGTTAAACAACATGCCTGTGCAAGTGAGAGGCTCTGTGGTGGAAATGATTAAAGCCATTCCTCTGGTCCGTGCCAGTTACTTGAATCTCTGAGACTTGTCCTCACTTAGCTTTCTGTTAGACTGTCCTCTTGTACTCACCCAGTGACTTGGATTCTGCAGACCCCTCTCTGGTTTTGGGCACATTTCCAGTGAATGCATGATGTTAATTTTTGGGTTCTTTCATTCTCAGGGCCCTCGGATGCCCTGCTGCACTTCCTGTCTTCGCTCTCACAGGTGACGAGACCACACAGGGCTTTGTCCTCACGCACTCTTATTTAGGAGCTCATGGGGATACTTTGTCTTCTAGTTTTTATGTATATATTGTTTGTAGGTCTAGTTTGCTATGCTGGTTGCTCTATATTTATGGGAGAATTTTAATATTCTTAAAGTTACACATGGCCATTTCCTCACACTCTTTTAGGGGAACTTTTTTTTTTTTTTTTTAAATGAAAGCAGTTGCCAGGCATGAATTAGAGGGAGAGCAAAAATATGCCCAGTGATTATGTGCTTTTCAACATTGCAGAGGTTGGTATTTTAAAAAACTGAGCTAGAGATACAACAGTCTCGTAGATAATGTTGAGACTTGTTGCCTGGGATGGACATGGGTCATGCTTTCCTTTCCATGGTATTCACAAGAAACAGACTTTTTTGGAAAGAGAAACTGGCTCTATTTGGAGCAAGTTTAGAAGAAGTGGGGAAGGGACTAAGAGCTGTTTCATGAGTCAAGGTTCAAGGAAATAAGACTTAGGTTAACCAAGGGACGATGTAGGGGCCAGGCCACTTAATGTATCTTTTTATTTTGTCTCTAGGGGTAGAACTAGGTTCCAAGGGATAAGGAGACAGATTTGGGCTTAATGTTCTAAAAATTATCTGGTAATCAGAGTACTCTAGAGAGGGCTTTATTCATTTCTTACTGGAGGTATTAAAAAATAAACAATTCACCAGTTTAAGTTCACACTTTAGAAAGATAGTTGCACTGTATAGTCTTCATGACCTGTCCACCTTGAGTGTTTAGCTTGGACTCCCTTGAGCTCCCTGCAATTTAGATGCCTGTAAAACCATATTATACTTGGGCCGCACACTGCCATATTACTATATTTTTAAATACAGCACTTTTAAAAACTATGTGGACAAAATGCCAATAATTCAAATCATAATCGCACATCTCTGGGAATCCCTTGAGGGCAAAAAGAGTGTCTTCATCTTTTTCTCTTCCACACCCTGGGGAGCCTTGCACATGGAGGTGCTCAGTACGTCTTTATTGAATTGAACTGGAAAGAAAGACATTCTGTTGATCAGAGAGTCTATTTGGGAGAACTAATCATTCTTTTTAAGTTAATAATACAGGGAACTGATTTCTATAGTTCCAAGCAAATCCATTTTCGTGTATTTTTAAATACTGCCAGCTTAAAATACTTCAAAGACTAAAATGGTAGAAAGCATATGTCAGTCATTCTGTGAGCTGTGCCCATCCTCCAGGCTCTGATGAATAAGAATGACTCCTTTATTCTCTTAAGTTCTAGGGAACCATTATTAAAGAACAGAAAAAGACATGCCTTTCATGAAATTATCTCCCAACGAGGTATCTATAGCCAAATGAAAAGTGATTGAAACAAAAAACAAAAGTTCCATGCTCTTGGGTGCCTTAACTATATCGGTGGCTTTATAAAAGTTGTCCTTAAAATGTTAAGCCATTAAGTGTGAAACCTGGAATGGCCTTTGAAGATCACCTGGTTGAGAAGGTCTTACCTAAAGGATAGTGATGGGCTTCAGGGGTTCTGAGCCCATTAAAATGGCATCCAATTTTGCATGCTTGTGTGCAGAGGCATTTTGGGGGGAAAGAATTATTTTCCTTAGATTCACAGAAGTGTCTTGACCATGACAAAGTTTCCAGATTGGTGAGTCCTAATCCATTCCCTCGTAATTAAAGATAGACAAGGAGGCACAGACGTTCTTGTGACCTTGTCAAGGTTATCTTGCTGAGTACTGATTGCACCAGGGCCATTCCTACTTGAATGAGGGCTAATAGGACTTGTTGTAAACCACTTTTGTTGTTGTTGTTGTTCCATTTATTTTTTTTAATTAATAAATCTTTATTGTTCAGATTATTACAGATGTTCCTCTTTTTTCCCCCCATTGCTCCCCTCCACCTGGTTCCCACCCCACCCCCTGCCCTTACTCCTCCCAACTGTCCTTGTCCATAGGGGTAAGATTTTTGCCCAGTCTCTTCCCACACTCCCCACACCCTCTTCCGTCCGAGAATTGTCAGTCCACTCCCTTTCTATGCCCCTGATTCTATTATATTCACCAGTTTATTTTGTTCATCAGATTTTTTATTCACTTGATTTTTAGATTCACTTGTTGATAGATATGTATTTGTTGTCACTTTGTTGTTCATAATTTTTTTATCTTTACCTTTTTCTTCTTCCTCTTCTTAAAGAATACCTTTCAGCATTTCATATAACACTGGTTTGGTGGTGATGAACTCCTTTGGTTTTTCTTGTCTGTGAAGCTCTTTATCTGACCTTCAATTCTAAATGATAGCTTAGCTGGGTAGAGTAATCTTGGTTGTAGGTTCTTGCTATTCATCACTTTGAATATTTCTTGCCACCCCCTTCTGGCCTGCATGGTTTCTGTTGAGAAATCAGCAGACAGTCGTGTGGGTACTCCCTTGTAGGTAACTGATTGTTTTTCTCTTGCTGCTTTTAAGATTCTCTCTTTGTCTTTTGCTCTTGGCATTTTAATTATGATGTGTCTTGGTGTGGTCCTCTTTGGATTCCTCTTGTTTGGGGTTCTCTGCGCTTCCTGGACTTGTAAGTCTATTTCTTTCACCAGGTAGGGGAAGTGTTCTGTCATTTTTTCTTCAAATAGGTTTTCAATATCTTGCTCTCTCTCTCTTTTTCTGACACCCTTATAATTCAGTTGTTGGTACGCTTGAAGTTGTCCCAGAGGCTCCTTACACTGTCTTCATATTTTTGGATTCATTTTGCTTTTCTGGTTGGGTGTTTTTTGCTTCTTCGTATTTCAAATCTTGGACTTGATACTTGTGATCCTCTAGTCTGCTGTTGGATCTCTGTGTAATATTCTTTATTTCAGTCAGTGTATTGCTTAATTTCTGATTGGTCCTTTTTCATATCCTTGAGGGTCTCATTAAATTTCTCCGAGGTTTCTAGAAGATTCTTGAGTAACCTTATAACCGTGGTTTTGAACTCTATATCCAGTATTTTGCTTTCATCCATTTCTTTCATTTGTGACTTGTTTCTTTGTCTCCGCATTTTGGCTGCTTCCTGTGTTGATAGAGTGGCCTTGTGTGGTAGATGTCCTATAGGGCCCAGTGGCTCAGCCTCCCCAATCACCTGAGGTGGACACTCTTGGTGCACCCCTTTGTGGGCTGGGTGCACAGTCCTGTTGTCGTTAAGCCTTGATTGCTGTTGGTATCACTGGGAGGAATTGACCTCCAGATCAATTGGCAGTGAGGACCAGCTGTGTCTACAGTGGAAGAACTGCTGTGCTGGAGACACCCTTATGGGGCAGAACTTGCTTCAGTGGGGCTTTGGTGCTCACTGAGTCTTCCCCTTGAGTGTGTTGCTTATGGATGTGAAGAGTTGTAATCTGGTATGGTCTCACACTGACCACTGGGTACACTGGCTCTTGGATCTCCAAGGAGGTGCTAAGTCAGCCACTGCCTGAGGCCACCCAGCAGGAGCAACAGAGAGATCTGCAGATTCGTCCTCTTTGTTTGGGGTTTGGAGGTGCCCAGATGAGGCCCAGCTGTGAAGCAAGGCCTGTTGCTGTTGCTGAGCCTTGGGGCTTCTTTTGGAAGCTCTGGAGCTCTCTGACCCAGCTGCAGTTTGTTAGGTTTTATGCTGGGAAAGGATGGGCCATTCATATGCAAAAGCCAATGCGCACAGCTTAGGTGGGGTTGTAAATTGGGTGGGGCGGGGTCTCTGGGAATCACCAGGGCAGAGCAGACAGCAATGGCTGCCAGTCAGCTCTTCATTGGAGAGGTCCCCGAGTCTCTTCCATCTGCATCTCCCGCAGGAACAATGATCACTGCTAGCACCTCTGAGAGAAAGCCGCCCTCATGTTCCAGCCCGATGCCAGACAGTCCAGTTTCTCCCCGAATGAGTCTGGGTCTCCAGAGTCGCGCCCGAAACTGGAGTTCAGAGCAATCTGGAGCTTGTATCTCCCTCCCGATTGAAAAAAACAATAGTGCACCCAGTTGCCAGCCCGTTTTGCGCGCGCCTCCGCAACTCCACACCTCTGAACCTCCTACCAGTCTCAGTGCACTTTTTTCTTTCCTTCTAGTTGTGGAACTTCCACTCAGCCAGCTTTCCCATGATTTTGGATGATCGATGTTTTGTCTTTTAGTTGTAGTTTTCATGTGGTTGTGAGAGGCAGCAAGTACATGTTTTTACCTATGCCGCCATTTTGGTTCTCTCCTAAACCGTTTTTTTTTATGTTTGCTTATTTAATCCTTTTAACTGTCCTTGAAAGTAGCTATATTGATTTCCCCCATTTTACAGGTGAGGAAACTGAGGCTGAGAAGTGAAATAACTTGCCCTAAGTCCCACAATGAATGAGTAACAGAGCAGGATTTGGACCCAGGCATTCTGGTTCCAGAGAATATACCCCAAACAACTAAGGTCCCCTACCCCTTGTAGATGGTGCATCAGGATGCCATTCCCCCACTAAACTGTTTCAAGACACTGTGACTTGGAATTTGGGTTGTGAAAATAGTTCTCATTTGTTGCATTTTTAAAAGGTTTTATAGAGTTAAACATACTGATTTTTTTTTTTTAAAGCATGCAATGATGCTACCTGTTTTGACCCATCATATTCGCTACCACCAATGCCTAATGCACCTGGACAAGTTGATAGGATATACTTTCCAAGATCGTTGTCTGTTACAGGTAAGAATTACTCTCCTGTACACTCACATGATAACAGGGTAGCAGTAATTCATCTTGCAGGTTTCAGATGGAGCATTGAGTTCTCTCTTCTGGGAGATGATGACGATGTTTAGAAACCGCTCTCTCCTTTATTTTGGTTGCCCCTTTCAAGCCCTTTTTCTCACCTTTTTTTTTTGAGGCCGTCCCTAAAGAAACAAACTAAAGCAAAAATTTGCCTGTCAAACCAGAGCCCCTTCTTTTAGGTTTTCCTTCTTTATGGCTCTTCTTTCTAAGTGTTGAGTACTCTAATTCTCCTCCAAAAGATGTAGACTTTAGATTTATTTTTAGAAGAAGGCTTGCACCAGTGCTGTGGAAATTGGAGGAGATAGATGGAAAGATCAGGGCTTAAAAGTCGACTGGCTACAGATCTCTTTCCTGTTTCACTGGTGGATAATGTAAAGATGGCATTTCTGTGTTGAGTTTTTAAGGCTGAATTTATTTCACTGAAATTTTAGCTGGCCATGACTCACCCAAGCCATCACTTGAATTTTGGAATGAATCCTGATCATGCCAGGAATTCTTTGTCTAACTGTGGAATTCGCCAGCCCAAATATGGAGACAGAAAAGTTCATCACATGCACATGCGGAAAAAAGGTGTGTTTGGATTCTGCTCTCGTGTTTTGGGTTAAATCTCCTGTGTTCTGGGTTAAATCTCCACTGGGAATGGTTCCCTGGTGACTGTTCCATCCTCTCATTCTTCAGTGCTTCTTGCCCCATACATAATAATAATCATGGTGAGCAGAGCATTAAAATAGGATGGATGACTTTTTTAGAAAAACTTATTCCTCCTATTTAGTGTTTTAAGTAACTAAGTTGATTAAATTTGTACACATGCAGATATTAAACTTTTTAAAGTCATATTGGGATGAGCTAGATAATTTTTTTCCAATATGTCATATCATGGCACTAGAATGCTTCTAACAGTATTTACTTGTGTATTTTTTTTTTAAAAAATAGGAATTAACACCTTAATAAATATTATGTCACGCCTTGGCCAAGATGACCCAACTCCTTCAAGGTAAAGTAGATTTTTTTTATAATAGCTTTACTGCAGTATAATTCACATACTATATAATTCACCCGTTTAAAGTATACAATTCAGTAGTTTTTAGTATGTTCACAACATTGTGCAGCCATGATCATTCCTAATTTTAGAACATTTCATCACTTTTGAAGGAAACCTGGTGCCTCTTACTAGTTACTGCCCTTTCTTTCAGCCTGCTCAGCCTTGGGCAACTAGTACTTTCAATCTTTATGAATTTGTCTATTTTGGACATTTTGTATTAGTGGCAATATAATGTATGTCGTGATCCTTTGTGACTGGCTTATTTTATGTTATAGTATGTATCAGTACTTCATTTCTTATTAATATTCCATGGTATGGTTATGTCACATTTTATTTAATCATATACCAATTGATAGGCATTTGGAGTTGTCTCTACTTTTCTGTTGTCATGAATGATGTTGCTATGAATATTTGTGTATAGATTTTTGTGTTGCCATATGTTTGTGTGTGTTTTTTTTTTTAATCCTCACCCAAGGATATGTTTTTATTTATTTTTTTAAAATATATTTTTTATTGATTTTAGAGAGGAAGGGAGAGGGAGAGAGACCTAGAAACAATAATGATGAGAGAGAATCATTGATTGGCTGCCTCCTGCACGCCCCCCAACTGGGGATTGAGCCCATATCCCAGGAATGTGCCCTTGACTGGAATCGAACCTGGGACCTTTCAGTCCGCAGGCCGACGCTCTATCCACTGAGCCAAACCAGTCAGGGCTTCTCTTTTTTTATTTTAACCATCCTGTCGGGTATGATGTGTTATCTCATTGTGGTTTTGTTTGACTTTTCCTGATGGCTAATGATGTTGAACATCTTTTTCATGTGCTTATTGGCCATTTGTATTTTCTGGAGAAATATTTGTTCAGATCCTTTTCCCATTTTAAATTAGGTTACTTTTTATTATTGAGTTATAATAATTTTTATGTATTCTAGATATAAGTCCCTTACATGACTTGCAAAATTTTTCCTCATTCTGAAGATCATCTTTTCACCCACTTGATGATGACCTTTAAAGCACAAAGTCCAGTTTACTGTTTCTTTTGTTGTTTCTGCTTTTGGTGTCATCTCTAAAAAACTTTGCCTGATCTAAAGTCACAGTTGATATTTTGATAGGGATTGTGTTGAATCTGTAGGTCAATTTATAAACAATTACTTCTTAATAGTAAATCTTCTGATCCTCGAACATTGGGTGTCTTTATATGTATTTGTCTTTTTTAATTTCTTTCAAAAATGTTTTGTATTTTTCAGAGTATACGTTTTGCATATCTTTTGCTAAATTTATTCCTAGGTATTTTATTCTTTTTGATGCTGTTATAAGTGGAATTATTTTTCTTAAGTTCATTTTCAGATTGTTCATTGCAAGTGTATAGAAATACAGTTGATTTTTATATAGTGACCTTGTATCCTGCAACTTTAATGAGCTCCTTTGTTAGCTATAACAGGTTTTTAGTGTATTCCTCATAATATATATATATATGATCATATATCTGCAAATAGAGATAATTTTACTTTTTTATTTCAGTCTGTATGCCTCTTGTTTTATTTTCTTAGCATTGTTACCCTGGCTAGAGCCTCCAGTACAATCTATAATAATAAAAGCATAATATGCTAATTAGACTGGACAGCCGAGCGACCTTCCAGGCGTCATTCCAGATGTCCTTCCAGATGAAGCCGCAGGGGCTGAGGCAGAGGCAGTTAGGGGTGATCAAGCAGGCAGGCAGAGTGGTTAGGGGCAATCAGGCAAGCAAGCAAGTGGTTAGGGGTGATCAGGCAGGCAGGCAAGGGGTTAGGGGTGATCAAGCAGGCAGGCAGAGTGGTTAGGGGCAATCAGGCAAGCAAGCAAGTGGTTAGGGGTGATCAGGCAGGCAGGCAAGGGGTTAGGGGCGATCAGGCAGGCAGGCAGAATGTTTAAGGGTGATCAGGCAGGCAGGTGAGTGGTTAGGAGCCAGCGTCCCAGATTGTGAGAGGGTGCAGGCCGGGCTGAGAGAACCGCCCCACCCCCCTGCCACATGAATTTTGTGCACTGGGTCTCTAGAATTAAATAGAAGTGATGAGAGCAGTTGCTTCTTTTTCCTAATCTTAAGGGGAAAGCATTCAATCTTTCATCATTGAGTCTGATATTAATTCTGGGTTTTTCTTAGATGCCCTTTTTCAGGTTTAAGAAGTTCTCTTCTATTCCTAGTTGCTTAATGTTTCTATTATGATAGTGTGTTGAATTTTGTCAAATGTTTTCTCTGCATTTATTGAGATCATGTGTTTTTCCCTCCATTTATTCTACTCACATGATGAATTAGTAATTGATTTTTAGATGTTAAACTGACTTTGCTTTCCTGGGGGTACATCCCACTTGATCATGGTGTATAGTCCTTTTTGTATGCTGTGAATTCAGTTTGTTAGTGTTGAGGATTCTTGTGTCTATATTCATAAAAGATACAATTCTGTAGTTTTCATTTCTTGTGATGCTTCTGTCAGGTTTCATTGTTAGAATAATACTGGCCTTACATAAGGGGTTGGAAAGTTTAAATGTTAGCTTTCCTTATTTTATTTCTTGATTTTAAAAGATACTTTCATGTATTAATACTCGTATTTTGTGTGGCCTTGAGCCCCTGAAGAATCTGGGAAGAAAGTGGGCTAGGCCTATATAAATTCACCCCCAAAATTGAATGAAAGCAGCCCTGACCAGTTTGGCTCAGTGGATAGAGCGTCGGCCTGTGGACTCAAGGGTCCTGGGTTAGATTTCGGTCAGGGGCATGTACCTTGGTTGCGGGCACATAACCAGTAAGGAGTGTGCAGGAGGCAGCTGATCGATGTTTCTAACTCTCTATCCCTCTCCCTTCCTCTCTGAAAAAAAATCAATAAAATATATTTAAAAAATCTTTTTTTGAATGAAAGCAGATGCCTAATGGCTGATGAGGCCAGGTTTAGATCTTCTTCTTCTCCCCTGCCCCAACTGGAGCTGTTGATATGTAAATTATGCCATCAGTAGTATTTTCAAGCCTCATGATTTATGTTTTCTTTTGTGCTATTACAAAGAGATGCTTACTTATCATGGCAAAAGGAATGATATCTGAGAAATCACGTTCTTTCTGAATTTCCCATTTTGAAAATGATACCATCGACAGAGAATAAACACTTTCTTTTGTCCTTTGACTTCTGGCCTTTAATGCTTGTGTTGAGAGTCTTCAGCCCTGTCAGTGATCTTTCTGCTGATAGAGAGTTGACTGGAGTTTCCGTCCAGGAAGAGCCTCCTGGCCTCCAGGGCCAGGACTGCTGCTGCTCCAATGTTGCTATCCAGCGTTCCCCAGCGGGCACAGCCCTGGGAGCAGTACTTCAGAAGCTTCACACAGATGTAATTCAGCAGACACTGAGCCAGTGCCTTTTGAGTTTGAGGCAGTTTGTAGGTATTTTAGGTGATTCCAAGGCAAGTAAGTCCAAGCTGCACTCACCAGGAGGCCTGGCTACCTGCGGTGGGTAGAGAGTGCTATAAACATAAAGTCCTTACTACAAGGGAGACTCTGCTAGTGCTTCAGTGGAGGTCAGAGCAGAATGTACACACGAGACTGCTGTGGGGCTAAGGACAGCTCTGCTGGCTGCTTAGGGGCCACAGGTCAGTTTTGTACTGTGCACTGAATAATTGAGTTCACTTGCGATGATTTGCCCTCTCCCCGGTTTGTTTCTTAGTTTGCTATTATAAAATGAGGTGCATCTGTTCCTCAGAAGTGTTTGTATATCTTTGAAGCAAACACCATTAAACTGCAAGTGTCAGTGGTTATATCTCCTCCCAAGCAAGCCTGCTCAGAATTAAGGGAAGAGAGAGCGAGCCAGTTAAGTTGTTTGGGAAATCTATTTTTGGCACTAATGGCCGTGGGAAGGTGGACGAGCAGGGCAGGCCGGGGATAGGGCTGAGAGGAGGGGCTCTCAATGGACTTCTAGTTCCCCTGAAAACCACTCCTCCCACCTGCCCACCCTGCAGTTACTGACCGGCTCTGCCAGTTCACCTTCACACTGCAGCCAGCCAGCTTGCTGGTTCTAGAGCTTGATTCTCATTCTTCGTGGCAACCTGCTTGAAAAGCTTTCTGGGACGTCTTGTCACCCACTGAATAAGTTGGAACCTCCCCACCTGGAAGTCCAAACAGCATGGCTTGGCCCCAGGTCACTTTTCCAGGCACATCTTCCTTGTGGCTCACTACACACCAGTGAGACTGAAGTACTTACTGTGCTGCCAAGTGTACTGTCTCCCTTCCCTGAATGCCACAGTCATTGCACAGCCACCTGTGGAATGCCCTGTAACCTGGGACTTCTGCCCACAGCCTGCAGGCATCTGCCTTATGGTCATATTCTGGTTCTCCCATGTATCATAATTAGGTGATGGGCTGATTGTCTATATTGTAAGCATTTCGAAGGGCTATGGTCTTACTCTTTTCTTTTTCTTTTTTTTAAATTCCCTTTCCTTTTGCAACTAGTGTTTTTCACAGCGCAGGGCTTCAGTAAATATGTATTAAAGGAAAGACTGTCATTCATGTTAGTACTTTTACCCAAGGTTATTTACTTGTTGGCTAGCAATAGAGGAGCTGGGGTATTAAGAAGGGTCATGGTAAAAAAATAAAATATATAAGGGTCATGGTCAGAGCCATCAACAGAGGTTTACATGGCTGGTTAGCATTTTACTTAATCTGATTTGGGATCAGCTAGGATTTACAAAAAGTCATGAAGACTTAAAATTAATAGATAAAATCCTGTCTGCCTATCAAAACTACAAAATAATTAACTTTTATGATGGCATCATCTCAAGTGAATACACTACCCGTAATTTTAAAAAGTGTTACTGCTTAGCCACATAAATTTCAGTTATATTTAACTCCTGCAAACTGCAATGAAATGTTACTACAGAAAGGGTCTCTGAAGGATTAGGTATTTCGTGACATTTAAGTAATCCATGTATTATCAGCAAGACCTTTGGGAAAGAGGGGCCAGAAGACTGGTGAGGGAAAAAGGAGAGGATCAAGCGGCCTTGGTTTGTTTGTTTTTATTTGATTGGTAGTGTTATTGCCAGACAGAATGTATAAGAATATATTCAACCAAAAGAGAGATACTTGTGGACTGTTTGTTAATGTCTGTGTATTTAAGGAAATGATCATTGCAAAGTATATTTTAAATCAGTTATACACAGTCTTTTGCCTTAAAAACACAGTAACAATACACATTCAATATATATGAATTCCACTGAGTGGATTTACTGACTTAAAATGCTTCAGGTTAAATCCCAAAGATGTTTAATCTGGGATCCGTGGCTCCAGTGAGTCAGGTCTAGCAGCCTCGTGACCTCCCTTCCCCACAAGTGTCCAGGTACATAGATGTAATGAATAGAAGGGATTCCTGGATTGGGTGGAAGGTTCAACGGAGCTCCAGGGCCCCTTCTAGCTCTACTCTACCAGCCACTGCTTGAGGCTTAGAAGGCAGAGTGAGAAAATGTTGTCCATACTCACTCTAGCAATTCCTCCTGGACTTTGCCCAAATCTAAGATGGTTTTCCATGAAGTAAATGATATCTTACAGTGATTACTGTTACAGGAGACTCTTGTTTTATAAAGTGCTTTGAATTCCTCAGACCAGATGTGCTGTATAAATGTTACAGTTAATCTAGATTTCATGCCCCTGTTGATTCAGTTCTCCAAAACAAATGGAGTGTTTACTGCTCAGTAAACATCTCATGTTGGAGCTTGCTGGTATTTATAATGGGGATGATTAAGAAAGGATAAACAATGGGAGAAGAACAAAAGATTTGCTACTGTTTTAGATTTTTAAAAATTTATTTTAGAGGAAGGGAGAGAGAGAATGAGAGAGAGAGAGAGAGAGAGAGAGAGATCGATCTAGTATATGAGAGAGGAACATTGGTTGCCTCCCGCATGCCCCACCAGGGATCAAAACAAGGTAGGGTGTTCTCATATTAAAAGAGCTAATGCTCATGTGTTCTTTCTTTGAGGGGAGAGGGAGCTTATGTAAATGTGTGCTATTTTCAGTGATTTTAAAAATTTCCTATAGGATTAACCACAATGAGCGGTTGGAGTTCCTGGGTGATGCTGTCGTTGAGTTTCTGACCAGGTAAGGCGGCTCTTCTTCTCTTCCCCATTAGTTGCATTTTATAGGAAACATGCTTGACACATTGCCTTCTTTGTAATTAGCCAAATAAGCCATTGAAGCGCCATGTGTTTTGTCCCTGCTGTGGAGCTTGCCAGCCCCAGGCCTGTGGCTCCTGCCCTGAGAACTTGCCCTTGCTGATGCTGCAGTGAGCAAGATTACGAGGGGGAAGGCGCACTTCTCTGTCCTGTCAAGTTTATGTTCAAGTTGCCACAGCCACAGAGATCAGCTGGCCTTGGTGTAGATGCTTCAGAGATTATATTCAATTTGTAAAGAAAGGAATGATATTTTAAAATGTCATTTCATTTTCTAGGATTTGTCTTTGATCCCTTTCTCACTCTTTCTGATCTCAAGGGAAGTAAAGCTTACGAGTAATTTTAATGTTGAGATTTGGGGATGCGTGTGTTTCCTCCCCAGAAGTGTTTTAGGGTCCTTATTTTGGAGGTAGGGGTAGGAAAGTGTGTATTGTTTTTTCATAGGTAATTTCTCTTTTAAAGAGCAGTAACACATGCTTTTCTTGGAACTATATTGAGCTATTTTTTATTCTCTTTAGGTCATTTCTTTTCCCAAGAAGGATATACTGAGCCCAAGGGGCTGCTGTGTAAGCCTGCTTTCCCTGGACACGTAGGACTGGCCAAGCTCAGTGGGTCTAAAACCCGGTGTGAGATTTAGGAGAGAACAGTTGCTGTTGTGGTCCAAACTGGTGTTCCACGTGGCTCCTCCCAGTTCCTGCGTTTCCTAACCAGCCCCCGTCGGCTCGCTCTTAGAGCACAGCCAGCCACCTGTGCCGATCAGTTCCGTTCCTGTCCGTCCTCGTGAAGAACATGCCTCCGCTGCTGTCCTGCCCGGGGCTGCCCAGGCTTCTCTCTTCAGGGGCTGCCCAAAGCCTAACCCAAGAAAAGCACTGTATCTAGGCCCACTTGTGAGTGTCCCATGGGTTTGCTCTTAGCCACGTGTGACATTGTTCAGGTCTTTGTTGTCATCAGATTCCCGAGGAACCTTTTAACAGAAATAACTGTGAAAACACGAGTGAATGGTGCTGTTCGGGTTTCAGCACATGCAGATATACTGTGCTTTCTGTTAAACTTTCAAACCCTCCAGTTCAGTTCAGTTCAGCCCGTGTCTCCTGTGCAGATCCCTTGCCGGGCCTACTTTTGTGTCTCAGAGCCACAGACAGAATGGTGTGATGCATATTTATATATGTGCTTTTTTTTTTTTTTTTTTTTTTTTGCAGTGTCCACTTGTACTATTTGTTTCCTAGTCTGGAGGAAGGAGGGTTAGCGACTTACCGGACTGCCATCGTCCAGAATCAACACCTCGCCATGCTAGCCAAGGTGTGTCCGACCTCTGAGCCTGGCCTGGAGCCTGGCGTCCTCCTCCTCAGCCCGTGCATAGTTTTGGATTTGAATCAGTACCTCTTTGGCGTGTGTTAGGGCTTAGTATTTTATAGACCAGGAAAGATTTTTTTGTTTGGGTTTTAAGGATTCAGCCTTATTAGTTTGGTTACCTTTGTGAGTTTCTCCAGCAGCTAATGAACTCCACGGTGAGGTAACTTGATAACAGAAGGGGAAAAAATTGACAGTTGTGCAGGAACAGAGTTAAACATTTGGGGAAAAGGAACATGAGAGCAGAGCGAAAGACTTCAATTTTTAAATAATTTTCCTTTGTGTAATATTTCTGTATTATATTTGTTTTTAATTTACTTTAACAAGTAGAATTATAGCTTTGAATAGAATACTCCAGACCATTTATATCCATAGGGAATACTTTACAGATCTTTGAGAATCCCCCAAATTACAAATCTCATTAATTAAGACTTAGGGTTTAGGCCAGTGATGGAGAACCTATGACACGCATGTCAGAGGTGACACACGAACTCATTTTTTTGGTTGATTTTTCTTTGTTAAATGGCATTTAAATATATAAAATAAATATAAAAATATAAATCTTTGTTTTATTATGGTTGCAAATATCAAAAAATTTCTATATGTGACACGGCACCAGAGTTAAGTTAGGGTTTTTCAAAATGCTGACACGCCGAGCTCAAAAGGTTCGCCATCACTGGTTTAGGCTGTCCAGCCAGCCTCCTTTACTGAGCCGAGTGACTAACAGAACCTTTTTTTTTTTTTAATTTATCTTTATACTTGAAAGTGTTACAGATGTCCCTCTTACTTCCCCCATTGGCCCCTTATAGCCCCCCCTCCCCCCTGCCTCAGGCCTTCACCACACTATTGTCCATGGCTTATTCATATATGCATTTAAGTCTTTGGTTAATCTCTTCCCACCCACCAGAACCTTTTCTCAACTTAGATTCATGGCAGGCATGTAGCTTCATTATCTCATTTGATGTTCCTATCTCTGTGCAGTGTCTCATCATAGTAGATCATAACAGACAGAACATGCACTTGCATTGGCCGTAAGGTTCTCGCCCACACCCCTCCTCTTGCAACTGGGGTCCCCGGACGGAGTGTCGGTCTCTTCCCCAGGCCTCTGCTTTCTCAGCTGCACAAGGGAGATGGCATCAGCACCTGCCATGCAGAGTAGCTGTGAGAACTGCATGACATTGTCATTTGAATAGTAATGATTGTGTTTATACAGGGCTCAGCACAATGCCTGTTCATCCTAGCAATCACCCACACATGTAAGTGAGTTAGAAGGAGTTCGTTGTTTCTGTTGCTGCCACTATTCTCATTAGAAATCATTACATTTTATAGACCTGTGGGTTTATTCTATAGCAGGGGGGACAGTGGCCCTCCAATCCCCAGCTGATGATCCACTGAAAAGCTTTTGTGAGTTTACCTTCATTTTTGCCTTAAGTAATTTTTATTGTTTTCTTCATTTCAATATGAATGATGGAATTTGATAGAAATGACTATGTAAAATCCATTCTAGTTTTATGACTGACAAGGCATTAATTACATTCAAATTGTGGTTAATTTTATCCCCTGGTTTTTGTGCAGCAAGAGTGCATTGCTGTGTTTTCTGTAGCAGCGTCATCATCATAGTTACAGGTAGACTTTGACCCAGCTTTAGTGGCATCTGAGAATAGAAATAATGCTGCCTCGAAGAGAAAGTATAGGCAACAGGTGGTTTTTAGCAGCCTCACAATGCACAAAATTCTACAACTCTAAGTAAAACTGCTTCAGTGTTTAGTTGATTAAATTGTTGAGCTGCTTCCTGGTCCACATTAATGTCCACTGGAAATACATGTTAATAAATAGATTGTCACCCTTCCTCCATTGTTTTCTTTCCAGTTTCAGATATAATGAAATTGCATAATTATTTTTCAAATAATTTTAGGGAGGATATTTACAAAGTATGGGAAGGTGCCATATCAGGAAAACAGAAATAGTCATGTAACACTTTGGGTGCTTTACGAAGAGGGGTGGCCAGTTTTTCCCTTCAGGAATTTCGATGTGATCTTCTTCCACACCAACTTCCAACATTCCCATAGCACACAACACCCATCTGCTCCTGCAGAAGGCAGTGGTGGTCTTGCTCTCCTGTCTGTTCCAGTGGATCTTGACCATTTGGGAGGAGGGGACTTGATGGAGGATTGCTGACCTCTTTGAGAATTTAGTGAAAGCTCTAAGTCAGATGAACTCCAGACAGATGAACATTTTCACACATGCAAGTTGAACATTACTCCTTTTTAGAAGTTTCACTAATGCCTGCATGAAAAAAATAAGGATATAGAGCAGGGATTATGAGAAGTTGGAAAATTCATAGGATTCCAAAATAGTTGTTTATAATATAAAATATGGCTTGCAGTCTGTTCTCAAGCAGGGCTCCAGAGATGGCAAACAATTGAGTTTTCCCAGTGAAGTTGTGAAACAGATCAAATTTACATATTTTGGTATAAACTCTTCCACTTGGGGGATCAATGTTTTTAAGTGGTGTTTTCTGCTGTTGCATTTGTGGTAGTCAATATTCTCATTTGAGTTTATTTTATACTCATGAATTCCTAACAGTACAAAATACTGGTAGCATATGTGTCTTGTTTTTATTGTCTCTCTTTTTCCAACATAAGTGGATATGGATATTTTTACATATACTGGTATCCTGAGATATACAAAATCTGAGTCTTTTATCTGAGACTCATACTGGCCTAGGTTGTTCATTGACTTGTGTCTTGTTCCATATTACATGGCATGTTATTGTTTAGTAAGTATTTATTGAATTGAATTACATGGTAATGGAAACAGATTAAGTGCATCCTTATGGAATGCTGCATCTCCTTTTATGGAAAGAATTAATTTCTATTAATTCAATCTCAGGAGTTTTATTTAAAAAGTACATTCTCTGTCTAGTTCTAACAGGGCTTGAATTGATTTGTATATTATAATACAACAGGATAAGAAATAAGTAGGTACTGAACTCAAAGTAAAGAGAAAATATGGATAAGAATAAAATGAAGCCAGAGGTAGAGTTTAATATACACAGATGTATTCATAAGTCCTACACAATTTCTAGGATTGGGCCACAAATTTGGCTTTATACTTTTCTAAGGTCAAGTAAAAAGGGAAACATAATTAATTACAAACAATATTCCCAGAGCCCTTAAAATAAATTCAACCCATTGCTGAGAGGATCTCACTGAGCCTTCAAAAAGGTAAGTATAGAGACCTCATGAAGGGGACACAGATACAAAGATATAGGGACTGCCAAATCCTTACCAAAATCAAAAGAAAAGATTTTGAGATGTAAGGCATTTTGAAGTCTTCTGAGGGTCCTCATTTATTTTGCCACATAAAAATCTAATCTACCAGCATTATAAGTACCGCATATCCTTGGGATCAAAGAGGTTAACTTTGGGTTGGGTTTGTGTCTCCCTGGACATATTGGGTGAACCCAAGAGCCCATGATCTTTTAGCAAAGTATTATTCCAGCTTGAACTAGTGCTTGGTCTGAACTTGGAATAGGGTTTATAGAAAGAAGCCTGCTTGGGGAAAAGTCAAGGTTTGCCAGAGCTGAGCCATAGGTAAGGACTCCTGATGAATAGTAGACTCAGCTTTCTTTCTATACTGACATGGGCCAATTAATTTTTTACCTTTACCCCTAGGAATGTTGAGTTATTACAGTTTGATTTTGCCAAATTCTTTTTGTCATTTTTGAATTTTATAGAAACTTGAACTGGATCGATTTATGCTTTATGCCCATGGACCCGACCTTTGCAGAGAATCAGACCTTCGACATGCAATGGCTAATTGTTTTGAAGCATTAATAGGTAACTTCTTTTTTTATAATCTAGTTTCTTGAATGTCTAAAATGTCTGGAGAGCACATAAAATTCATTGTGGGGACTTGGGACAGAATGACTTTTTCCCGAAGCATGTGAGGCCCTTAGTAAAACTCCCCCCTCATTGTGCTGTCGTTTTTGTGGTTCTTCCGGGGAAGTCATGCTTTCTTTCCTGCATTCCTGGTGCCTGGGATGGTCTTTTGTCATGTACATGCTTAGATGTGTACACTGAGTTGAACTGAAGTGAATTAATATGGAGATGGATTGCTTTCCAGATTTGATTCAGAATCACATCCATAAATAAACAGTAACTCAGTTGCTGGCGAGGCCCTAATATTATTTGCAATCACATTTTAAACTATTTACAAGATTTCTCGGACTTAAACATCTTGAAAACATGGCATTTGTTAAAACCCCAGGGCTTGAGTCTCTACAGCTATTATTTATTCTCTTGAAGCAAGACTGATGCAGACACTCTACTTCCCCGGTTTCCTTTTTACTGTAACCAAAGTACAGTCAGTCACTGCTACAGGAAAGTTGTGAAGCATTAATTAGCTGGTGATTGCAAGTATGCTTTACAATGAAACGTTACAGTAGATTGACAACTTCTTGATTTTTTTTTAGATGAATGATTGAATACGTTTTATTTTTCAAAGGCCTTTGTACTGCCTTATCAATTTTGCCCTCTTCCTTTGAAAATGCATATAAAAGCTTATAGTTTTGTGCTGATGATGGTGGCAAGGGAATGTTTAATTATTATCCAGTCTTCTCACAGCTATGTCTTTTTTGCACAAATGTATCCTATTTTCAGGGTTTGTCGGGTGGAATTACTGTTCCCTATATACATAATATTTTTGACAGTGTTAGAGCTGGCTCCAGAACCAGGCAGACATGGTTCAAGTTCTTCTTGCATCGTTTCCCACCTTTGTGTCTTCACCAAGTTACTGAATCTTTTTAAGCTCCAGTTTCCTCATCTATGACGTGGAGATGGTATTACTTACCTCACAGAGTTATTATAAGGATCTTAATATCCATTCCTGGATGCATCCAACCCACAGCAAAGTTGCATTCACCCTACCCCAAATCACCTACTATGAGCCCAAATCCTGTAATTCTTTTTAAAATAGTTATCATTCTTGTTGAAACTATTACACATGTCCCCCTTTTTTTGGTAACACCCTCTTACTGAGGTTCCCATGAAAGTGTAGATAAGCATGTGGAAATGGTTTGCACAGTGCCCAGGGCAGAAGTACCCCCAAACCCTTCCATGTAAAAATCTATTCTCTATACAAGACAGTTATTAGGAATCTTACTCTTTAATGATCTGGAATTTTTTTTTTTTTCAGCAGGCTAAAAGCATGCTTTGTTATTCCGGCAAATCTGGTGTTCATACACTGTACACTTCCAGTTAGGGTAAAACGGAGAGAGTGCGTCTGATACTGATTTGAAATCCATTGTTAAAATATAAATAGAGACAGTCCCAGGTCTCCACAAATGCTGGTTTCAGTCCAGATCCGTTTGCCTGGCAATGGAGTCACTTAGATCCAAGCCCGTCTTCCCTGCTCTTGTCATCCCCCTGAGATCAGAGATCTGGCAGGGTCTGGCCTGTCAGTAGGATCATTACTGTTATTGTTATTATTATTATTACTGTAAATATCAATAGATAATTAATGTATTTAGTCACCAAAAGCTCTAATGACTAAGTGTCTCAGTATTTTACATGAAAAGTGGCCTTTCTGATGACAGATATAAAAATATGATTTCAAGAATATATGGCTACCCTACTCCAGAGTTATCTGATACGCAATTAAAATGTTACTATAGTACTTTCTGGTAATGATTAATGGTAAATGTGTGTACAGTGCTTAATTATTTAAAAACTTTTAAATAATTATTTTAAATTAAAGATAGAGGTTGTCCTGGTTTTTATTTGCAGAAACATTCATTGATCTGAACTCAGGTTTTATTGTGGTCTGAAATAAAAACTATAAATATAGAAAATAAAACATAACATTTTTGTAAAGTCAAGTTTTTGTATGTACCTTTTATGATAGTTCGTATTTGTCCTCTTTTACTTATAATATTAGATTTTAGTCAGTTGAATTTTGTATTTCATTCTCATTTTTAACACAAAGCATTGCCGAAAGCGGAAAAATGTTACTTTTAAGCAATGGCTTCTGATCTCGTCGGTTATTTCTGTGAGTGGGTTCTGGCTTGCCTTTTTGCTTTTTATAGAGATATGTAATTTTCTGTGAATATTAATGCAGCCTTCCTATGGGCATTCTCTTCCTTTTATCTAGGAGCTGTTTACTTGGAGGGAAGCCTGGAGGAAGCCAAACAGTTATTTGGACGCTTGCTCTTTAATGATCCGGTATTTATCTCGACTCATTTGATTTTTCTCAGTTACATATCATTACAGAAAATTTTATATCAATTAGTCTTTGTGTTTTAAAGAGGGTGTAGAAGTAAGTACCAAAAATAGCTTATTCACTCTGTTGCAGATGGGAGAGGGTCTGTGGACATTTACATGAGGAGTTTGTCTTCTGTGTTTATTTTGAAGTGTCTTGGAGTTAATTATGATTTTGTGTTTCATCATCGTTGAGTACCTACCCCATGCAGGCTTAGTTGAAGTTCTAGCCTTTTGGCTTTTCTGTTTATGTTTTGTTATCATGTAAATTATGTAGACTAGATAAATGTATATTTAAGAAAGTCAGTTCATAGGGAGTTTCTGATAGGGCTCTGAATAAAGAGTATGGAAGTACTTTTTAAAAAAAGTAAATTATAGTTTAAGAAAAATGATAGATTCTGAAATAGTGTCTGTTGTTACTAAAGTATTAAGCTATGAATATTGCTAGAGCTACCTTTTTAATCCTGCATGTAATAGAGCATACTGGATGCTTTCTGTACCAAAACAAGTCAATTTAACATTTAAAGGGAGAGGCAGCTCTGTATTCCAAATTGAAATGTCATTATAATTGAATGAAATGGCCTTCATGGAGCAATAAAGAACATAGGAAGCCAGTGTTTTAAGCTTTTGTGCAACCTTCAGCTTAAGTGGCTGTCAGATGTTATTACTGTATTACTTAGGGTAGTTAAAAAAAAAAAAAATCAATAGTTTTGAAATATGGGACCTGGATACTAACTATTCCTATTTGAGGATATGATTTTTTTAAAATCTGTTTTTATAGATATGTGATGATTTTATGTGTTTGAATTTCCTTCTGATGGGAAAATTATCTACAGATGTCCCATGTCCCCCGTTTTGTCCTGCACCCATAAACAAGTGTGCATCTTGATTTATGTCCATAGCAGGCCAAATACATTTGAAGTCCTTTTCTCAAATATGAAAATACCCTTGTTCTGGCCTTTCTCTTTTGTTGGCAATTTCAGCCACCTCTGTATTTTGTTTCCTCCCTCCAGTCTCACGCCTGTGTGCCTCCTCACTCCTTAAACTCCTCCCCCGCCCCCACCTACTCCCTGCCCCTTTCTCCCATCTTATCTGCATTCCCCATCCACTCCATTCCCGTTTTCCTGAATTAAATGCAGCTTTACACCTTGTGTGCTTAATTGCATCAGTTTTGTTTAGATTCCTTTCCCCCTTTAAACTGCTTCTCTCCCCCTCGTCTACTTAGCAAGCTTATCTTCTCTTTCCAGTACCCAGTGCAGTGCTGGCGTGTGCAGCGTGTAATAAATATTTGTTAAAGAAATGAAAGGAATAAGTAACAAAATGAAAAAGCAGGGTCTGAGCATTATCTTACAAACGGTACGGCTGAGATTCAGAAGGCCTCCTCGTGCGCCTTTTATGACACAGACCAGGGCTCGGTAGTATATGGTCTTCCCACCTCAGCATGTTCAGGTGCTCACACCCGAGCGTTCTGACTCATTTGGCATCTGCATATTGGTTTACATTTATTAGTTGTAGTATGTGAGAGACGATGGTGAACCTTTGTATTTTATTGATTGATTGATTGATTGATTGATTAATGGTATTGTGAAATCTAATCGGCCCAAGACAGCCAGGGACAGACCTGTACGCCGACAAAGTCTGAAATTTTGACTCCACGCGAGGTGGGCGGGCGCTCACAGAGGGAAGCGGCCGTCCGTGCTGCACTGGGCTGGTGCCCCCTGATGCTGAGGCGGGTCAGGGAGCAGGGATCCGTTCTTGGTTGGCGGCCTTGTCAGAGGCCGGCTTAGAAGAAGCAAGGGATTACTTTGAGGTTGGGTACTGTCAAGAGGACAGTTTAGCAGTTGAGTGTCGCCAGTAATCTTTATTTAGGGGGTGAGACGAGGCCCAGTAGGTCAGAGGGCAGCACTGGCAGGAAAGCAGTAGCCCCGAAAGAAGGGTGGTCTGGCGTTTTACAGCTGCTGCTGGGCCTGGAGGGAAACGTGGTTAACCTCGCAGCTGGCCTTCTCTGTGTCGTCCTCCAGCCGGTAATAGCAGGGCTGTTTTCTCTCTCAGCCTGAACTGATGGTTACTCTCTCAGCCCAGTTTTTGTTGGTTTTGTGTTTTCCGGTGTGTGTAACTCTTCCCAGTTTACCCCGTACATTCAGAGCCATTCTTTGAATTTGATCATCCCACTGGCCCTCTTAGAAAGATAGGGGGCGATGACCGTAAACTTTCCGGTTCTCGCTCTCCCATCCTCCTCTGTCTCTACACATCTGTCCCAGTTTCTAGGAACTAGAAAGACTGTCTTCAGATTGCCGCTGGGCAGATTTATATACGTTTCATAGACGCCTCATTTCAACAGGTTCAGTGAGTGAACTCATCATCTTAGCCCCAAAACATCCTTCTCCTCCTTTATTTTTATGATCTAAACCAGAAACCTTAGGATCTCCTTCTACCCTGAAGCTTTTCTCTCTGTCAGTTCGGACTCCTCTCAGTTCTGTTCCTAATATCTCTTCAGTTGGTTCACTCCTGGCCGTCGTGCTGCTCTGGGGTCTGTCCTCATTGCTCACCTGAACATCGAACTGCCTGTCATCCCCACACGCCAGGCCATCGTCCATGCCGCAGGCAGTGGTGTCTTCTTTTTAATGCACTGCCTGCCCAAGTCTGTACTACACAGCATGGCATTGAATAGTTCTCATAATTCGACTCCCACCTATTTTTTCATTCTCCTTGCTTTTTACTCCCTCTGTGCCATTCTAGGAATTACCTTTGTTTAATTTTAATTTAAAAATTTTATCTTGAGATTGTTGAAAATATTACAGATGCCCCTCTTCTCCCCCATTGATCCCCTCCAAACCCCCATCCCCCACCCTCAATTTTAAATTTTTTTAAAGAGTGGTTTTATGTTCACAGTAAAATTGAGAGGCACTGAAATTCACTGTATATTCTTTGCCCCCACACATACATAGCCTCCCCCATTTTATCAAGATCCCCACCAGAGTGGTACATTTGTTACAGTCAGGGAACATTGACACACATAATCCTGCAAACTCCATCCATAGTTCACATTAGGGTTCACTCTTGGTGTTCTACATTCTGTGGGTTTTGACAAATGTAGAATGACAGGTATCCTTCATTATAGTGTCATACAGACTGTTTTCACTGTCCTAAATTCCTCTGTGCTCTGCCGATTAGGAGTGACCCTTTTGGGCCTGTATCCTTGGAGACTTATTTGTGCATTTATGGTGCCCTGGCTCTAATTCCGTCCCTCTGCTACTTGATTCCTCATGTTCTTCTGGATACATCTGAAGAGTCACCTTCTCTGAGGCTTTATTTGACGCCCTCAGGCAGCATTTTCCTAGCACTTAGTGTATATCCCTGTTATAGAACTTATCAGAGTTTATTAAATTGTACATATTTACCTTTATTCTTCTCCACCAGGCTTCTTTGAGGACAGGGATTGTGTCTTATCTTAATGAGCTAATATATAACAGCTATTCAATAAAAATATACACAAATAGATGTCCCAAGAGTCAATGGACATTTTCCATGAGGGCAAACTGAAGGTAGAGGCTTTGCCTAAAAGTTGATGAAGGGTAGAACTGGGATTCCAATCTGGACCTTTTCCCTGACACCCAGGAGCAGCAGAACCTCGTCTCCGGGTGCAGAGAGGATGAAAGGAGACGGACACAGTGGAAATAGTCTTGTTGTGAGTGAGGTGTTATGCTGTTACACCGCGCCAGCCATCAAATAGAAACAGTGTTTTTGAGTGTAAAACACATAGGAGAAAGGAGGAAGATGAATCAGGAAGTCTAAGAATTTTGAGCTTTGGAAACGGGAGGTAGTCCGAAGAGAGCTGTTCGTTGTTGCGGTTTAATGCTTCTTGGCAGTAGCGTTTCCTTTGCCAGCACTGGGTTGTGCTTTGAGTTAATGCTCATGAGGCATCAGAGAGCACTTCGTGCAGGTACTGAGATGCTGTTTTGTGCTTGAGGAAAGGGAGGCTCAGAGAGGTTAAGCAGTGGCCAACGTGGCATCAGGGTTGCACCCAGGCTGCCTGCCTCCAGGCTTCCCTAACACCTTACTCCCTGGTTAAGGAAAGGTGGAAGGTGATCATTTGGTCATTTGGGTGTGAGGTGAAAGATGCTCATTAAGGCACTTGTAGCTTGGATGAGAGGTCAGAACTGCAGCAGAGATGAACAAGGCATCCAGACGGAGGAGGTGGCTGAAGTGGGAGTAGAGAGCTCTCTGGAGGTAGTGATGAAGTCTGCAGGGAGGCTGAGGTCTGGTGGATGTTCCTGTGGGTGTGGGAGGAGGGAGAGAAGCACTGAGAGAACAGGAGAAAGTTGTAAGAAGGGAATGGCATTCAGTATAATTCATGCCACTGAGAATTCAAGGGAAAGATTGGTTGTTAAGTTGGTTAAGAGAAGTCCTTTCAAATGCCTTAAAAGAATAGTTTGATGTTTAAGGTTTTGTTTTTTTTAACACTGGCAAAAAACCCCACCCCAAGTGTATTTTATTAAGGTGCAAGTTGTACAAAAGTATGAGGTATTTTTTCCCCCTTGTCATCATGTGTCACGAGTGATAATAAATTTTCCATACTTCACCCCATCCTTAAATTTTTGAAAAATATTTTTCCCTCTTAAAAATACCCTCTCGTTATTTATTTCAAAAACCTAACATCAAGGCCAGGAAGTAGATTCAGCCAGAGCTTCCCTAGGGTCTAAAATGGCAAGAAAACCACTTTGATCCTGAGGAAGTTCTGATTATAACTCTCTCTAGATTTAAGTCAATGGCTTAAATAATGTACTGGGCTTTTCCACAAAATTCATTCATTCCCATTTTTTAAGTAAACATTTGTAGTGACACCCAGTACAAGTGTGGTCTTATCGACCTCAGAGTTTAGGAACTAGATGTGGGATGTCTTCACTCTGTCTTCAAGCAGCGCATATGATAATGAACGACTACCTAAAATTAGGGACATTTGAATGAGTTTTGGTTACAAAAGGCACAGCTGATGCACATTTCTGGGGAATGGTAAACTAAAAATAGGATTAAGGTAGCACTTTACCCAGTGGTATTAGGTTAAGCAAACAGTAGCTTCGTTTTAAAAGGTGTCTTTCACTCCTGGGGATGGCGTGGCTCTTTGCCTCCCCTGCTCAATAGGCTAATTGGAGTCACTATAGGCAGTTTGAGCGGTGAGTACACTTAGAAAAAATTAGTTGCTAGCACTATTGAATTTTCAATAAGTGGAGTCAGCATCTGAAACAGTTCAGGATTCCACATAACGGCGTTTTATTTAGTACTCTAGAGCGTGTTAAATGGCTCCCTTGAGCACTAAAGGCATCACTCCATTTTCCAGGACCTGCGAGAAGTCTGGCTCAATTATCCTCTCCACCCACTCCAGGTAAGTGTGGCCTCTGCTCTGCAGTGAGCTTTATAGCTCCTGGTATTCGTGTTACTTTAGTTTGCTTTTTTTTTTTCCTGTCCTGCTTTTATCCTTAGATTCCCTTCAGTTTCATTATGACTTTAAGCTGGGGTGTCAGAACTGGAAAACTTCAGAACAGATAGTAAAATGACCCCATACATTGCATTTTCATGGTCTGGGGTGGGGTGGGGTGGGGTGGGTCTGGGATGTGTCTTCCCTTACAGGGCAGGAATAACTATTTGTGTGGTTGAGATCTGCTTCCCCCAAAAAGCGATATTCAAAGCTTATGCTGACTGCAGTATAGCTACATGCCTGCTGTTAAAGAGAAACTATGCAAGCAGGTCTGGGCTTATTACAAAGCAGAACAAAAATTAAATTAACATTGCTGACATGTAACCTAATTCGGACCTTAGAAATTGAAGGCTTTGACTCAGATTGCATAAAACATATTATAAATTAAAACTTTAGTACATTGTGAAAACTTATTACTCAGATTTTAGAATTTAAAAGATCCACACGTTGTGAAATCTTTTCCCCAGTTGGTTTAAAAGTTCTTACTATTCTTTGTTTAATTTCCATTTTACTTTGGAGATATACATATATGTGTACATATGTATACATATATATACTCATATACATGTTGCATATGCATATATGCATATTGTGTATATAATAAAAATAATCATTAGTGACTGAACTCTCATGAGAGCCTTTAAAGAAATAAATGGCATTAATTCAAAGTACTTTAGAAATATTTCCTTAGGATGAAATTGCCCAAAGTTGTTGGAGATGTTCATTTGAATTACACTTTTCATATTTGCTCTCTGCCAGTTGTCAAAAGCTCATTATTACGTTGAGCACCTGCCTGGTGACATAATGCTCTCCATTGCAAGCCAAATCCAGTTTCAGTGATGCTCATTTGCCCAAATAGGATGGTCCCTAGAAGACACACAGCAGTCAAGTTACTCTAATGCAGTGGTTCTCAAAGGGCAGTACCCGGACCAGCAGGGAACTTATCAGAAAGGCCAGTTCTTGGTCCTCACCCCAGTCCACTGAATCAGAACCTCAGGGGGTAGGACCTGACCACGGGCATTTAACAAGCCCTGCAAGGTTCTGCTGAACACTAAAGTTTAAGAACCTCTGCTTTACTAGATACACATATTCTCTACCGGCAATTCTTCAGCGGGGCCTCCTCCATGGAGAGTTAGTTTAATGCTTGGGATTTTGAACTATCTGTGTACAGAACTTGGCCTTGAAATTTGATAGAAAATTGGAAAATATTATTTGAACCCTCTTTAAATATTAGGTTTGTTTGCCATTCGAAAGGATGAGAAAGAAGCCTTCCATGTTCATTTGCCTTTCAGAAATTTCCACCCAGGGGAGGAGGAATTTGCAAAACACTCTTCTAGAATTGGTAATTACTCTTGCAACCAAAAACTATACGTAATTTTTACTTATTTCTCTTTCCCTGTAGCTGCAAGAGCCAAATACTGATAGACAACTTATTGAGACTTCTCCAGTCCTACAGAAACTTACCGAGTTTGAGGAAGCAATTGGAGTAATTTTTACTCATGTTCGGCTTCTGGCAAGAGCATTCACGTTGAGAACTGTGGGATTTAACCATCTAACCCTGTGAGTTAAAAGTACCCATGTCGTACCATTGTGACCATTTAAAGTGACAGTCCCAAACCATTGGGACTTCATCCATATTTCTAGGAAATTGTGAGATGGATACTAGCCAGACAGTGGCGTGGACCAGGGGATATGCTCCAATCCAGTTACTTTTGGTTTCATGTCATGCATCTGATTTTTCCATTAAGTATAAGAGAAGTGTGAAGGGAGTAAACATTTTTTCTGTAAAGGAACAGATATTAAATATTTGGGGCTTTAGAGGCCATGTGGTCTCTGTGTCGGTGATTCGATTCTGCCATAGTAGCATAAAAGCAGCCATAGAAAAAATATAAATGGGTGAACATGCTGGGTCTCAGTTAACTTTATTTACAGAAACAGGCTATGGTCTGAATTAGGCCCTCCAACCCTTGCTCTACATGAGTGATTTAAAGATGAGCTAGGATAATAAAGAGCATAACCAAAATGTTATTTCTTTGCATGCTCTTTTATATTCAATTTTTTTGTCAAATCAAATATTCGCAACTCTCTTTAAACTGTAAAGATTAAAGAATCTTGTCATAGTTTTTTTAGCATTCTTAAACTAGATTCCAGATTTGATTAATGGAGTATATACAGGGGTGGGCAAAAAGTAGGCCAGCTGTTCATATGGGAAAATACAAAATAATAAATAATAATATAACAATAAACTCTGTTTTGCATACTCACAACTCTAAACCTACTTTTGCCACCCCATATTTCAATTAAAGAGATAAATTTTAGTAAAGAAAATTCTTGGACCTTTTTGCTTTGTTTTGTCTATATAGAAATTGTGCAAGATTGTTGTCTGTACTATACTTTATCTTCCAATTGATACTCCCCAGCTTCTGATCAGGCACTATATACCATTCTTTATGTGAGCAGTTGTTCAATCTTTAGGTAGTGCTCACTTTACTCTTTTTTGAAACTCAACCTATATAGACTTAGATCTCTTCTCAATTTCAGGTCTTAGGAAATTGTATTTAGTTTTGTGCTTTAAAGCAAGATAAACAAATACATTGGCTTTTAAAATATTGTCGTTTGAAAAAAATTCTGGTTGTTTTGAAATCCGTAAATACTAATTGACCCCTTTACATTGATGTTTCTTTATTCAGAGGCCACAACCAGAGGATGGAATTCCTAGGCGACTCCATAATGCAGCTGGTAGCCACAGAGTACTTATTCATTCATTTCCCAGATCATCATGAAGGACACTTAACTGTGAGTTTGTATTAAGTCATTCCCTCCAATAAGATTGCTTTAACAGAAGGTTAGAAGAGCCAAATATCTAGTTATGTAATTGATGACTTAGTTCTTGGTGGCTTTAGCATGCATACATATGTTTTTATTCATTTCTTAATGCAAATTGTGTACAAAGCAATATTTGGTAAGAACTTACTTTATACTTTTTCATTTAGTGATTACTTTGTGAAAGACATTGAGCTAGGCTTCATGGGGGGAGCAAATATTAGTTGACACCTAGTCCACCCATAAAGAGTTTAAAAACTATTAGAAGTTAAAAATGTAAGCAGATAACTACAAATTCCATCTATCTATCTATCAATCAATCATCTGTCTATTGTGTGTATGTGTTAACACATACATAAAGTGTAAGTTATATAAATACAAGGGAGAACCATCTTAAATGTTATAAAGAGGCATAGGCAAGCTGCTAGCTTGTCCTCTTTAGGAAAAGATCAGGTTTTTTTTGAGTATGGAGTTCTAAGAAAGCTTCATTGATAAGGTGATGTTTGAGCCTTTAAAGTTAGCTCGTATTTGGCCTTTGGAAGTTAGTGGGAAAAAATTTCTATACAAAGTCATTCCATACATTGGGAATGCCAGAACAAGTGCACAGCATGACAAATCAGAAGACAGAGAGGCAACAGGGGCTCAGCAGTTTGCTAGACCATGGTGGAATTGAAAGGGACTGACAGAAACAAGTTTTGATTGATGAGCAAAGTGAAACAGTTCTCGTTCCTCTCACTTTTGTCTCATTTTATAATGTTTTATTGAGCTTTTTTTTATTTGCTGTGTACTTTTACTCTGTAAAACTGATCAATAATATAGCTGGAATGGTGAACAAACGTATCTGGAAGCCAGTCATGATAGTCTCCCAGGCATAAGAAATAACTCTGGAATAGTCCCTCTAGAATTGGGCATTGAGAAAGCAAATACTTTATTGGGCAAAAGAAAAAGACAGTAGTCCCACCTTATCTGCGGTTTCACTTTTGCAGTTTCCGTTTACCTGTGATCAGATTCCAATAAACTATTTATAAATTTTAAGTTGTGTGCAGTTCTGAGTAGTGTGATGAAATCCTGTGTCGTTCCACTCTTGCCCGTGAATCATTGCAAGCATGTCAGATATGCGACCCGCTGGCGTGAGTTTGACATGCTAGCAGATTCCTGCTGTGTATGCTACCTGTTTGTTAGTTTCTTAGTAGATTGACTGTGATGGTGTCGCAGGGCTTGTGTTCAAGTTACTCTTATTTTACTTAATAATGACCCCAGAGCTGGCAATTTGGAAATGCCAAAGGGAAGCCATAAAGTGCTTTAAGTGGGAAGGTGAGTAGAATACAGTAAGATATTTTGAGAGAGAGAGAGAGAGAGAGAGAGAGAGAGAGAGAGAGAGAGAGAGGAAGAGAGGAAGAGAGGACACATTCATATAATTTTTATTATAGTATATTGTTATAATTTTTCTATTTTATTATTAGTCATTATTGTTAGTTTCTTCTATGCCTACTGTATAAACTCAACTTTGTATAGGAAAACATAGTATATGTAGGTTTTGGTATTTTTGCAGTTTGAGGCATCCAGTGGGGATCTTGGAAAGTATCCCCCTTGGAAGAGGGAGGCTTGCAGTAGTAGTGCACTATAATGCAGTTTGTTAGTGCACACTCTCTTTTTTATTATGCTTGAAGCAGATAACAAGTCTTTTGTACTTTGCATTCCTACAAATTTTATGCATGTTTTGCTTTGAATAGAATTGGATCTTATCTCTGCAACCATGAACCCTGGAAATATTTTATATGAGACACAAATATTAGAATTAGAGAGAATATGGTGATTTGCTATGTTTAAATGTGATTTTTCTCAGCAGAATTTCTAAGCCCAACAAAATACGGTCCTTTCACTCACTCGCTTGATGAATATTTATTGTGCTTCGACCATACCCCTTGAATCATATGAGAAATACGCAGTACTGTTATTTTAAATTTAATTTAAAAGGAACAGTTTGATTACCAGAGTTAACTGCTTTTGGATGGAAAAGAAATTGTTTTCCTCTTGAGTTAATATTAAAACCTTAAGAACATGTAAGCATATATCAGAAATAAATTAGTGTCTAGAATCTTGCTCTGTGTTAGGGAATCAATAAGTGCTCCTTCAGTATATTCCATTAGGGAATAGACTTTGTGGCTGTCAGACTATCTGGTTGGTCTGAGAAATGGCCGAACCAAACCAAATGGCTTGAAGTAGTAATTCATTTTATGGCCATATAGAGACCACTGTTGAAAATGTGTGAGTTAAGTATACACTTTCACCGCTGTATTCACACAAGTTATTTATGAACTCTAGGACTTTGTGGAGGTGGGATATTGTAGATCAGTAAGTTCACTGCTTCCCATCTTAGTCACTGCATACACACCTCCATCCCCCTACCCCAGCATTGAAACCAAAACTCAGAAAGTTGTTCTGTCCAAGGCCTGGATAAAAATAAAACCAGGACTATGATAGTAACTCTGGTTTTGTATTTTTTCCAAAATCATTTCAATACCATAACTGTAGTTTTATTCAAAATGTGTTCATCAGCCTTGCTGTCTTAAAATGACAGTTTTTGGATAGCTTATTAGAAAGATGTTAACAAATGGCAAAATTATTATATAATGGTTTTAATTAACTATATTCACAGAAAGCATTGGTAAAAGTCAATAGGACCAACAGATCTGCTGGCAAAACAAAGATGATCTATCACCAGTTAAACACATATTTCACTAACTCTCAGTGGTGAGAGCGCTTGCGTCCTCCCTCGGGAAGCACTGTCTCGCATTGGCTTCTGTCACACTGCACTTTCTTGGGTTTCCTCTCACCTCTTTAGCTACTGTTTCTTAGCCTGTTCTTCTGCCTGCAGCCCGTTCTGCTTCCAGCCCTCGCTTCAGTTTCATCAGATGCCAGTTCTGACGGGAGTTCTGGATTCCGGGGACGCTTTCCCCGGTGGCCCCCAGTCAAAACCTCACGTGCTTTCCTTCCAGTTTGCCTGTCCCACTAACCTGCAAGTTCCGCAAGAGCATGTTTTTATTTACTACTGTGTGCCCAGCAGGGCCTGACATATGGTTGGTCCCTGTACATATTTGATAAAGACGTGATAAAGAAGGAAGTGGAAGTGGCAGTGGAGGGAAGTGGCCGTTGTTTCATATTTCAGAAAAGAAGCTGAAAACTTATTTAAGAATGTCTAAAGGTTAAAATTAATTAAAAATTGTGGGGGATTATTTGTTACAGTTGAATTTCTTGGAGGGTGATGGCAAATTATTCATTATTGTGATTAAAGAACACACAGCCAGTAATTCGCACTGAGAGGCATTAGTTAGCCTTGAGCCGTTGCCTTGCACACTGGTTTTACGGTGAATAAGGACAGTTGAGCAAATGAAATCATGGTTTTCAGGTTTTGAATGCTGATGGGGAAAAACATAGTGTTTTACAAGTTCAAGTCAAAATGGCCTCTTGGGGAGGAACGTTGGGCTTATGTAATTGTTCTAGGGTGACCGAATTTGATTGGAATATAGAAGGAAGTGGTTCTAATTCATAGACTGAAGTTTTTGTTTTTTTGGGTAGAACCTACCCAGTAGAGTAAGGGTAAGTATAGTAAGAGGGACACAAAGAGCATTTACTCAGACCGAAATGCCTGTCTTCCCACATTTTCAGGTTTTAAGTTTTCAAGTTTTAATTCTTTCATTCTTCTCAACCTTTACTCTAAGATACTGAGCTAAAAATAGTTGCTAACCCCATGCCTACTATGGTGGTGTGCACTAGCAAGGTGAACTTGCAGAATTTTTTCTTTTCAGTGAAATAATTTGGGAGAATGAGAAAGCAAGGATTACAAATAAAAAGTTTGAAAACCGGTGATCTAATCCCCTCCTGCCACCTCCAGAGCACTAAGCATAAATCATTCAGACAAACGGTACCCTATCCACAAGATCTCCTTGAGAGGATAGATTCCACAGCCTCCTGGGTGAAAATTTCTGTCACTGGTATAATTTGCCTTCTGCATCCTGCCTGCTCGCATTTGTGTACCTTTTCTTTAGTTACCACGGGAAATGAAGAGCATCTGGCGACACTCCTAGTGTAATAGACCTGTGCGGCACATCCCTGTCACTTCTAATGATACATTCGGCTTTCACCCCATGCTCTCGTATTAAAGTCCTCCAAATAGTAATCACAGTCTACTTATTTCACACCAGGTGGCCCTCTGGTAGCTTGTGTCCCACAGCTGTGGGTTCCTCTCCAGCATCGAGAACGGAGAGAGTGGTTGAAGGAGGAATGCCAATATGTTTTTTTATTTGTTTTAAACCAATAAACCTTTTCCTCATTAAAATTTAAGGTTTAAACTAATTATAAAAGACTGCTGTGCTGAGATAATAGAAAACATCCTGAATTCTCAGAAACAGAGTTTGAGATTTGGGATATTTATTTGGGTCTCTGCCAGTGCATCAGGAACTCAGCAGTTTTTTTCTCAGCTTTACAGAGAGCCCGGACTACGGCTTTCTTCATGTTTTCTGGTGATTTCAAATAAAAATAATTGGGGGCGGGGGGGAGGGGAGCGGCGGTTGGTTAAAAAGGAAGACAGCTTAGCATTTGGTAAAATGGAGAGCTTTGGAGACAGTGAGTGGATAGGTATATAGAATGTTCTACAGAAGACAAATTCACAAGGATTCCTACAACTTCCTGTAACCTTTTTGCTATAACCAGAGAGGAAGCATATCTTACCTAATGATGATGCTATTATGGATAACAGTGGCAGCAAACATTGCTGGGTGTTTATTATGTGCTGGTCCTTGTACTTGGATTGTATATTCGTTCACTCGAATCCTCATTACCACCCCGTGTGGCAGGTGCTACTTCCCCCATTAAATAGATGCAGAAACCGAGCCTTAGAGAGAGATGGGAACTTACACTGGGTCACTTAGCCAGGAAGCAGTAAGTTTGAACCCAGGCAGCCTGGCGCCAAGTCTTTTACTTTTTACTACATATCTAACAGGAGGCAATGTTTGCAAAATAGTCTTGATAGCTATCGCATGCCCAATTGGGTGCTTAATGTTTGTTTTCTAAACTACTAAAAAGTAAAAAACAGATATTTATAGCATCAACATCTGCAGGCTTTCTAACCTCATGTCTTGCCCCTTCCTATTCATCCACCCCTTCAAAAATCATCTCTCTGAAATAAAAAAAGTCTTTGCCACTGCCCCCTTTTGACACCTTTTGGGATTCCTCCCCAGAGCAGGAAAGTACAGAGTTCTCTATATCACCCACAAGGCCCTCTCTGCCCAGAGGCTGGCCAGCCTCACCTGTGTTAGCTCTCCTGCACTCGGCTCTGGCTTCTCCTCCACTTCCACCCAGTAATCACCGTGCTGTGTCATGGTCCCCAGAGCGGTTCCCTCTTCCTGGAAAACCCTTCCCCACCGTCTCGTCCATCCAGGCTGCTGTAACAAAATACCACAGGCTGGGTGGCTCATGAACAGTAATTGGTTGCTCACAGTTCTGGAGGCTGGAAGTCCAAGGTCACAGTACCCACATGGTCAGGTGAGGGCCCTCTCGCGAGTGCAGACTTTCATTGTATACTAACATGGAGGAAGCGGCTGGAGAGCTCTCTGGGGCTTCGTTGATAAGGGCATTAATCCCATTCATGAGGCCTGCACCCTCATGACCTAATCACCTCCTAAAGGCCCCGAAACCATCATCTTTAGGGGTTAGGATTTCAACATACGCATTTTAGGGGGACACAGAGATTCAGACCACAGCATCCACTCTCCTGGCAGACTCATTCTTTTTCAGTTCTCACTCAATATTAGTCAGAATCCAACTACATGAAAAAAATTTTAAATGCATATGTTCAGGTCCCATCCCCAGAAATTCGAATTCCTTGGTCCTTGGAAGAGGTCTGAGCACCATGTCTCAAAAGTGCCTGAGGTAACAGTCAGTGAGCCTCTGAAACGTTTGTACTCGGGCAGGTCCTCCAGGGCTGGCGCTGTCACCGCAGCTTCCCCGGCGTGTCGCAGTGGCCGGTCTGTGTGTGGATTCCTCAGAGGTTAGCATTCCCCAGAGGGCAGCCTGGGATGCTGATCGTCTCGTGGGCCTCAGCTCTCAGCACAGGGCGTAGCCCAGCCTCGGCCTCCACACAGCACGCTGCGCTGCCACGACCTCGGGGTGTCCTGCCTTGCGGTCCCCTTGATCCCACTGGTTGGCAAGCAGCACGGTTCCTTAGGAAGCAGAGTCCAGCAAAGGCCAAGGGTGCAAGTTGTCATTTAAAGTATTGCCATTCAGACTTTTTGTGTAGGTAAAGCGTGAGGTCTTACCTCTTTTCAACTCATCTAAATTTGTACTGACTCTAAAAATATGGGTGACTTACAGCTTCCTCCCTCCCCCACCCCCCCCAATGACTTAGTTCAGGCTCTGAGTCTTGACAGAAGACCTCACTTTCTGCTGGCCATCCTGCTGCTTGGAGACCTGTCAGGGTGTATTTTAAATAAAACCCGAGCATTCCTGTGTCATCTTCACTGCTTTCTTCCTTCCCTGCAGACGGCGTTGCTGCACAGCACGGGGTGGGCCCTGCGCTGGCGGGTGGCCGTGGGGGCCCGGTGGTCGGTGCTCACGTGTGCATCAGGCTTGTTGATTCTGAGGCATGGCACCTCCCTATTGCAGCCTAAGTAAGAGGTTTCTCCTCTCAGCAGACTCACATATTGAGAGAGAACCCGACTTGCTCAGCGTAGCCATATTTTCAAAATAGCCCTCCTATTCCCCCAGGGCCTCTGCTTGGAGAACCTGCCCCTGCCAGCAGAAATCCAAACCAAAAAGGATGTCTCCCTTCCGGCTCAGTTATTCTACAATTACAAGATATTAGGCTGGTGGACTCCCTTCTTGGTTGGGTCTCCTGTTAATGTTATGTGCTAGGCCTTTTTAATTTTGAGCTTCTCCGTGGATATTAGTTTTAATGAAACACTATATTGAAGAAAAGAGTTGGGAGAAATAGGAGAAGGATGGGAGCAAATACAAGCGAAGAATAAATAGTCTGTAACTCAACAGCAAGCATGGCTTATGAAGATCAAGTTGTAATTCTGCTTCATGAATCATTGTCAGACAAATTAAGAACATATTGTTTCTTATTTATCTATTGTCAAGGATGCAATCTCAAGCATTGAGAATAAATCCAGATTTTCATAAGCTTAGTTGACACGATGGAGCCACAGAGCATAAAACTTGCATCTAATAAAGTGGGATTTGGAGCGGCGGGGGAATGATATAAAACCAGGCCCGCTCGCAGCTGCTTCCTGCTGGCTCCTTGGCCCTGGTGCCAGGGGTGTTTCTAAACAGCGAGGAGTTGTAACAGACGAAGAATTTGTTATATCTGTTGATAGAAAAGTCCTAGCTATTGATACATTATTCCCCCATATCTGAGAGATTGGGGACGCTTATTTTCAGATTTGCTGGGCGAGTCCCATCTGTGTATCTACCCCTCCTGCCATGTGTCTCCCTTCTCTCCCTCTAGTATGAGTGGTTAGTGAGTGTTAAAATCCCAAACCAGGCATGTTTTATGGGCACCTCTCCCATGGGTTAATTGCGTAATTTTCACGCACTGCTTAGTGTTACTACTTGGATAGTAATAGAGGACTCTAGTTCACTGAAATTCTTCATAGAAATTTTTGTTTTGAGTTCCTGAAGTTAAACTATGAAAATTATATTTTCACCTGATTACAGATAAAGGGTCTCAGTGTGAAAAACTGTAACTCAGGATATGTAGTAGTAACCTTTAAAATAATAAAAGTAAAATGTAGTAAATAATTTAAATATTTCAAGTGGTACTTACTAAATCATCACTTCCCCAAATACTGTAATATCAAAATTAGCATTAGTGCCACAAAACTCGAGGCTTACTTTAGACTTTTTAACAATGCCCTTTTAAAACTAATGCTCCGTGGTAGAAAGCAAGTGGAGTTTGCTGGGTGGGAGGCGGGTTGTATTACTTGATTGCAAAGAACCACAGGGAACTTGTTTGGGGTGATGGAACCATAGAAGGTTGTCAAAACTCATCTGACTGTACTTAAATGGTGAGTTTTATTGTATGTAAATTATACTTCAGTAAAGTTGATTTTAAATAATTTTAATGCTCCTTTGTTTAATAGCATTACACTTAATGGAAGCTATGACCTTTAAAATAGTACAGCATACCCAGCAACACTGGCCACTGCAACTAAACAACCAAATGAGCTATTTAAATGTCAGTCAGGTAAAGTCCTGGAGTAGAGGGAGCCATTAGGGAGAAGTTCGGAGTGTATGGAGTTTGTCACTGCTGCTGGGGTGTGTGTGTGGGGGGTGGGGGTGGGGGGGCCTGAAGACTTAAATAGTCGCTTCCTCTGTCGGTCTCAGGCTGCTTGGTCCCGACACCAGGAGCAAGAGAGACACCAGAAGTGAAATGGTTTCTAACTGCACCCCCGTTCCTTTGGCCAGTTGCTGCGAAGCTCTCTGGTGAATAACAGGACCCAGGCCAAGGTGGCGGAGGAGCTGGGCATGCAGGAGTACGCCATCACCAACGACAAGACCAAGAGGCCCGTGGCCCTGAGGACCAAGACGCTGGCAGACCTTCTGGAATGTGAGTCCTACAGCAGGAAGCTGTTTGAGCCTGCAGATTCAAAGTTGAAATCAAAAGGACCAACATTCATCTTCCTTTTTCTCATTATTATTATGTTCTGACTAAAGACACCTCTTTCCTATTTTAATTTGTATTTATGATTTCCTCCAAAGCTTATTTGAAGGAGAATAATTTGAAATTAAGACATTTGAATAATGTATTTTATGTTCAGTCTGTGTTCACTGGTGCACCCCGCACCCCCTTCCACACCCCTCCACACCCCTCCACCCTAATGCTCAACCACCACATCCCTGTGGGAAACAGTAACAGAATATGAAGATTGTAATAGTGAATCAGATTTTTTTTTGCCGCCCAGTAGCCTTTATATAGGGTCATAGAAGAAAGAAAGATAATTTACTCACTAAATACTAAAACTAATAACTATTGTTTTGAATGAGCTCAAAGCTCTATGGACAAATGTCATATTTTACACTTCCTGATATGGTCTGTTGGCATTATGAATAATCCTGTTATAGCTAACTAAAGGATTATACATATAACTTATTGTTTCTGATAATACTTAAAAATAAGTGGGCCATACCCCGAGCCTTGAAACTTTTTAATGTTAGTGTATATTTGACAATTGGAATTATATACAGATATTAAAGTCTACTATTCAAAAGCTGCTCATTTACAAACAGGCGGTCTGACTAATTAACCTAAAAAAACTTGTTTTTCAATTCAAATAAAGTATCTTAAAGATTAAAATTATTAAACAATTAAGTTTAGAGAACATTCCCACTGGCTTTATTTTTTATTTTTTTTAAGCTCAATGAAAGCTATTTTTATTCTTTTAAAAACTTGCCATTTGGCCCTAATCAGTTTGGCTCAGTGGATAGAGCGTCGGCCTGCGGACTCAAGGGTCCCAGGTTCGATTCTGGTCAAGGGCATGTACCTTGGTTGCGGGCACATCCCCAGTAGGGAGTGTGCAGGAGGCATCTGATTGATGTTTCTCTCTCATCAGTGTTTCCAACTCTCTATCTCTCTCCCTTCCTCTCTCTAAAAAATCAATAAAATATATTAAAAAAGATAAAATAAAAACTCGCCATTTGTTTACTTGTTTAAGTAACTTTTAATGAAATTATCTTTGAGATCACCCTTTATTAATGGAAAGTTAGATATATTGTTATAGTCATTAAGTCCAGTATTACATTTCTCTGTGTTTGAGCAGATTGAATCTATAAACAGTCTCATTTCTGTTCCTGAAATGTAGCTCAGACCTTTGTAAATGGGTGACCTCCTCAAGATTGGTGTTGAGAATGGCAGGCCGCAAGGATGTGCTCATTCTGCTGTCAGATCTGGTCTTCAAGTTTTATTTGATGTTAACACAGTTGTGTTTCCAGATATCATTCTTCCCCTGATGTACAATAGCATTTAGTCTATCATCTTAACTAACATAATTTAGTCCTTAGCCAAACTTAATTTGGTCTTTGTACCTCATGACTTTGCATCTTAATCACACACCTATATTGTTGCTTCTGATATTAGTGATAAAGAGTTCTTGTTTAAAGAAAGATGAAATGGTAATTTCATCTTCCTGGTAGATGGCAGTGCATTGTATTTATTTTTAAATCTTCTCTTTTTCAGCATTTATTGCAGCATTATACATTGACAAGGATTTGGAATATGTTCATACTTTCATGAATGTTTGTTTCTTCCCACGATTAAAAGTAAGCTCATATAAAATTTATATTGCTTGTATGTGTTACACATGGTGATCCCAAAACCATTACTAAATGCTCTTTGGGGACTTGCTACAGGAGTTCATTTTGAATCAGGATTGGAATGACCCCAAATCCCAGCTTCAGCAGTGTTGTCTGACACTTAGGACGGAAGGAAAAGAACCAGACATTCCTCTGTACAAGTGAGTACTCGCGGCCCACAGGCCATCCGTTCCGGGAGCTTAGAGATGATGCTCTGGTTGTGTGGAGGGAAAACTAGTCACTGTGGGTGACTGTGATCAGGGCCCCAGATTGAGACTTCTTAACTCACACTCGGCCCAACACGGAAACTCTTTGGGCCTCTCAGTCTTACCGCCCGAAGTAAGTGGGTCACATTTGATTATCTAAGCTTTTCCCATCTCTATAATGTGTTAGAACTACTCCCTGTGAGGAAGACATATGAAGGTTAGGAGACCGAGATGAGAGCAGTGAGAAACATCAATGATGAGACAATCATTGATTGGCTGCCTCCTGCATGCCCCCTACTGGGGATTGAACCCGCAACCTGGGCATGTGCCCTGACCAGGAATCGAACCATGACCTCCTGGTTCATAGGTCAATGGTCAACCACAGGCCGGGCTGTCTTCTTATTTCTTGTAACCTCTGCTGTGTGTCTGGATTGGAAGATTGTGTCTGCTTAATTAGTAACAGGACTTGAGTGTCCCTGTCCACCTCCTTGCAGCCTGTCAGCCTCTCCCTGTGGCCTGACAGATTCGCTCTCTCAGGCCGTCACTGTAAGAAGCGGGCAGTTCTCATTGCTGCTGTTATTCAAATATTTGGAACTTTTCTTCTCAGAATGTGTATCAAAAGCAGCCTTGTACTTTAGAGTATCGTTAGTGACAAATCTTTATTCTTTGTGTGATAACCAGAAATTCAATAGGAATGCAGGGCACTATACACATAACCCCAGCTTTGATGAAAACAGCAGGTTTGACTCAGAAGCCGAGTAATTATCTTGAGGCGCTCACACGTTGATTCAGAAGGTGATTTCAAAGAGGAATTACAAAAAGGAAGAATTATCCAAATAGGTGGGGTGCCTCCCAAAGCGTTATCTGGATGTGCGTTTTTGAGAATATAAAAACCCAGTCCCAGTACTGGTTCACCGCTTGTCTATACACACAAGGTTGCGGGCACACACACTTGTGTGATTATTCCATATGGAATAGAAGCCCCCGTGCCTCCGACCTTTACCAACTTCCGAAAACTCAAGAAAAAACACCGAGTGGCAACAGGGAATTTTAAATCCTTTTATATGTTGTTATTTAACAGTCACAACACAATACAGGCTTTCTCCCTAAAAGAAAAAATGAGGCCAGGAGAAATTTTTGTCACCCACAGAAAGCTTCTATACAGTGTCCCAAGAAACTGTCACTGCTAAACAATGTTTCCTTTACTGGAGAAAAAAACTCCTAGTGTTTAGAAATAGTACCTTCATATGTGCCTAATAAGCATAATGAGTATCCCAACTGTATTACATGAAAGGCTCCGAGTCTTTCCTCATCAAAGTGATAATTAAAGTTGACGAAACAAACTGGGGAAGATAAACTTCCAGTGGCGCAGGCATGATTACTGTAATAAGTGCTACCTTACAGCCGCCGCGTGCTTTCATCCCACGGAGATGTAAACACACAGGAAATGACGGCTCCCTTCTCATAAATCCCCAGTGAAAGCCCAGGTGAGCTTGTCCCTCATCGAGATGAAGGGCTTGTTTAACATAGTTTTTCCAAGATTAACGGGCCCGTTCCATTTTCTTTTGTCGGCTACTTTTAATTTCCCTTTTCCACGAAGTTATCAGTTTCCCCACATTTGAGATCTGCACCACGTCATTAAAATGCAGAGTACCTAGAGTTTTGTTTTTTGGCACTTGTGTGCTCAGCATTATAGCATGCCTCTGAAACGATCTCGGATGTTTCAGAAATTAAATACATTTTCCGATCTTTCAGATAGGATAAGAGACATCAGGAGGAGTCCATAAAGGATGTGAAACCATTCAGACGTGGCTCGAGGTGTATTACCCAGATAATTATTGTTTTAGCTGTGCTGAGCACTGAACAATGAACAGACCAATATGGTTCCCTTTTCACTGAGAAAAGTTCATTTTATGATACTTGGGATATGCAGGCTTCGACATTGCTTAAAACTATTTTCCGACTCACTGTTAGCCTTCAGATACTATGTATGTCTTATACTATTTATACTTTAGGGGGAAATGCATACAAATCCGTGTTAGAATTTTTTAAATTTCCTATTTCAAAAAAAGCTCTCTATATTTGTCAGGCTTAGCAAATACAAAATTTACTCCTTTAATTTTCGAATTACTTTTTCCTTTCTCTGTCTAAGCAATAAGGACATGTTTTTCTTGGAGTTACATATTAGCAATAACAACTAAATAACACTTTCCCATAATTGATCTTCTTCCCTTTACTTCTCAGGACTCTGCAAACGGTGGGGCCATCCCACGCTAGAACCTACACGGTGGCTGTTTACTTCAAGGGAGAAAGAATAGGCTGTGGGAAGGGACCAAGGTAGGAGAAATTGCCTTTAATCTCTTCACATGAGAAGTCCCTGCTTGGCATTTTCAAACTCTGCAGTCTGTCTTGTTTAAATTAGAGTATATCTCAGTGATGGCGAACCTATGACATGCTTGTCAGAGGTGACACGCAAACTCATTTTTTTGGTTGATTTTTCTTTGTTAAATGGCATTTAAATATATAAAATAAATATCAAAAATATAAGTCTTTGTTTTACTATGGTTGCAAATATTAAAAAAATTTCTATATGTGACACGGCACCAGAGTTAAGTTAGGGTTTTTCAAAATGCTGACACGCCGAGCTCAAAAGGTTCGCCATCACTGGTATAGAACGTTCCAGGGTAATAAAGTGAATCTCAAGGATTAATGTCTCCACCACGCCCAGCCCCCAAACTTGAGCATCTGCCTTGGATGTTGGAAATGCCATTGCTGAAGGGGCTTTGGCTACCTTGAGAAAACCACATTATCTGGTGCACAGGTCGGGGCTGTCCTGTTTTAGTTGCCCAACAGAGAACCCCACGTTGCTGCAAGCACTTTAAGAAATGTCCTGTGTGACGCCATTAGGCATTTGACCTCTTAGTGCCACTTGAGCTTTGTGGAAATGCTAATATCTTCAGGTGAAAAGAATTTTGTGTATTATCACCTTTCTTTGAACCCTTAATCTATGTGTTAAACTGAGAAGTGATTAGAAGTCTGTCTATACCTATATTTTTTACTCTTTGCCTCTTTAAGCTTTACACTGAGGATATTCAAATTTAAGTAGGAAATACTTCAAATGTAATATAAATGGAAGGCATTTTACTGCGGTATTAAAAGTGTGGAACGAGTAACTGAAACAGGCTTGAGCAAATAAATGACATTTCTGCATGCCCTTGTGTATATTCCTCTCTGCAGTTCAGTATGTGACAGTAGAAGTAATCAGATAAATTTTATGTGCCAAACATGAAAATCAGCCTGTATAATGTGTAGACATACCATTTGTTTTTGAAAAAAACCTCTTTAAATTAAAATGTACCTTACCTATATTTGATTTAACAGTATCCAGCAGGCAGAAATGGGAGCAGCAATGGATGCACTTGAAAAATGTAAGCCTATCTCTTTTTCTATAATTATATGTTCATAATGTAATGAGTGTTTTATGGGAGGAAAATGGGAAAATAGAAAAATGGTAAGTACTGATAAAATGTGATCTTCTTTTCTTCATAATTAGTCTTCACAGAGAGTGCAGTAGAATGTGAGATATGTATAAATGGGCTTATAATTTTATAAAAGTGCCCCGGAATGCCTTTTGATGTTCATTTTCCTTTTTTGCATAGAGTCACACTCTCAGCCCAGGTACCCCATGTCAACAACCTAATGTATTTCTTTCCATAGATTTCTAAAATCTTACACATGCAAAGGATTTTTTCATTTTAGTTTTTGGCCATTGTTTTATGGAAATGGGATATCTACATACTTACGTGCATCGCTCTTTCCTTGCTCATTTTGGGCAGCCTTGCCGGGTATAGTGGCTTCAGTTTGTGTTACAGTTCATGCTGTAAATGAGCTGTAGTTTATTCAGGTTTTCTTTATTTTGTTATTGGTGGACACTTTGTTTCTGGTTTTTCACCGCTGTCGACAGTAAATATGTATACACTCGTGCTTTTAGTTCTGTGGGAGAGATCTCCCAGAGTGGGATGGCTGGATTGAAGAAACTTCAGTTACATAATTGGCCATGTAGGGAACTGCATAGTCTTTTGTAAATTGAAGGTTTAAGTACAAGAAATTTTTCTTCTGAGGTGTATTGTGCTGCACAGCAGAACCTGTGGCAAAACATGACAAAGCTATTCGATTATGCTTCAAGCTCGATTATGCTTCAAGTACCAGCTGAAGGTGGGAGAAAGCAGAGTGCAGGAAGCTGACAGTGAAGAGCCCAGATTCTCAGCCATGGGGGATTCCAGGAAGAGCAGGGGGCCAGCAGCGTGGGAATCCAGCAGACCACAGCTCCCTAGGCAAGGGGAGCAGGGAGGAGGCAGTGGGGTGGAAGCTGGTGTTACCGTGTCCAGGGATCATGGGATCTTCACTCTGAGTTTCAGTTGACTGGTGGAGAACTTTTACATCTAACCTATATTGTACAACCCTAATATGCAAATTGACCCAACAGTGGAACAACTGGTTGCTATGACATGCACTGACCACCAGAGGGCAGACACTCAACACAGGAACTGCCCCCTGGTGGTCAGTGCTCTCCCATAGGTAGAGTGCCGCTCAGCCAGAAGCTGCCAAAAGCCGGGCTCACGGCTGGCAAGCACAGCTGTGGTACTGGGAGCCTTTCCCGCCACAGCAAAAGACTCTTCCCCGCCACCGCCCCCCCCCCCCCCCCCCCCCCCCCCCCGTGCATGAATGTCGTGCACCAGGCCTCTAGTTATATATAATGCACAATCATGTATTGAAATACAAGTGAGGTTCCTTTTTCTACAACAAGATTGTTAAGTGCTTCCCAGCCATTGAAGCACTTCACTCCAACCATCATGTGTGGGGCAGTCTCAGAATAGGCTTTTCCTCCAGCACTGTTTTACCACTGAAAGCTAACAAAAAATTCTAAGAATAACCTGCAACAATCTTACTGTGGAAAAGGGGTGTACAGTTGTGAGTACCCGAAACAGAGTTTCTTCTTGTATTATTATTTATTAACACATTGTATGCGGGAAACGTATTTATATGTTTTACGTTGACTGGTAGCGTTGACTGGTAGTAGAGCGCAGGACACGTATTAATATGTTTTTTATAGACTAGCGGTAGAATGCGGGTAACGTATAAATACATAAACTAAAGTTATCGTAATTTTACTGAACGTTGCCATTTGCGCAAAAAATTAGCAAAAATGGCCCACGCCACCTGTTAGTGCGTGATAAAAACTACCCATAAACAATGTGTTAATTACTATATTACTTTCCATACAAACAACTGTAAAACTACTGTTGCCCCACCCTGTGTTTTTCTAAGGCTAATAACACAAGAAAATGCTTACCCTATATAATAAAAGGGTAATATGCAAATTGACCCTAACAGCAGAATGACTGGTCACTATGACATACACTGACCACCAGGGGGCAGACGCTCAATGCAGGAGCTGCCCTCTGGTGGTCAGTGACTTCCCACAGGCGGAGCTCTGCTCAGCCACAAGCCAGAGGATGTCCGACTGCAGCTTAGGCCTGCTCCCTGCTGGCAAGTGGACATCCCCCGAGGGCTCCTGGGCTGCCAGAGGGATGTCTGACTGCCAGCTTAGGCCCGCCCCCCCCCCCCGGGATCGGGCCTAAGCCAGCAGGTGGGCATCCCCCGAGGGGGTCCCAGACTGTGAGAGGGCACAGGCCGGGCTGAGGGACCCCACCCCCCGAGTGCACAAATTTTTGTGCACCAGGCCTCTAGTAGTAGAATAAGTGGAAACCAGCGTATCCATAAAACATACGTACACTGTACTCTGGTAGTGGAAGGGAGGAAGGGGGCATACTTTTATGTGTTTGTGTGTCTGTGTAACACATAACACACTTTTACAGTGTGCATGTATGTGTGTAGTATAACCGGACTTCATAGGAAAAGGGGCTATAAGGACATATTCTAAAAGCTTATCAATAATTAGATCAGAGTAAGAGGATTTTGTTCTAGCCATGGATTAAGTTTTACAATAGAAGTTACTGAGGAAGTAGAAACTTGCTCAACAGCTGACTTTTTGGGATTTGTTTGAATTATACCTTTAAAAATACTTATAGTATTTGAAACCTGTTTTATAGAACACAAAAAGAATCAGTTAAAAAAAAAAAAAAAGACACCTATGAAATGCCAGAACTCTATCATCAAAAAAAAAAAAAAAATCAGTTTAATATCATTTGGGAGGTAGGATTTTATTACTGTTTTATTTCTAAAATACGGATGCCATTATGTTCCTTTTTTGTTTAAAATCAATCACTGACTCTCAGATAGTCAAGATCTCGACTGATTCACCACCTGCCTTTCAGGTGCTTTTCCTGCCACCCTGTCCCTGTCCCTTCTCTCATCTGGGGAGAGGATGGGATGCTGTATAGACTGTGGGGACTTAGGAATATGATATATACTTGTACCCACTTTTATTATGCTTCAACCATAACAGAAACAAAAATGCTTTTCCCCAGGCATGCTGTGTGCTCCCACACCTCTGATTCTTCATACTTTATATGTGAAATATACCTGTGTGTCTCACAGTGCCTTGCCCGGGCAGGACAGCGCCCTCTTTCCCAGTGACTGCATAGCTGTGTGGCTCCCATCACGCTTATCTCCTATTGTGATGTTTGTTGTTGAAGTGTGTGTTGACCAGGAGTGTAAAGTGACTATTTCTCATCCCATACTTGATTTCTTACCTATTGCTGCACTCGCCACAGACCACAAGTGAATTGTAAGATTTTAAAATCTTACTTAGGGTTTCGACTGTGTCAGCACCCTTGCATGGGGTCAAATATCAACCTAAATCTGGCTTCAGCTCTGCCCCTGAGCGCTGTGTCTCCTTTCACGGATACAAGTGCTTTCCTTGAGTTTCTGTTGCTGATGCAGCTCTGGGCTTCTCATGGTGAACTTGATAAATAGAATGACCAGAAATAGGGACTTAGAATGTAGTCTCCCTTTGCCCATCTGATCTTTTCTTGCTCTTTTCAGAAACTTTAATTCTTGGTAAATAATGGTGTGATGATATCATTGTTTGATGTTTTTGCCTCGAGCTTTGCGAAAATATACAACTCCATTTTGCTATATCCTTTACTCTCTTCCTGAAAATCACTGCTTGCTAAGAGAACTGTGCTAAGACGCCCACCCGGAGTCATTCTGACGCCGCATGTCTGTGTTTTAACATTGCTGTATGTCTCCGCGCTTTTTATACTCCAGTTCACGTCAGACATTGTGATCTAGAATCGGGGGTGCTGATCCAGACCTCCATGTATTTCTGAGTAATAAAAGAATAGGGGAAGAAAAGGAACAACATTTTTATCTCTTGCCTTACAAAAGACAGCTGTCTATATTTCACATGAATATGTGTTTGTGTGTGTTTAGTTTGCACTAGTGGCTACGTTTATTAAGTATAAAATATATCTCCTCGTGTCAGATAACTTTCCCCAGATGGCCCATCAGAAGCGGTTCATTGAACGGAAATACAGACAAGAGTTAAAAGAAATGAGGTGGGAAAGAGAACATCAAGAGAAAGAGCCAGATGAGACCGAAGACATAAAGAAATAAAGGAGGACACGGACATCATGGCGTATTTAGTTGCTTAATAACTGTGACTGTTGCCCATTGAGATGTACCCCAGTTTTTCTACAGACAATGAATGAAGTGTGTGGTTGAAATAAAACCCAGTCAAATCACTATTGTTGTTTTACTGGTTTTATATTCTGTTTTTAGCTGGGTGGTCTTTATTACCAGGTATTTGATTTCTTTTTAATGGAAACCTTCACTTTAGCAGATATGTGTATTCCCTTATATTTTTTCTTTACACAATAAAATTTTAAAAGTTTATTCTGTGTGGGTAGATCCTGTTTTTCTATCTCTGAGATTATTACCCGAGACTTTGAGCTGACAAGTGAAAAATTCACTTTACCAGATATTTGGATTACTCTCTACTAACATGTATACTTTTTAAAAAATCTCTGGATTATTAACTATATTTTTTAGCTTGCATGTGGATGTTTATCAAGCTCTCAGCTGCAAATATTGAACTTCACCTTCTCTAAGCAGTGAATCCTTTGTAGATGGAATCTCTTTAATGTTTAACTGGCTAACAGGAGAGGGAAAGACATATTTGAGTCACATATATTCTTTGAGTCATTAGAATAGGGATGAAGTCATGATTCTAAGCCAGACCCTTTAAGAAGTTTATAGATGGACTTCAGGGAAGTTTCAGAACCTCCTGAAATTTTATGTGTGTCTTTGGGTTTGGGTGAGTGGGTGGGAAGATGGAAGAGAGGGTTCATGGCTCTCATCAGTTCAAAGTGGTCCCTGCAACAAAGGGTTAACATTATATTAAAAGATATGACATTTTAAAAAATGTTATTTTATACTGAACATCACTGGTTTCTTATTAATAAAGGCAAAACTTTCTTTTGAATGAGTTTTCATCCGTTATTTTAGCAAATATATAGTGAGTGCCTACTATATTTCAGGCACTGTTCTAGGCTCTGGGGCTACAACAGCAATGAACAAAACACGCGCACACGCACACGCACACACACATCAGAAGGAAGCATGAGAGAGACGACCTCGATAGGGTTTTTAATTTGTTAATCATAACAATGTAAGATGGTGCCTGTAAGAAAAGGTTGCCCTGCCCACCTTCTTCCACAGACAGCAGTACTGGGAGGGAGAGAAGACTGGATTCATCAGATGTTCCTGAAAATGTATGAGCAAACGCAGGGAAAACATGACTTCTTTTTAAACATACACTTTCACTAGTCCTGCATGTGCATCAAAATAATGCCAAAGCCAACGTGCAGTTCACGACTTTTTCTTGGACTCTGGCATTTCCTCTGTTGAGTATTCTGGCCCCGTTAGGGTTCTCTCTCCATGTTAATATCTCTTGAAACCTGAAGAAGTTAAGTCCACAAGACAGGAGAGTCTGTGGTGCATTAAAATCTAACAAACGCCATCAGCACAGATTAGCCCTGCTGGCTCTATAGAGTAATTGTGAGGCCAGCAACCAGCTCTGTACCTATCCTCATGGACAACTCAGCAGGCCCCCGTGACCACAGTTCCCACCCTGCCTCCTGCCCAACACAACCCAGTCCTCTCACCTTCCAGTTCTGATCACGAGAAGTGCCAGTGAGAGTGTAAGATCATACATTAATTCACCCGTGTTAAGTGCAGTTATTCGTAGAGGCCCGAGGTCTCTTTGGGGAGACCTTAAATGATGAGGCATCTGCAGACCAAGGGCCTTTAAGTGGGACTGGGAGGCGGAGGAGGAGGAGGAGGAGGAGGAGGAGTGGGCCAGACAGGGAAGGCTTCACAATATTTAATATTTGAGATAATGTGACTTTGAAGATGAGAGGGAGCATGTAAGGTAGGGGAGGACATTTCCTCCCAAGGGAGCAACAGGATTAGGTAGAAGACTATGGTTTAGGAGCCTATTGTGTTATTCCATGGGAAATGCGAAGGCCTGATTCAAAGCTTAGGAGAGCTGGGGCAGGACAGATTTGAAAGATATATAGGAGGTGGAACCTATAGATCATGGAGCAGGGCAAGGTATCACAACCTGACATTGTTGACAATTTGGGCCCAATCATGCTTTGCTGGGGCAGGAGGGACTGTCCCTTGCAGGTAGGATGCCTAGTTGCATTCCTGGCCTCTAACCACTAATGCAGTAGCATCCCTTCCCCCAGTTGTGACAACTGGAAGTACCTCCAGATACTGCCAGATGTCCTCTGGGGGCAAAATCACCCCTGGTTGAGAATCCCTAGTTTAGGACAGCTGTTAAAATATAACAGTCATGAAATAAAGCAAATACTTATGAATTAGGGGTTTGGAGAACACCCTAAGATTTATTTGTATTTGTAGCATGGAAGATTAAGCATCCTTGTCCTCAAGGAGCTTACTATTCAGAAAAGGAAGTACTTATACTCATTCATAAAGTGCCACATGAAGGATCAGAGAGGGGGTGACTCATTCTTTCTGAAGGAAGGGTGGGGGTCAGAGGAGGTCCAACCTCCTTGAGAGCTGATTTCAGTGCCCCTGGCTATTGACTCTGTTCCTCATGACAAAGAGCCTTTCTTCAGGTCAGACATACAAGTGTATTTTTTAACCACAATATCATTATGACACCTAGCAAAATTATCAAAAACTCAATTTATAATTATCAGTCTTATCTTCAAATGGACTGCTGGTTTGTCCAAGTAATGATGCATATATTACCTGTGGTTTTTATGTCCCTTAAGTCTCTTTATATCTAGAACATTTATCCACTGCCCCTTTTTTTCCTAATTTAGTTAAAGAAACCCAGTCAGCTGTGCCTTAGGTTTCCCACATTCTGGATGTGATGCATTGCTTTCTTGTGGCGCCCTTCACTTTTTCCTCTGTATTAGGTCTGAAGACTTGATTTTAGGTTTGGGGTCACAATTTGTGGCAAATGTATATTTCAGGGTTTCTCCTTCTCCCCAGCAATTATTTCAATAGTGTCAGTCCTCACATTCTTTTGGATGGCTGTGATGGCTAATTGTACGTGCAAACTTGGCTAGGCAAGCGATGCTGTTTTAAGTAGCTAGGTTTGTGGTCATTCTTATGCATCAATAGAAAACATACATTCACATTTTTTTCTAAACAGTTGCTTCATGTTACTATCCTGTTTAAAATATTCCATGAGTTGCCCATTGCCTATAGGATAAAGCCCAAATTCCTTATCACAGTGCGAAATTCCCTCACGACCAGCATCCGCCTCTTCTGCTGGCATCACCCCCTCACACCACACTCCACCGTACAGAGCAGGTTGCAGACATTTAAACACATTTTACTTTTTCTCAGCAGAGGACTTTGCATTGCCTGAAATAGGCCACCTCCTTGCTAATGATCTCTTACTCATGTTTGGGGCCTCAGCTCAGGAATGAGCTCCTGCAAGCCTTTCCTTGGACTTACATTGGGGTTAGATGTACATTCTTGGACTCTTTCCCGAGTCACATTTGTCTCACTGTGTTATTACTATCTCTTCACTCACCCATCTTCCCCAGCTAGACCTTGAGCCCCGGCAGACAGGACCATCCCTAACCCACTTCTGCACCATGGGCTCTCCTTCACTGCTGGCTGAATTAAAAACACCAGACTGCTCTTTGCCATCCTTCCACAATTCTCAACGACCTTAAAGCAAAACAACTTGCTCTAAGCTACCTTCCTGCAGGAATTCTGAGGCTACAGTGCAGAGAATGACCCATTGGAGGCCAGAGCATCCACACCCTCTCTGTTCTGCACTTGGACTTGGTCAAGAACAAAGTGCAAGAATGGGACAGCACAAGCCGGGAGCTCATCCTCTCTTGTGCTCCTGGAAGCTGTGGCTCTCAAGTCTCTCTGAGGTGGAGATTGGGAGCTCACATAAAGGGATGAGCAGACAATAGCTCCAGGAGCTTCATTAGATGATGACACAGCCACAGTAGCCCGAGGGGAGGCTTGGTCATCAGTGCCGTCACCAATGGTCGGCTTGGGACAGGCTTTAGTCAGGTGACCCCATAATCTTCAGCAGCATCTCCCTCTCCAATATTCTTTGCTATGGACAAATGATCTTTGTTCAATTTCATATCATTGTATTACATAAACACGGCTCTGAGTTGCCACCTCCAACTAGACTGCTGCTTCTATTTAGAAATTCGGGAGTTGCTGTTAGCAAATGAGGACAGAACGCTCAGTCTTCTCACAAGACTACCCCAACTGGATTCCCCATCATTGCCTTGCACCGCCAATGGCCCCGGAGACACCCCCATCGATCTCTGCTAATACCCCAGTGATGACAGCACAGCTGTCCCATCTCCCATAGAGTTGCTTCTGAATGTTTCTTTCATTTCTGCTGGAATATTGGTCAGGTTAAGGGGAAAGTTTTAAATGAAGCTTTAGAAGAGAAGAAAAAGAAAGCATGGCCAGCTAATCGTTTGTATGCTGACTATTAGCCCATCAGGATCGGAAACTCTCAGATAAAACAACTCCTAATGCAAATGCAGCAAGGCCATTCACTGTAGTGATTCTAAAGCTCACCTCTATTATTATAATAATAGGGGTCTCAAATGGAGCTGTTGAGAACAGTGGCTGCCCCTGACTAGAATTCAACCAGAAAGATCAAGAGAGAGCCCTAATTGCCTTTCTTCTCAGATCAAACAATTGACTTAATTCTCCAGGCCTACACACCGCAATGTGTTTGAGGAGATTCAAATAGGTTACTATGGAGGATTAAGGTTTTCTCGGCAGATTATACTTTTATGCCCTGTAGTTCATTGCTTGAAGTGTTAAGTAGCTTTGTCAAAATAAGCAGGGCTGGATGGATTTTTAGAAACTTGCAAATCACACACTCGTGCTGAAGAACACAAGGGAGGTGCGTGCCCCCCTCTCCTTTTAAAAATAAATTTAATGGTTGGAAGTGGGGAGAAATTAACCACAGTAAAGATTAGTTGGAAATTTCATGAGCTATCTCAGATAAGGGAAATAAAAGTGTGGGTGTTTATTGTGTTTCGCCTCTTAAAAATTGTTTCAGAAAATGATGCAGCTGAAGAAGCCCCATAAAGAGAAGGGATTTTCTTGCGAATGCGTAACCGCCTGAGGAGGAAGTCCAGGGGGGCTGTGAAATCAGACCCTTGAGGCGTCTCTGTAGTGCTGTGCTAATCAGGGTTATTTTACTCACAAAGATTTCATTTTTGCTTAAAGGAGCCGGTGGCAAAATAAGCTTTCATTGCCTTACAATTGGTGTTCCCAGGAAAGGGCACTTGCCGGAAAGTCTTCGGTGACATTCTGTCCTTGGCTCCACAGGGGGCTCCGTTGTCCTCCTAGGTCCCCCA